TTAAGCAAATCCAATTTCAAAATAGTTTTTGTAGGTGTGTAAAGGGATACAAATTAGAATTGACAAGACCTGCTTAACTTATAATGCCAAGTTCAATGTTCTAATTCTGAAGCAAAATTGTGTAAGAACATTTTATTAAGACATTTCTTACCCGTGACAGCTAAATGTCACACAAGATGGAATAAAAAAAAGTTTATTGTCGTTCTCCCACTCTATATTGGAAAGACTGAGGCAGAGGTGAAAACTGCTGTGCTGCCATTTTCTGCATCTTTGAAATTCAGTAAGCATGGTAAAGCTAAACACAGAAGCGAGTTTGTGATTTCAGCCATCTTTTGGCAGAGTTGTAACGAGTCACTATGATAAACAAGACGCACAAAATCGGTTACTCGCGTTACGAAAATGTAACATGAGTAACCGATTTTGTGCGTCTTGTTTATCATACATTACACATTTTTATGGATGTCATCTTTGGTGCTATAGGTAGGTCTAGGTCTACTCTATCTACCATGGGGATAACAGTTATTAAACCTTTTCAGTAAGGTTATTACAGCCCAAGGAAACTCAAAAGTACATCAAAAATGTAACGTGAGTAACCGTGGAATTGCCCATTTTATTCTTTCAAAGCACATAAAAATAAATAATATCAAAAGATAAGATATACAGTCGACTCCTGTTATAACGAGCTCGGTCATAACGATAACCCGGATGTAACGAGCACATTCTCCCAACCATCTTCATTCAGAGCTGTTGGCGTGGTTATCGCATGCGGAGGTTGTTAGAGAGACTTCACCGAGGCACGCTGTGGCTGCAATGCTACGCCCGGGGCAACGCGGACAGACAATTGTGAGTGGACCTAAGAGAAACTGGATGGACATTTTATTGGTGCCCAAGGCCCTACATCAATGTTACCCCTGCTCATTGGCCTATAAAACATTCTAACGACCATCTCTGCTCCCTAGGGAGTATGCAGCTTGATGGTGCCATTTCATGGCAAGGCCGCAAAAATCAGCCAGTTTAACCATCTCTGCCCTTACTAGCTCAATGCCTGAAAATTTTGTTCAGTAACAAGAAGTTTTCCAGCCCAATTTTGATGTGGATAATATTGCCTGTAAGTGGTTCTCAGCTGTATTTTAGTTGCACGACACCTTTTCTGAGCTATTTGTTGTACTAAGCAAACCAAATTGTTACCAGTGTTCATTACCTAGAGCTTAATATTCCGTGGCTTACGTGCTCATCAACATGAAGCAAATTCTGTTAGTACTTCTTTCAAGTTGAAATATTGTAACATACACTAAATTGATTCATTTGACCACAATCTTGGTCTGGAGCATTGAACTCGTGGTCTGCAGGTAATTCTGCTGGTTGTGGGTTCGAGTCCAGCCTGGGGTTATGGTGCTTGTGCCCTTGGGCAAGGCACTTTGTCACTCATTGCTTCTCCTCACCCAGGAGTAGATGGGTACCTGTGAGGGCAGAGATAGTTAGTGTATTTGATTCTAGGTGCCTTGCACTGAAATGGCTGCATCGAGCCGTATACTCCCCAGGGAGCTGAGATTTGTGTACATTATTATGGGGAAATATTTGGTTATTACGTGCACGGACATAGCGAGACTTCGGCTATTGCGACGATTTTGGCTGACCCAATGCGAGGAAAAGCATTGTTCTCAACCCATTTACAACGACATCTTTTCAAAACTACGGGCATTGCAGCTTGTCAACGACAGACCTTTTGTCCCGAAACGGGTATCATGCTCCCGTCTTCCAATTCAAGCAACACACTTAAGCTTCACCCATCAATGTACCTTTGTAAAGACTTCAACCCAACGTTATTTCATCTCGCCGATCTTTATAAATAAATTCAATGGGACTGTGATAATCGGCGCAGTGGACCGCTGGTCTAGTCGCTAATCCCCCGCTGCGGTTTCCCTTTAGCGTGACCAGGTTTGAAGTTTGCTTACGACTGCGGTACCACGTTTCTAGATTATTACAAACTAACAATAGGGGGCGCTCAGGAGTTAAGTGTTAACATTGTAAGGAATAGCCTTTAGTACTACCGCCCGAACATCGGGTGCTTAATTGCTCCCTATTGTTGGCTTGTGGCTATAAAAAAAAAATACATAGTGAAGTACACAGCATCACAAAACAAACGGCTGTTTTCAGAGCCACCACAACTTCCAAAAAGAGATAATTCAGTCCGTCTTGAAAAAATAAAGTTTAAAACATACCGTGGTTCCCGCCCCCAAAAAAGGTTAATCCGAAGAATAAAAAAATAAAAATCTTAAACAAATTAAGAACCCCTCCGGCCCCGCCGAAAAAACAATCCCAATGAAAACAGTTTTCCAAGATCTTCAAATGCCCCACCACATATACATTGTACATACATATGTTAATCCGAAATTATTACTTTTGTTTATTTATTATTATTAACTTAAAAGAATCCCTCCCGACAAACAATAATCACCAATTGCTGTGAAATTACACATGGAGACACTTAAAACCGGAAGTAATATTAGCGCCCTCTCTTGCCCGATTCCAGCAAATGCAAAACGAAAGCAAAATGTCACTTGGCACGAATGTGCGCTATAGTTAACAGAAATAATTACAATTTCAAAGAATCCCTTCAGAAACAATAATACCCAACTGTTCCAAAAAGTCAACAACCAAAAGGCATCTAAGGATCAGGAGTCATTAAAACCCGGAAGTAATGCATGTATTGGCGCCCTCTCTTGCCCGATTCCAGCAAATGCGAAATGAAAGCAAAATGTCACTCGGCACGATTTGTGCGAGTGACCTACTTGCCTGATTCTTCTCAGCGATGATGCCTTTTCCTCCGGATTCAGGTCCTCAAATATTGAACAATGTTCCCTTAAAGGTATCTTATTTATTTCATTTATTCATCACCATCAGTTAAATATTAAATATACATTAATAACAGACGTACATACCAACAAATGACCATCATTTCATGTCTTCGGACGTGCGTTACACGATTAAAACACGCACGCACATGTACCGTACCTTGTGCACAACGAATGGGGAAAACTGCGCTCCGGTTTTAGCGAGGTTCCGGCTATAACGACAGTATTGTGAAAGTCCATCGGACCTCGTTATAACGGGAGCCGACTGTAATCACGTCTAGAAAAAGACAAAAAGAACGACGATATGTGCAAAATATATTGCAATTGCATTGCAAAGATATGAATAAAAAAAAAAGTAGAGGGAATGAGAAACTGGTTATTTTTATAGAAATTCAATTTTTCAGCCAGAACCACCTGAATCATGCACATTTTCTGATGAAGTATTATTTAATTTTCCAAAAATAGTTCATTCAAGAGAATTCCAGCAAATCTTTAAAAGAGAATTAACGTAAATGATTTTGAAACTTTTGTCTGCAGCGCAGCGGCACGAACTCAAGCACGGACCGAAAACCTTTGACCCAGCACAGAATATGTCACATAAAATCGATTAACGCGCATGTAGTTGGGTCATAAGTGCACGCGCGATCCGGAACTAGGCAAAAACATACGGTCATTCGTTGGATGAATTTTCAAATATTAGAGACTTTACAATTTATTTTGATTCAACAAACCTTTGATGGAAGAGTTTATACGACTGTAGTGCATGAACAAAATATTCGAAATCACACTGTACAAGTGATATACCAAGGAGGAAATGTATCGTTGATTCGCAGCTCCCGTGATTTTCTACAAATCGTCCAAACACGTCGAAGTGCGAGTCGGAAATCTGGCCAAAATTCCTCTTCTAAATATTTTATCGGAAAAATGTTGTGTATTAAGGAGCTTACATTTTTCTTTTCAAAATCAAAATGCACATTGTCAGAAAAAAAATTATTGGAGACTAATCCAAAAGAGGTAGGTTTTTATTTGAAGCTATCCGGAACTAGGAAAAATCCGCAACTAGGAAAACGACTGTATAACGTTAACATGGTTAAGACCTTGGCTTAGCCCCACTAGTGTGGCCGTCGGTATGCTGCGCTGAACCCAAGGCCACACACCGTGGTACCGCGCGCTACTGAGGACGAAGTTTTTCATAAAATTCAGGGCAGTTTCTTACATTTTCAGTTTCTTACTTTCTTATGGTTGTATTCTATGATGTCTCCTATCACTTCTGGGATGCTTAGCATGTGCTTAGGTCTAATGATGTTCCATTTTCCGAGATATTCTTCAATCTTTCTGGAGTCCATATGCACTCGTGAAACGTCTGGTGATGGCAGCCATTTTGAATGTGACAAGAGATGACCTCAAGCTGTGACGTCGCGTTTATGCAAATTGCTTGTCGAGCGCGCGAGGGCGCGAGTTGCAAATGCGACGGCTGTTTCCTGTGCCGTAGATCCTGAATAGAGATCGGTGCACGTGGCCCCCTGACGATAAATGCATGGTACAGGAAACAGCCGTCGCATTTGCAACTCGCGCCCTCGCGCGCTCGACAAGCAATTTGCATACACGCGACGTCACAGCTTGAGGTCATCTCTTGTCCCATTCAAAATGGCTGCCATCACCAGACGTTTCACGAGTGCATATGGACTCCAGAAAGATTGAAGAATATCTCGGAAAATGGAACATCATTAGACCTAAGCACATGCTAAGCATCCCAGAAGTGATAGGAGACATCATAGAATACAACCATAGGAAAGTAAGAAACTGAAAATGTAAGAAACTGCCCTGAATTTTATGAAAAACTTCGTCCTCAGTAGCGCGCGGTACCACGGTGTGTGGCCAGAGGTTCAGCGCAGCATACCGACGGCCACACTAGTGGGGCTAACCTTGGCTTTGCTGCAGTTGCACAGTGCGCCCTAACTGAGGATACATATTTTTATTTACATTAAAATGAAAGTGACAGTATAAACATGATAAAGTGTCTACTCATAATGCATCAAGCTAGGTACAATGACCTGTCCACAGTGAGGGCGCCCTTCTTGGCAAGCTCTCTCTCGTCGCTCTCGTCACTGCTCGTCACACATACACAAAAAACAGCAAACTAACCTGTGACAAGTCTCATCTGTTGACGGGTGTTAAAATCTATCTCGTACATGGTCATTGATGGATCGATGTCACCCAGGCGAAGCACCAAGGTCCGGCCGTAGTTCTCCTCGATTCCTCGGACAATATTGGGTTGATAAGGCCTCCATCGCCCGTGATCCGTGAACCATTCCCACACCACTACGTCGCCTTCCTCCGCCATTTTCACTGCACTAGTTCGTGATCGTTAGATCGAAGTCTGGTGCCCTCATTTAAAACGACTAATAATGCGGGTAGATGATATGGATCTCAGACTGATATTTTTTATAATCAGCTGTTGTTTATGTTGGTAGTCTTTTCTTCCAGTCGGTCAAAGACCAATAACTCTATTGTTCACTGACCTTTGTGATCGACAAAGACCGAAGTAACGATATTCAGCAGTAGTGGATACCAATTCTTTGACATGATCATTCACTCGTTCATGGATAGGTAATCCATGGATAACATAACCAATTACATGTGTTATGCTTTCTGCTCTTTTTCTGGCAGGGCTGTTCGTCAAATTAGGTTTTGCCCTTCATGCAGGGCTCTGAGCACTTAAGGCAGACAATCGAAAAGCCAAGCAAGCATGTAAAAAGCCCGCAGCATAAATGTCTGCAGATAATAATTCAATATAGGTTTTCCCGGCAAATTTAGTTTTCATTAAATTTAATGCCTGGCTCATTCAATTTAAATGATTGAAAGATCACGCAGATCGTCATTCGACAATCAAAAGGAATATCCGAGCATTCTATCGTCTCCAGTCGTCCCTATCAATGCATTCAAAGTTCATTCAATTTCGTTTGAACCAGCAGTACTAAGGGTTTGAGTGGGCATTCATTTTCATTAAAAGGCACACATATTTAGCATTTTGTCAAGCACATTTTTTAGACTTCTTGCTTGAAAATTTGGAAGTATCTCAGCGTAAATCATACCTGATGTCTTCATTACGATGCACACATCTCATTCTAAATTAAGGGGTTCCTGCAATGAATTTTTCTACGGAACACATTTTTGTGCAACTTTCTAATATTCTTAAAAGTATGAAAATAGTGTATATTTGACATCATTTTTGGTTAATCTTATTGCAGAGTGCATGTTCTTCTTTAAACATTTAAAGTTTCCATGCTTTCCCGGACTAGTGAGCGCGCTGTTGCTGTGTTTCGGGGTCAGCTCAGTTCAAATACTTTTAAGCAAAATGTGCTTTTGGAAACTCGTTTTACAAAAAGGCTTGCTTGTTGGCTTACTGCCATTATGTACCCACACAACAACGAATTACCAAAGAAAACAAATTGTGACAGCAAACTGATCCAAAACTCGAGCAACTGTAGCCGTGTAATAATCTGCCCGGAATTAATATCACAGTTTTGCTCATGAATATGGAACTATGAGTAGGCATAAAAACGGAGAAGGCATCAAAATCCCTTCAAAATTAACTGGAAAAAAAATAAACCTTGAAAATATGGTTCAATGTGACACAAAGATGCATTTGCAAGTTTTGCATTTTGAAAAATTACTTTGCATGGGCCCTTTAAATAAGTGTTCAGACAGACATACGCATGACAAGGGCGGATCCAGAACACAATTTTTGGGGGTCCAAAAAAAAATTTGGTCCCCCAAAAAGGTGGGTCTAAAAAATTACGGCGTGGGGTTCGGGGCCCGCGAGGGCCCCGAAATTTTTTTGGATTCTAGATGCTCTGTGGTGCGATCTGAGGCAATTTCTGACCACTTTAACCAATTTTTTTTTAGGAAAAGATGGTGGTGTACTCATTGCCTGCCTTTATTGCAATGTAACATTAAAAAAAAAAAAAATGGTTTCGTTTTTTTTTTTTGGGGGGGGGGCCATGGCCCCCTTTGGCCCCCCCCCCTGGATCCGCCCTTGACGCATGAACTAGCATGAACGAACCTTAAGGAGTGGAGATGATTGTGATCGTTTGATGGAAGTGGCCCAAGAAACTGGCATGCAAGATATTAACCAATAGAACAGAGTGTTCCCGATGGTACAACCACTGCTAAACATACATGTACGTTCCTCGATGTCTTGCAGTTTTTTTTGCACGTCAAGAACTCGGCAACGTTACTCAAACGTTTAAACAAGTAGAGAAAGTCATCAGTGAAAAACAAATGTCCTTAGCCCTTTTTATTTCATTGTTTCGTTGCATCTTCTATTAGGTTTTATTTTTGAGGGGGGGGGTGAACCTCTGGGAAAATAGGAAAATATATAAATTACTTAAAAACCCTATTAATTTGAATGACCAACCAATGAAAGTTGCCCATAAAATGCAAAAAAAACACCAAAAAAACCCAAAGTATGGTAATATGTTGTAAGCGCGCGCACAATAAGTCTAAGGCTAATTTGAATGCGTCAACTGTCTAACGATTTCAAAGACTTAATTTAAATGGCCCATACTTAATGGCCATAATGCTATTCTTCATAAGATGAAATTTTGCGTCGGGGTGATGTAAATCAAATTAAGTTTTGCCCTTCACCGACATTTAAACTCTGTATACTCGGTGTGTTACCACCGGAGTGAAAGTTGAAGAAAACAAATACTCGGGTGAGCCTCAAACCGTCGTCCTCCTTTCTCCTATACTTTGATTTACATCTCCCGACGCAAAATTTCATCTTATGAATAGTTAATGCGGTAGCAGCTTCAACGTTAGCTCGGTGGTTGAGTGGTAAGACATCTACACTAGAAAGCAGGAGGTGGTGGGTTCGAGTCCCACCCAAGTGATTTTATTCCATCTTTCGCTCGGGAGGTTAACACACTCAGTGTGTTTATACGTCGGTGAATATGCTTTTCTTGAAAATGCACATTGTGTCCCATTTAACCCTATTTTCAATTTTAATTTTGCCCTTTTCAAGGGTATTTTAGTGCCTTTTTAGGTTTTTAGCCATTATCCCGTTGCCCCATCTACCAATCTCTGCATGGAGCAGACGGTCTAACTTGGACCAGGAGACCACTGTGGTTGAACCTGGGAGCTAGAAATGGCTGAACCAGCTGCAAGCAGACGTACATGACAAACGAAAACGAGCTCTTAATTTATGTCTGCTTCTAAAAACTATAAACGACTGAAATCAAGACTAATGACAGATACCTTGAAAATCTCGAAACTACGCGCTTACTTTTAGTTCTCGCGATATATGACGTGATTTAATGCACATACAAAAATCACACATTTATGGCAAATCACCGATATACGGTTAGCCAAAATCATGTAGATCATTTTGAATACACTTCAGCTTATTCGCACATCTTAGATATTCAACTTTTTAAAGAGATTTGCTCAGTTTTGGGCCATAGCAACGGACACCGTATCTAAAACTATTCGGACGGGTTACATTTTACATCAAAATATATATTAATCCACGGTATCTTATTCAGACTATAATTCGCATCCAGAAAACAACCAAGGAATTTGTAAAAGATAAAAACAGTATTCATATTAACTATGATTCGATTGAAACAACTGTGAGTAAACTAAAGTCGTGTTTAAGTGCGCACTTATTTTCAATTAATTAGTCAAGGGTGTGATGCGGTTGTCAGATCAACTCAAAACAAGATGGCCGCCGCCAATTGAAGTTGAAGCTGAAACAACCAAGCATTATAAATAACAAGGAATTTGTGTCTTCTGGATCATTATGACATAATGAATAAAAATTAAAAGTGTTTTTAAAAATGGATGACGTGAGATTTGAGTGGCTTCGTGACAAGGTCTACTGTGCTCTGGAGGTCGAAGACCCTGAGGTTTTTGAGGAACTTTTGAACCGGGATGATGGCGAGTACGAGAGGGCGCTTGCAAAGTTCCTCAACGAAACTCCCGAGGAAGGAAAGTCAGCTGCAATCTTCTACAAGAGATTACAAGAAGAAGACATCGAGGTCGAAGTGGAAGTTGGTGCGTTTCAACTTGCTTTTTGTTCGAATGCAGCAAGGAATCCACCAACCATTTTCAGAGATTTTTTTTATTTTTTATTTGGGCCAGGCAAGGGGACCGAAGGGGGGGGGGGGGGGGCGGGGTAGGGTCTCTGTCTTTGTGTCCATTGTTAGTTTTTCACTTTGGTTTATATGGGGTGGGGGTGTGAAAATTTTCATTTTCTACCATATTTTAAATGTTCAGTTGAGTTCTGAGTCCCACTTTTATTTCATTTTATAGGCTAGTTAGTTAGTAAATAGGCCTAGGGCGGCCCCTATTTTTCTTGTTTATTTTGATTTATTTCCCATTATAAAAAATCTTTTATCTTTACAGAACCGTCGGAGCTTGATCCCACCCTTGAAGCTCTCAATGATGAGAATGGTGAAGGAGGAGAAGGGACAGACGGCGTCATTTCTGCGCTGGATGGCACTCTAACTGAGGCTACTGTCACTCCAGCAATAGCTGAAACACCGGTGGAAGAAGAGAAAGGAAAAAGTATACACTTGAGAGCCAAGATTTGTTGGATAAATCAATCACAGGATCCAGTTGGATAAAGCTGAGGTCCAACAATAGGATGTTGGGACTGTGGCCTTATTTCTATTGTCTGCCTATATGTTTATCAACCAGGATCATCTTTTTGAAAAACAGCATTAGTTACTTTCAGGACCCTTCTATGTTTTGAACTCTCCTAAATATCCAGTGAAGGCCAGATTAAATTTTTCTTTCTGATTCATGGCTCTCATATGAAGGGAAGTAAAGTCTGAGAAGCATTCAGTTGACATATAATCATGCACAATGGTCAACTTAGGTAAGAATACCAACAGCGAAAAAAATAGAGGGGTCCTAAAAGTAGCTACTGCCAGATAAATCCAGGCACAGTTCAAGACCAATGCCACATTGAGGGTATAAAATTATTTAGAAGAAAGGAACATATTTTGAGGTACTTATTTCCATATATAGTCATTTGGGAGAATTGTTTTTTATAAATTGAAAAAAAAAATCAACAGACACTAAAAATAGTAATTAAAATACACCAACATCTTTCAACAGATTTGTTTGTAATGTTTTGCAGGTTTTTCTTTTTGTGAGGGGATAGGTAAAAAAACTCACTGGATTTTATTTTCATTTTTCATTTTTTTATATGGAAGGCTGACCTGTAGACCCGTCCTTGCTATTTTGTTCTTAAAACTGACGCTTAGTCAAGAATCACAATTTTTTTGCAATTTGCAGAGAAGAAAAAGAAGAAAACCAAGAAGGGATTGTCCTCGGCCAAAGCGGAGGAAGAACCCCCAAAAGAGGAGCCTAAGGAACCAGAGGAGATCAAACCAGAGGATGGAGTGGATGGATTGATGGCGCCCTCACCTGAGAGAGTTCCACAAATGGTACGTCAATCTTGTTCATTGTATCCACCCTGTTCACATACAGCTCATAATATCTTGAAACTATACAAACTTCACTATATCAGGCCTCACAGCAAATCTTAAAAATGCTTCTTTTTTGTATAACTTAGGAGCCTATTTGTTTCTTAAAGTAATCTGTATAACCTATAACATTTATATTTTTAGTCTGTCAGACAATTCAAAACAATTGCAAAGAAAAGGTTTAACATTCATTGATCCACTGTATCATAATGCCATAATAACCACATTGTCAATTATGTCTCTTAAGATTGTTTTTTACAAGTGAAGAGAACTTTATCTGGTGTGAAGAACTTGAAGGATTCACTGTATTTCTACAACCTCATGCTGAAAAGTTGAACGGTTTTGCATCCTAAAAACTTATAATTGCCTATATATTGGCCCTTGGAAAACCTTTAAAACCATAATTCTTGATTTTCAAAACCTACTAAAAATATGAAAAACTTATATTGATGAAGAGTAGAGGGGCACTATGAGGCCTGCTACATTCTAAAAGTACATTTTTAAAAACAAATACTACACAATGCATCCAAATAACAAAAACAAATCAGTCTGTATGACCCCCCCCCCTCTGATCTCTATCATGTGCAGAAAATTGTCAAGCAGACGATTGTCCGGACGTTACTCTACATGTGCACTGGAAATGTCCCTGAAGAAGTGTGCAACAACGATTGCGTGTACTTCCTACGCAACACGCCTGGCATGGTCGAGCTTCCTAACACACTGGATGAGGCCAACCACACACTGCCACAGTTCTTTGAGTTTGGAGTGCTGAACGGTAGCTCCTTGACAATGCTGGAACAGGTTATCATGCAGGTAAAGACATCTGGAATGAATAATCAAACATTGACGGACTCAGTGTTTGGAAGGGAGTTGACGAAAGACCATCAGCACAGCATGAATACCTCTTGTGTTTAACTCCATCAAAATCCATCTCCTACTCCGAGGGATTTTGGCAGACAAGTCATGTGTACCAAGTCCATCAAAATCCACCTACATGTATAGCAGTGGTGGTTTTGTGGTGGATTTTAGCGGATTTGGTCCTGAAGCATGATGTGAAGCAGAGTCAGTGATGGATTTTGACGGACTTGGTACTGTTCTTAGTAAAACTCAGTAGGGAGTTAGGGTTAATGTTTATCTGTTGGTATATTTTGTATCCTGTTTGTTTCAGGCGCTGTTGTCATTGCTTGAGGACAATTAAACTACTGTTGGAAAACAAATAGTGTCATACTTATTTAGTATTAATACCAAATGAAGCCCCTTGATGATTCATTAAAAGGGCCTTGTGGCGTTAGTTATAGAAGTTTTTCATTGTTAAAATAAAAAGGATAGCTCGAAAAGGGAACAAGAATGTAAGTTTTCCCTACCAGAAAAACCCACTTAGATTCTATTATTTTCACTGAAATGAGGAGCAGTTTATTGTAACCTTGCAAATTATAACTGTTATTTGTGAATTCTTGACAGGTTTACATTCCCCTGCTGTCCTTCAATTCCCACAAGAACGGCGAGGCCCCTACGGCCGGTGAGCAGCAGGCAGCACTCTCCTCCACCTCCCAAGAAGATATGGATGAAGATGATGAAGACGAAGAACTCTCACAGCAGAAGAAGCTGGTGGAATCCCAACACCGGGCCATGCTCCGCGATGAATTCCTCATCAACATGCAGAAGTTTGCTACTCACATCAGTCGCACCATCCAGCAGATCGAGGGAGAGGTGCGATTGGACGTGCCCCAGCTCAACCTAGACGGCGATGTTGCTGAGTTGGCTAAAGACGACGCCCTTGTCCACAGGATAGAGACCGCCTGCTTGGAGTGGACCAAACAGATTGCCAGCGCTTTGGAGATTCAGCTCAAGAAGACTCCTCAGGGTGACGGACCGCTGGCCGAGATTGACTTCTGGCGGGAGCGCAATGCTGCTCTCAGTGCCCTCTCGGAGCAACTCAAGCTCCACACCGTCAAGAAAATGCTGGAGATTCTTGCCAAGAGGGACACAATGGGAGACCACGCTGTCTTGCAAAGCTTCGAGCTGAATCGCTCAGAGCTGAACAAGTACCACGTTGAAGCCAAGGATAACGTTCGCTTCCTCAGCACCCTGGAGAGACACTTTAAGAACGTGACCCACGGAGCGGGCTTCCAGATCGTGTTGGACACTCTCCCGTCCATGATGAATGCACTACGGATGGTGTGGATCATATCTAGGCATTACAACCGAGATGAAAGAATGGTGCCACTGATGGAACGCATCGCCTGGGAGCTGGCAGAACGAGTGGCTAAGGTCATCAACATCAGGACCATATTCAAGTAAGTCAAAACTTATACAAATAACTCATCTTGTATGTTTAAGCCTGGTCCTACGAAACCTTACATGCCTTACTACACTCTGACTGTGTCGATGAGCTTTACATTGAATCGTCAACCATGTGGTGTTGTCTTTGGGCCTGAGAACCATTTATGACCTGTAAAACTAGAAAACAGCCATTTTGGAAAGGTTTTGGGGGGCATATTATACATGTAAACAAGGATTAACTTTATAAAATGACCCTGTAGTTAGCAAACACTATATCTGCTTTGTCTTTGACTGAAAACAAAAATGAATTAACATTTGCAAGGAATAGGACACTTAATGGTACCCCCAAAAAATTAGGACTGTGTAAATAAAACAGGTATTCAAGAAAATATTTTGGAACCAGTTACTCTGTTTTAGTGACTGTGTTTCACAAAAACTAAAAATTCCAAGGACATCTTTTCTTTCACACATTTATCAGTAACAGCCTCTCTGGTGAAAGCAGTTTAGCTTGAATGTTTCACAACTTTCTTTCTACATATTTGTTTACTTACAGGGAAACTCCATCTCAGATCAAAGCCAGGACCCTGGAAGCCAAGAAGACTCTAGAGCTGTGGAAGGAATGCTACTTTGAAGTCCGAGCCAAGATTGAAGCATCTGGGCGTGACGCGAGGTGGGAGTTTGATCGTAAGCGTCTGTTTGAGAGAACTGACTACATGGCTACAATCTGCCAGGATATCTATGATGTAGCACAGGTAACATAGCAAAATCCTCCCAGGGTTGGAAAAGTACAAGGGCCCAATATTAGGGAGCTTCAAAGTGCAAAAATTGGCTAAGAATTGATAATTTATGGCTATCAAAAACTTGTTACGACCCAAATATCAGGTGTTTTTTATAGCTAGTGGCTGGTTTTGAGCTCATATTTCCTTAGCACATACATGATAAGTAATGCATTCTGCTAAACAGTTCAATGAAATTAGGTCCTTGGCTTATGTAATGCCTCTCCTTTCTATAGGCCGAGAATTTTACTGGGCTAACCCGAATATTCGATCACGAACTGAATATTCGAATAGCTTTTTGCCAGTTGGAATATTCAAAAAAAAAAAAAAAACTATGCACATACACACACAGCTGTGATGTTATTTTATCATAAAGTTGCAGTGCTTTATTGTCAGGTGCCACATGTTTTGTTGACGGTAACTTGTTTGTGGATGGCGCTCGTTGTTCTCATCCTTTTATCCGGTTAAAGCCCTCGACAGTATAAAACACTCACTGCAATGCATTCCCGAGTGGCCCATATCGATTGCCGCATGCCAATTTCAACTTGTGCTTTGCCTGTGACTTTTGACCAGCGTGGCACAAAGGTGCCGCTGGCAGTGTCAAACATCCCAATATTTGGTCAAATGCAGTTTCAAATAATTGAATACTAAATTATTCGAAAATGGACAGTGCCTACATTTCACTCAACCATAGCAGAATATTATGAAAGTTCCCAAACTGATGACTTTGTTAGATTTGTGTCAACATTTAGTTACTGGTAATATTTTGTTCTTGATTGTAATGATCAATGAACTATCTGTGATTGTTTTACAGGTCTTGCAAGAGTTCTACCACATCTTTGGTCCAGAGTTGAAGTCAGTCACTGGTGATCCGCAACGCATTGAGGATGTACTCAAGAGAGTGGATGGACTTGTGGAACCCATTCAAGATGTGAGCTTACTAATGTTTGTTTATGTGTGATTTTCCTTCATCTGTTTTCCCCTCCTTATCTTCTTTTATCCTCTTTTGTGTTGAATCCGCATGTAAGGGGAGAATGTGAAATTAAACTGGCAGAAACTTAAGGTTCACGTCAAGGCTCTACAAGCTTTTACAGGGTTTATGGGGTTCCTTCCGGGTTCAGCCACAAGTTACCGCTTGTAAAATTGTGCGTGCTTTCCAAAAAATCTGTCTAAACTTTATTTTCTTTAAAAAAAAAGCTTTATCTTTCAACTTTTTTCAGCCGTCCAGGTAGCACATACCAGCCTTGCTACTTTGGTATTTTTCAGGAAGTTTTTAAAATCCTCTAGAATCTAACACTTGGCAGTAAACCAGTGACACATTCAACTCATGGATTTTGTAGGATTTTGATAGGATTTTGAAAGACTTGGTACTCATATCCACTATAAAGTTATATCCTCCCAGATCCACAAGATTTTGGAAGATTTGTAGGATTGGGCATTGTCTACTGAAGGTTCATGTTAGATTTTGTAGGATTTAGCATAGCTCTGGAGACACATTTTCAGACACAGACCAGTGGCTTCCATAGGTGCAAGTGTTATTTCCAGCTGTAGCCATGTGATTTGGATATGGCCTATGTGTCAAGCAGCCATTTCAAAATTGACCTTACACTTTTGACCTCAGGTGAGCTTTGACCCCTTCGGCCTGAAGCACCAGCTCCAGTGGCGTAAGGTCATGGAGTGGTTCAACAAGGAGGTAGCGGCTATCGAAGAAGAGGCCAAACACTTCATCAATGAATCCTTCAAGACGCTGCGCTCGGCCGAGGGAGCCTTTGACATGCTGCTCAAGTTTCAGAACATCCGGTCACGGGAGGCCATCAACTCACAGATGATGAAGAAGTTTAACGACATCCTGGTGCAGTATGGGAAGGAGGTCAGTACTTACCTTTCATGAATCTGATCGTCAATTGCAATGTTCATTATAAGCAAATGAATGTAAACTAAGGGGGGGAAAAAAAAAATAGAGGGTCTAACATTTTGGTCTTAGTAGGACATGAATTTATGACCTAACTGTAGTTTCCGAAAACGATCAGTTGGCATGGTGACCAGTAATGATTAATAGCACATATTTTCTTCCACAGGTGGATACAGTCAACGCTTTATTCAAGCAGCACCAGGACAACCCACCTGTCTCCAAGAACCAGCCGCCTGTAGGGGGCGCTATTTTCTGGGAGCGGTCTCTCTTCCATCGTATCAAGCACACTATCATCCGCTTCCAGAGTATGGAGGACCTGCTGACCAGCGAATATGGCAAAGCGGTAGGTTTAAGAATGCTGCATTAAAAGCTTAGGCCCATAGCATTATTTGCATTTTTCCCAAAAGTAACCTACCGATTTATTGTCAAAAAACTTACTTTGATTAAAGATCATACTGGTACTAAACAGCCTGCGAAATTATTCTGTGTGACTTGCTGTCATTAAGAAGAAATCAAGAACTCAAGGTGATACCAACCATCAGTCAAATGACTGATTTTTGGAAATAAAGAGTGCCATTGACAAAATCATGTTTCGTGATCAAAAGGTTGTGCATGGTTTTCACTATATTCACCGAGATGAAACTTTAGCAGGTTGGGTTCAAACATTGTTCTTTTGATTTTGAGTGGTGTTATTGGAAACAAACACAAGTCATGAAATGCAAATTATCCTATATGCCTTGAAAACAATGAAACATAGTTGACGTAAGAAAATAAAATATGGCAGAAAAACTGAGCAAAAACTCAAAACAAAATCAACTTGAGTTTCCATGTTTTTTTATCAAAAAGTTTTAATGTTTGATTTCAGTTTTTAGTTTAGTGAATGAAAAACTGCATGATATATCGTACGTCTTTTTAAGTTGTTACTAAATTCAACCTCTATTGATCCTTATCCTCATCTTTGTAAATTACCTTAATTAGGAATTAAGGTGTTCTTCCTATTTTATGATCCACTAATTTTAATTCCAATTTTCCGTTTCCTTCAAGGCTCGGAGCAAGTACCTAGGTGTGGCCCGACAGATGCGAGAGTATGAGGAGAAGAAGTATGAGCAATGGCGGGAGTACGTAGAAGGCATCTTACCTGGCTTACTGAAGAGGAACCTGCTCACTAAGCCACCTCCTAGCACCGCTGCAGTGGTGGTGGCTGCCGCTCATAATGATATGGATGGCAATGGAGGAAGCTCAGCTAGCAATCATGCTATGCATGGTGAGAATGGTAGCATATTAATTTCACTTCATTTGCTGTTTAGTTCTGATGCATGTTAACAGTTTAAACTAAAACAATACATGTTTTACAACGTTGCCTAATGTTATTAATGAATGTCTGTTGAACACAGGCGCAGATGTGAAGTATGTAGTAGACTTTGCACCTGAACTATCTGAGATCGTTGTTGAGACCAAACACATGGAACAGCTAGGCTTCTCCATTCCTGAACTGGCTCGCAATGTTGCATTACAGGTTAGTAGTAAGATGCAAAATCAAGCACAATTTTTCTGTCATCTAGTGAAGTATTTCATTTTAAGTTCGCAACCACGACACAATTGCAGGTTATCATATCAACCAATCAATCATCATATGCAGGGTTTGATTATCCCTAACCTCCCCAACTCCATCAAAATCCACCCCCCCCCCCTTTTTGGTGGATTTTGGGGGACTTGGTCCTGCAGGCCTGGTTTGACTAAATATTGATGGAGTATAATGGACTTGGGCCTGGAGGCCTAAAGCAAAGCATGCATTGGAAGCAGTGTGATTGATGGATTTTGGCAGACTTGGTCCAGTACTTAGTAAAACAATAAGGTTAAAGATAAACAATGTTTCTGAAAAATAAGACATGTTACTCAAGTGAAATGTTCAATGTACTAAAATTATTTGTTTTATTTGTCATATTAACGTTGAGGACCTGCAGAATTTTGAAATAAATTTTGGCATGAGTCATAAGGCCCGTTCATTTAAATAAGGCTGAATTACTGAATTTTTATTGTATATATATACATGTAGGTCTGAATGAATTTTTAGATTGACTGTGCTCGCTTTGTTTGTAAAAAAGTATTCTGTGATTTTTTTTTCATTTTCAGGAAGATAAGTACCTTCGATGGAATGACGGTCTGAGGCACATGTTGGGCAGATACCACTCAGCCATTAGCTCAATCAATAATGCTGAGGTAAACTAAAACGTAACTTCCAAACTGTTCAGAAGATAACAATTACTGAAAGTGGTTTTAAGAAAGATGCCCAAAAACAATTATTACAGGCTTAGGCAAGGGAATCCAGTTACGAGATCCCAAAAATTGTGAATATATTTTCTGTTTTCTCAAAATGGGCTGAAACTTTCAACAGGTTAGTTGTAATGCACCCTACTTAAGATTTTGAGAAATTGTGTTGCTTCAATTTTTTTTTAAATGCACGAAAAGTACATGTTACATGTACATGTATGTAGGATTTCTGACCTGCCTGTAATTTTTGTCTGGTTTTCTGTATCACGCAGACCCAGTTACTTGACGAGCATCTCAAGGATCTTAGACGCACCTTGAAGTCTGGCCACAAACGCCTCAACTGGAACTCTCTAGGCATCACGGATTACATCACTCGCTGTGAACAGGTAGGAATGGACTACCCATTGCCTCTTATCCCTCCTAGTGGGAAGTCACTGCACCAAAAACAGCACTGTGGAGAGCAGTGAAGCATGACCGAGTCTGCCTGCTTGCCCTGAGCTTAACCACACAAAAGAATTGTGCAGGGACTTGAAGTGTTATCCATACTCCACAGAAGATGACTTCAAAGGAATTTGAAGTGTGGGCGCAAATTCTATGGGCAAAAGTGATTTTGCAAAACTTGTGAAGTGCATAAGACTAGGCAGGTTAACGATCCACAAGTGGTTTCCAACCGTCTTGATCAAAATATATTGGAGGGACTGGGAACCAGCCAACTTTGCACTCGTTTGGCAAAAGCTAAGACCTATTACAGGATGGTATTCCAGAGTTATGCAGAACCAAAGAGTATCAGGAGGACATAGTTCCATCCAAATAGATTTGGGTTCCAGACAGGCTAACTTTATGTATTGATATGAGACTCTGGAGTAGCTTTAAAGACTGAAATATTCCATATTTTGAAGAAGTTGCTTCTTACTGTTTCAAATGTCGAACTTTAATTTCTTCATTTGTTCATCGTTTTTTAGGCCATCTCGAAGTTTGAATCACTCGTCAATCAGATCCAGAAGAATGCCAAGGACATTGATGCCAGACTCAAGGCAGTGGAGCATGCCAACCTGTTCAAGGGACCTGTCAGCCAGATGGAGGGGCAAATATTTCCTGGTTGCAAGGTACAAGACAGGTGTCTAGAAACAGGTGTCTAGAACACCTCAAATGAATGAAATTCAAAGTAGCTCGCAAGCGGAGGCTGTCGATGCTTTAATCTTTGCGAAACAGATACACTGAGAAGTTGATTTTGTTCGCTAATTTGAAATTTATCTATTAAGATTGCATCACTAACGAAGCCTTTTTATACACATATGGATTGATTTTACCACCTTTATTTCTTGTCAACTCAAAACAATGATCTCAAGTTGTATTAGGCTTGGACTTCTGAGTTATCTTTAAACTTGGATAGAATTAATAGTAATGCCCTTCAAAACATTTCATAGATTGACCGTACTAAGACAACGGAAGGTGTTCTTGCTACAGTGAACCAACAATTATTTTCCGGCCAATTTTCAACCTCATGGTCAAATTAAACATGTCAAAACCTCAAGAACTGTTCACCCTTGTTGACTAGAGTAAAAACATGTAACAACATCTTAACAATTGTGACTTTCACCCATGATATAATGCAAGTTAGTAGAGATATGGGCTGTGCATTGTTCTGTAAGACGAAACCGGGCACTTAATCACTGTACACCTTCAAGGCCCCCTTCAATGGAGAAACCATTGTGCATGCTATTGTACAAAGCAACTGTCCCGTGATGGATTATCTGAACAATAGCTAGCACAATGCTTTCGCCATTGAAGGGGGCCTTCGCGATAGAAGTAATACCGTACTGGGATTGGTCTACGTATCGCTTGCATTTAATGAGAAATTTGAAATGAAATTGTAAAATGCCTGACTTTTTTTCATCCCTTTCAGGAATACTATGACCACATTGAGCGTGAGCGCATACACACCTTTGAGCAACTGGCTCGCAGGTACCGTGCTATCGGACCCTTACTCACCAAGATGGAAGGCTTGGTAGTCCACACCAACACAGGCAGATCACCCAGGCTGCAGGCTTACTATGCTTACTGGGAACGCAGGGTGTATGACTCATTGACAAAGGTAGGTAGATATGGGTGAGTTTGTTTCTGCATTCATTAGGGGACATTGAACAATAGAGGACAATAGGGGCCCCAATTCCTGAAGGTCCCCAATTTGGCGATGTGTACAAAACATATGGTACAAACAAAAGAGGGACAAATGGGGGTCCCCGATTGCAGGCAAAAACACACTTGGGTGAGTGGAGGAGGGCAAAGTGGTGGGGGATGGGGGTGGGGATGGGAGCGGGCACATAGGTGGGGGGCACGTGCAAGTGGTTTGAAGGCGCGGGCAAGTGGGTAGGGGTATGGGCAAGTGGGTTGGGGCACAGGCAAGTGGGTGGGGTGGGGCGCATTGTGATGCCCACGTGCAAAGTGCATTCATTATTGATATGAACTGTCAAAACGGATTTTCTTATTTTGATTTGCTGTCTTCTCTACAGCTGGTATCTCGTAATCTGATTGAGTTCAACAACGCCTTGATCACGGACAAGCCCCTGTTTCAGATTGATGCCATGTTGTCGGCTCCAGAGATCATCTTGGTACCAGCAGCTAATGAGATCTATAAGCTGAGCATGCAGTGTGTCCGGGACTGCGTTGAAGGGTAGGAATAAACGTTGGCAAAACTTCTTTTAATCAGTGTTGTAGTCAAGTCCTTCAAAAGTAAATCACAAGTCCATCAAAAGTCCTCACAATTCCATCACAAGTCCTCACGAGTCCATTACAAGTCCTCACAAGTCACAAACTAGTCCATCACAAGTCCTCACAAGTCCACAGGTCCTTGCAGATCCTCACAAATCAAATCACAAGTCCATCACAAGTCCTCACAAGTCCTCACAAGTCCTCAGAAGTCTATCAAAGTCTGTCACAAGTCCTCAGAAGTCCGTCACAAGTCCATCACAAGTCCTCACAAGTCCTCACAAGTCCTCACAAGTCCATCAAAAGTCTGTCACAAGTCCTTACAAGTCCTCACAACTCCTTGTAGGTCATCACAAGTCCACCACAGATCATCCTGTCTCAACAAAGTTCGATAGAACATAAATAGCTTAACCCCATTTACCCATGTTTTGTATTTCATGCCATGTACTTTATCCAAGGACTAAGAACTTTGTGCGCTGGATGCATGGCACCTGCATCGAGACCCCACCGCAGAACGTGGAAGGCGAAGACGAGCCGCTTATCTTTAGTTTCTTCTCTGACATCTCGGCAGACGGCAGCATCATCGACCTCGTGGTGCAGAGCTCCAATCAGATCCAGAAAACACTGACTAGCCACTCTAAGTACCTCAGCAGGTAAGGGGTGACCATCTTGGTCTTGTACCCAGGGGGATGGGATAAAAGATTGGTATAAATTAGGCTATAACATCAGAGGCACCAGTCTAGTTTTGGTACCAAGAGAGATGTGTATAGTTGAGTGTAAATGGGTTGTCATATCAGAGGCACCAGCGTGTTTGTGGATCTTTGATTTCAGATGTATCTGTCTCTTTTCCTTTTTTGGTTTTACAAATCATCATTTTTTTAATGTAGAAGCAATTTTGGCTCGTGTGGGTTCCTAATTTGTATTGCCAACTGAGTGACAAAGCCTTAGAAACTGCGACAGAACATACCATGCAAAAAGAGTATTGTTCTTAAAGGACTATTTTGTGTTGGTGTGTTTTAGATGGAAGAGATACCGCCCTCTATGGAAGCTAGATAAGACCATCATGTTAGAGAAGTTTGCCATTAAGAAGCCGACCTGTGTGGCCTACGATGACAAGCTCCAGTTCTATTCCAACTTGGCCAAGGAGGTCAGTTTAATAGAAGTCTTCGTGAAAGTTCATAACAAAATTTAACATCAAAGGCTATGAAGATGCAGATGCAACATGTAGTATTGTGTGATAAAGCAGATATCGAAGGTACACATTTTTGCTCAAAAGCATATTGTTTTAGCATAAAAAAAATCTGGAGAACTCAGCATTTGAGTTTAAGATGGCTATACTGTTGGTGAAGACTCTTGATTTTAAAGAATTTGTTTTCTTTACTATCTTGTAAGACAAGTGTTGCCAATCTTTTCTTATATCCTGTCACTCTATATTTTCTAATAGAAAAAAAATAGTTTGTCCAAAGTCTTGTCTATATCCAAATTCTTGTCTAACAATAGGGATTTTTTATATGATGACAGATATTTTTTTTGGTCATCATTGTATTTTACCTGAATAGGTGGAGAGCTAGTCACATATAAACAAGTTGTTCAAATGTTCAGACCAACCTTTCAGTGTTGACCAATATTTTGTTGTCCCATAATAGGTTGGGAACCAGCCTAAGATCAAGGACCAGGATTCCATCCGTCTCCACATGGGCCTCCTAGCAGACACTGTCAAGGACCACGCCCAGAAATGGGTGGAGTCCCTGGGAACGTTACTCAAGGATACGGCTAGCGAAGACTTGCATGGGCTATCCACAGAACTGACGGTGAGTCTGGGCACATGGGCGAAGGGACTCAATCACAGAATTGGGAAAATGGGAGTCCAGATTTGCTTTGGTACATCTGAAACAAAGACAGTAATCTGATAGTGAAAAAATATCTACATTACCGATTCAGTGTTAAATTTTTATGGGTACTGTTAGAACTCTTGTAAGTTTTGTGTGTTAAGATTTTTGGGGGTACAACTTCTTCCAATTCACAGACCCTATCTACAGACCTCAAGAAGACACCAGACACACTGGAAGATCTGAAACTCGTCCTTCGCATCATCTCCGACATCAAAGACATGTCTCTAGATGTTGAGATGCGTATCAAGGACATCTTGGAGCGTTACCGCACCCTCAAGATGTACCACATCGAGGTCTCAGATGAAGAGAAGGAGATGTGTCGTAACATCAAGCAGATGTGGGATGATCTGTTCATGGAGTCCAAGCATGTGGATGCCAGCTTGATTGTAGTCAAGAAGAAATTCACTGAGGTAAGGAGAGGTTTCGCTTTGTATTATGGGCTCAATGCTCAAGTACCCCCTCAAGGGTAAAAAAAGGGGAGTTGGGGGACCATTGGAAGGGCTATTCAAATGCATTGCTGATGACACCTGACACAAAAAGATTCTACGGCTTTGTGCACATACATTAAGTCATGCATACTTCGCACTGGGATCCAGCGTTTGTTTATGGTGTAAATCAAGGACACACACGTGCAACATCGTCGATAAATCGAGGACAGAAACCAAATTGAGGACTCCTCGGTTGGAAAACGTGTACAAAACCAATGAGAGCTGTTGCGAAAATGTTTGAGTACAAACAAAGGAAAAGGAAAGAGGAACAAAAGAAAATCCTTGATTTACACCATAAACAAACGTGCTAGTACGCGTTTGTGTGGCGTGTCCCGTCCATTTGGTTCAACAGCAGTAACAACATCCACAGCAAAGCCAGTACCATTAGTAGCAGCCAGAACAACAGTATCCACATTAGCAGCAGCTGCATCCAATAGGTTGCAATCGTATGATGTCAAAGTACCATATGACACTCCGGTTTCCCCTTGATCAGCCACCAAGCGTTTGGTTAGCAACAACATCATGTGTTGTAAACTAGACAGTAGGACTTATTTTCACGTAAAATGACTGCAAATTCTGTATCAAGTGGCACAATGGTCACTACCTGAGCCGTGTATGGTTGTCATTATCGTACTGACCCAGAACTGGGTGTTGGCTCCGTGTTTTTTTCACATTTTTTGCCATCATCACAGCTTTGAAGGCTTGCCTACAACCTACTGCGCTCAGTGCTATACGATCTTTGCCTACTACAATGGCGGCGCCGACTTTTCGGTACTGGGATGTAGGCTGGGTCATATGGATCAGTGAGAGCCCTGTGTTTAACAGCAGCAGAAATAGTAGCAGCTGCAGCAGCAGAAACAGCAATATCCACAACTGGAGCAACATCATAACTAGTTGCTGCATCAGCTACAGCATCAACAGCAAGCAGGCATAGCAGAAGTAGCTGTTTCACTATCTACAGCAGCACAATAACAGAGTGCATCTTGCATGGCACATCATTCTTACTTAGTCACTTAAAAGCTTGCTAAGGTTCAGTAACAGTAATAATCCGTCTTTTTCCATTACCTACGTTCAGATCACACAAGACCAGATCAGTAACTTCAGCACCGAGCTGAACAACTTCCAGAGCAAATTCCGTCTGGAAGGACCGGGAGCAGTTGGAAACAACTTGGACAAAGGTATGGACAATCATCTTGTTAAATCGTATGAGTTTTTCACCACAAGCTGGTGTTGTTTCCTTAATTGCAAATTCCATCAACAATACACTAATCGAATATTGGAAAAGTGAGTGCCAGTTATTAGGCAGCTTTATACCAAAGACACTGTAAACATTTTGGACCCACTGTTCAACAGTAAAGATACTGGATTTCAGTTAGTAATAATGAACTCTAAAGGTTTGTTTAGATCTTATTGACTGCTGTCAAGTACATATAGAATCTTTGAGCAAGTACCAAAAGTCAAACAGCAGTTTTTGGCTGTTGTGCATTCAGTGTAGGTTAGTCAAGCTAAAGTCTACCATATTTCAGTAAAGATGTTGGACACCATTTTAGGTTATTAGAAATAAGCCTGTTGAAATTTCAGCTCAGTAGCATTTCAGCTCTGCAGCTGTCATCAGGGCCCCCAGTGGAAACCAGTTTTAAACTGTTTGGGCATACTCTGGGTAAAGAAATGTAATACATAAATAATTATAACACCTCACCCACAGATTCTGTGTCTTGATTGGCCGAGAGCGAGTCACATGTTACTTTCTAATTTTGCTATCTTCCTGTGCAGGGCCAAAAGTACTATACCCGTAGCAACCAAAGTACTATACCATTAGCAACCAAAGTACTATTTCCACGGCCCGGTGCGGTATTTGTGTGCAAATGGATGCTGGTGTGCGCGTAGCGCGTATTGTTCCAAAGAGAGCGCGCCGCAGACTTGGGTTCAAACATTTCGTGAAGGGGTAGTTTGGAAGAGAGAAATACATTTTCCACCAATTTTGTATTGAAATTGAAGTTTATTTCAACTGTGTTCAGATTTAAATAATTTAAAATATTAAAATCAAGCAGAATCTGTGGGTGAAGTGTTATAAAACAAATATTGAATGCTTTATCTCGTGGTGAAGTAAAACTAGCCTCCCTCGGTGATCCATGGACCATTCTATTTTCCCTCGGCTTCGCCTCGGGAAAATAGAATGTCCATGGATCACCTCGGGAGGCTAGTTTTACTGCACCACTCGAAGCATTCAATATTTGTATAATATGTTCTGAGAAAATTGTGAAAATGCATCTTCATTTTTCCTAGACTTATATTAAGCAAGTTTTCTGTTGAAAGACCTCTCTTCCAAAATGTCCATTTTGACTTGCACCCTTTTAGGGTTTGATCGCCTGTTCGTCACAAATAATTTTCATTCATGGATATGTAAACGATTGCAAACTAAACTATCTTCGGTCAATATGGAGCAGTATTTGAGAAATAAGCTCTTTTTCTTTTTCTGCAAAGAAATGATGGCAATTCCTCTTTTCTTGAAAATGCCAGCATACTAGGCGCAGAGATCTCACAATCAAGTAGGACATTTCATAATATTTTGGCAGTGCGATTTTTTAATGTTTGCAGATTCAGTCCATGATTTGTAATCAACGTGTTTGTATGTTGGTAGGTGTTGAGATCTTGGAGTCCTTCAAGCGAGAGTTGTCCATGTATGAGAAGGATCGTCAGGAACTAGCTAACGCTGAGAAACTCTTTGATCTTCCCATCACCATGTACCCTGAGCTGCTGCAAGTACAGAAAGAGATGACTGGATTGGATAAAATCTATGAAATCTACAAACAACAAAAGGTATATTCAATATTGGGTTTTCCCCATCAGTGATGTTTTATAAACACTGTATACTCAGTGTTGTTTGAGTGCTTGTGAGAAAACACTAACAAATTGGGTGGCTAGTGCGTAAAGCTCTTGCTTCTCACCACTGTGGCCCTGGTTTCTTACCGACTCGGACCATATGTGAGTAGAGTTGTGTGCTGATTCTATCCTGTACCACCAGGGTTTGCCTCCGCATTCTCCGGTTTTCCTCCCTCCGCAAAAATCAAATACTTTCAATCTCTGGCTGCGCTCCGCGGTCATATATGAGTCATATGGATGGCTTCCAAAGGTGCCTTTGCATGCTTTCGGCTCGACTACGTTGTGGCTGGGTCCTTTGCAATTCAGCGTCTCCCCCAAATTATTATTGTTATTATTATTAACTACTCGGGAGGGGCTCGAATCCACAACCTCCTGCTTACTAGTGCAGAAGTCTTACCACTCAACCTTTGAGCTTGCCGGGGTCGGCTGGCTGGTTCCAATCTGATTTAGAAGTGGGTACTGCAACCAAACATGAGATGAATAGTACTCGCTGCTACATTTCTGCTGGAGATAGAAAATTGCTTAGCATAGAAAATTTTGGCTGAGCAACACGGGATCTGTAATTTTTGCTGATTTGCTAAAACACATGACTTTGCTGAGTAATTTTGTACTTACTAGTCCCTTAAAATTGAGCCAAAGTCTATAATAAAGTTTTGTTTCTCTTATTTTTCCCTTAAGGCTGCCCGTGAGGAATGGGCCCAGACACTCTGGGCAAACCTCAACGTCAATCACCTTGTAGACGGCATCGATACCTACATCAAGAACCTGAAGAAGCTGCCTCGGGAGGTCAAGAGTACCTCCACGGCACACATGGTGGAGGGGCGCATGAAGGAGTTCAAGGATTCCATCCCGCTGTTTGTGGATCTCAAGAACGAAGCGCTCCGAGAAAGGTCAGAATCTTAAAGCAAAAACTCACGTCAGTTTCAGACTGGTATTCCAGAGTAGCATTAAACCACATTATTCCAAAGATTTGATTTAAATACATGAATATCTCAAAGTTTGAAACAATAAGGATTGACTACGTTGAATGACAGACTATTTGAACCCAGTCAGAATGACTTTAGAATCTAGCCAATGGAAAATGAATACATAAATTTTACCTATCTAAAACTTAATTAATTTGGGTCGACTCAATCGTTCCAGATCTTATCTTTTTTTGTTCGATGCAACTCTGGAGCACTGGGGAGTGTTTATTGTGTGGTTGACTGAAGGTCACTTTCAAATATCTGAATAAAAAAAGAATTAAATTGTTAACTAACAAGTTAGTTATTAATTGTGTTATTTATAACACTTCTCTCATCCTTCTCTATGATATGGTTACCTTTTTAAAGTTTTCTGTTGGTTTGTTTAACAAACAAATGTACATCCTTTAGGGTTCTTACTGCACATTTTAGGGAGGCAGACTTTGGATTTAACAGATTACCATCAATTTAATTTCTGGGTATCATTAACATTAATGCTACGAATGTCCCTCCCAGTGTTCTCCATCAATTTTCCCTTTGTAAGTTTTGAGCGGGTACTTGTGAACAAGAGTTCATACTGATTCCTTGGATATATCTTTGTAACCTTTGACCTCTTTTACCTTTTGACCCCCACACCAGGCATTGGAAGGAATTGATGAACAAGACAGGCAAGTCCTTTGACATGAACCCTGACACGTTCACATTGGAGAACCTGTTTGCTATGGAGCTACACAACTACAAAGATGTCATTGGGGACATAGTCACTAGCGCATCCAAGGAATTGAGCATTGAGAAGGTATGGTGTGTCTATCAAGACAAAAATATCATAACACTTTATTGAAGTGTGTTAATCCTTTCTTTAGCTGGAGCTAATTTCTTGGATTAGCAAAGCCTAAACATTTGCTAAGCTCACAAAAGGATGAGGGAAACACTCAAAATAAATGCTTGGAATAATATAGGTTTATTAATACCTTCTAAAATTGTATGTTTGCTTCAAACTGGTTATCAGTGTGATTTTGCAAATCATTTTCATCTCCGTGAAATTGGCTTCTGGTTAATCAATCAATCAATCAAGTCGAGGCCCTTTGGCTTCGAGCCTGGTTTCAAGAAGCCTAATGTCTCTACATTTTACACAATACATCATTGATGGTTTTATAATAAATAAATGTTTGGGTTGTATAGTCAGGCGCAGACATCCAGGATTTTTTTGCATTGGCTTGTGGGAATTAGTTATACTGTCCTACTTTAACTCCGAGTTTCTTGCAAGTTAAATGACTCACCAAGTTGAAGTATATAAACAGCCAAAACTGGGCCGAGTCTATGCACACCGCAACGCGAACGGGGCAACTGCCCGCGCCGTGAATGCGGGGCGAGTTGGTTTTAACTCACGTGGTGAATATGCACACAAAGTTCGGTCACTAAACACTCACAAAAATCCACGAGAGAAGCTTGGATTGCTCACTGGAATAGCTCTGCCGATGTTTACTAAATCATGTAAAGAAAAGTGTTGATTCTAGCTTGTAACTTCCAAGCGAAAGTATAGGAAATGCACTGTAAATATTGCGTGTGTGACAGAAAACTAGTATAGACGAACAATAACGATACGACACTCCATGAATGAATGCATGAAGGTTGACCTCTGAACTACATGTAACATATATATACAAGATGCGTTAAAGGCGCAGTACAGTGAAACTTAAAGTGAACGCTACAGGCTTATCTAGCTCCCAGACACATGTTCTTAAAACTCAATGATTCTTGAGTCTGGAGTGCTGAATGGTAACACATAGCAACCGATGAAAACTGGTTGAATAGATGTTTTCATTGGCTGATGTAATCCCGTCCACACCTGTTATGGTGTTGGCCACACAGTAGCTTAGTAGTAAAAATTAGAAAACTTCTGGTCTGTTGTTAAAACAGCTCACCATATGTCAATGATTTGTTCCATGCCAGGGCATCAAGGAGGTCAACGACGTCTGGGAGAACATGAAGTTCAGCGTCAACAAGTACATGAAGGGCACCCAGGAGAGAGGTGTCATCCTCGGCTCGGTGGATGAAGTCATGCAGATCTTAGACGATAACTCTATGAATCTACAGAGCATGTCGGCATCTCGGTTCATCGGGCCGTTCTTGAATACCGTGCAGACATGGGAGAAGAGCTTGTCACTGATTGGTGAAGTTCTGGAGGTGAGGCTCTTCTGAATTATATGACTATGGCTTGCAATTAAACATGTGCCTATGGAAACAGCTGAAGCCACTTCCCCATATATATGTGTGTTACTGTAATAGTCATAGCTTGTGACTGGTTCTCTGCATATTTTGCTTAGGAGATTAATTTGACAAGCAATATTTTCTATATATTATTTGAGATCTATAACATTGGGTCCAAGAAGGATAAGGGAGTGGGAGGAATTTGTCTAACTGGCGACCAGCAAGTTTTTACCAGCAATGAAAATTTAAGGTATTATGGATATTTATGTTGCTTGTTTTGCCTGATGTTTGTTTTTTCAAGGTCTGGATGGTCGTCCAGCGTAAGTGGATGTATCTTGAGAGTATCTTCATCGGTGGTGACATCAGATCACAGCTGCCTGAGGAAGCCAAGAAATTTGACGCCATCGACAAAACCTTCAAGAAAGTAAGTCCTTCAATAACCCCAAATAAAGAAGCCCCTTATATTCTGTGTAGCCATTGAATTTGTTAAGGTTTTACTAGAGTTGCTGCCAGTTCCACAAGTCAAATCACAAGTCAAATCACAAGTCATTCACGAGTCAAATTGCAAAGAAAAGCTGAAGTCAGGCCACACATTAAAGGGAATGAACTATGACAACTGAATGCCTTTGTCAAACTTCATTCCAATAGCTTGTGAATTGACTTCAAACTTTTTAAAACTTGGCTGTAACTCTGGTTTTTATTCAAACATGAGTAAGGCCAAAAAACAAAAGTCTTCAGTTTCTGGTATGGAGCTTGCCCCAAAAGTGGTGCGGTGACACAGCTTTTTTTTATTATTATTATTTTTTATTTCTTCAAATGTCGACTGATGACTGCAAATGGTACACGACTAAATTTAGTGCAAAATGTGTGGGACCTCAGAGAGGCCACATAAAGCTTATACTCGATTGTTACCCCATCTAAAAACACGTTAAAATTGTGCAGCAGCAGGATTCCAGTCAAACCAGTGAGTTTGTCAGTTTTGAGACATCATCTTACATTGAAAAAAAAACTTTTTAATTTTGCCGACGCGCATGGCTACGGTGACGCACGCGCAGACCAGAAACCGAACCCTTTTTTGGGGGGCCTAATACTGTGGCATAATGGTTATAATTGGTACTGAGTTTTCAGGAGTTTGGGGATCGAATCCTGTTCGCAAACCCTATTGTTTGAAATCCTGTAAAATGTTGTAAGCTTTGAAATATGGTATTCATTGACAGCTATTTTCTTTTATGGTAATATGGAAGATTGCTTAGGGTTAGCAGAACCATGAAATCGGGATAGACTGCACACAAACTTTACTCTCTGTTCTGCAAAATAGATCAAGATGAATTTGGAAAATGCTTTGATTCTATGTAACCTAAGTATGGTGTAAATGATAACCTAAAGTATGTCACAAACTCAGTGTGGTTTTGATAATCTATGGTTTCAGTCACAACTCAAGATACAATCTGGATAGGTATTTGCAGTTGACAAGATTGAAATCCAACCTCAAGTATGGTTTGAACTGTTTCTAGATCATGCAAGAGACAGTAGCCAACCCGCGCATCAAGGATGCCTGCCACGCATCCAACCGCCTTCAAGACCTAGAGATGATCAGTACGGGCTTAGAGAAATGCCAGAAGAGTCTGAATGATTACCTGGACTCCAAGAGGAATGCCTTCCCTAGGTTCTTCTTCATCTCTGATGATGAGCTGCTGTCTATCCTGGGAAGCAGTGATCCGTCCTGCGTGCAGGAACACATTATCAAGGTTAGTAGGATCTGTGATCAAGTAACTTGTGAAGGGTGACACACAGCATCAATGCTGCCATTATTCTTCAAGCAAACTTGAATGGTCCATTTCTGGGAGCAAAAGTGTCACATCCCACACACCACGGTCTATATCGCACTCTGCGTATCATGCTATTCTAAGATGTGCAAACTATTTCGACTTCTTGAACATGTAAAAGGATAGCCGCTGCTAAGAATGTGTACAGCGCCTGGTTCCAGCCGTACTGTTTGTCAAATTTTCTTGAAGATAATTTGCTTGTCCTACTCTAGCTCATGGAACACGGAAAATGTAGTGGGTCTGTGTCCCACATGCCATAAGGCCTTCAGCATCGTGGCACGGGACACATGCCTACTACAATATTCTGTGTTCCACTCGTGCTTGTGGGCCAACTAACAGTGTACATCGGTCATACATGTTGCAACCAGTGCATGGACACACCGTGCCCAGCACACTGGACCTTTCTTGAGTAATCACACAATGCACTTTGCTGTTCGTAAATGGAGTCAATTGTCAAAGGCTATGCAGAGACTTGGTACTAGCCTGTCTTGCTGTCATTGTCGAGCAAATCCTGCCTTACCTAGGAATGCACTCTGAAATGCATGAATAAAGAATGAATGAATGAATAAATAAAAGCAAATAGATGAACAGCAAAATATAACAAGTTTTTACTGGGCTTCTGATAACCACTTTAGCAACTTACCTTAGAACGCAGGCTGTGAATAGTTGACAAAGTTCATCTTTGAATTGAAAAGTTAGTCCCTCTCTTGTTATCATACATATCTGTTTGAAACTTGCTCGGAGTTCCTTCCAATTTCCTTAAAGTTGCATAGCAAGGAGACTTTCTTAGTAACAAAAATAACTATTGTGCTTGTATGATTCCACATTTAGCTTTCATTTCCCTTCATCCACCTTTTCCACAGATGTACGACAACATCTCCTCGCTGCGTCTTCAAGAAGGCAACAATCGTGAGACCCTGGTGACAGCCATGATATCGGCTGAGGGTGAAGTGATGGAATTCCGGCAGGCTATCCCTGCGGAGGGACGGGTTGAGGATTGGATGACTAGCGTGCTGGTGGAGATGAGACGAACCAATCGGCTGATTACCAAGGAAGCTATCTTCACTTACTGCGCCGACAATGTTACCAGGTTAGTGGAAACAAAAGGCTCTTGCAAACTATCCAAAATTGCTGTCTTGTACCTGGGTCCATCAGGAAGATATTTTGGACCCCTTTCACACTAGCAAGAATCTAGCACGGCTTCTACTCAAGTCCAGCGCTCTACACGGGTGTAATCCAACCCTGGTCAGAACCAGGGTTCAGAGGCTCAACCCGGGTAGAAAATCTAGAAACCACGGCTGACCCATGTACGCACTGGTGTAAGTGCAAATGGTATGCCTAGTTGATCCATGTTCATTCAGACCCGATTCCACTCGTAATCGGCCGGTGTTTATTTTAACACGGGTAGGCGAGACCATACTCTAAAAAGGCCTGAACATGGACCGGATAATCTCTGTCTGTACAGTTTGATATTCGAAACCCACTAAATTCAATGTTCGCTGTGGAATATTTGTACGAAATAAAGATTTGATAGTTTCTTGCATTTGTGCAATTAATCCAGGCATAAGTCAGAAACAATCATTGCCTTACAAAAGAAAATGCACATGTTCTTAAATTTGAGGTGAGCATGACGTTTGTTAAGACAAAAGAGTATTTTGTATACATGTATGTTCAGCCTGTTTGTGATCATTCATAGTGCCACACTAATGCATCCACACATGTTCTTCATTAAGTCTGACATGTGTGCAATTATGCATGACGTGTGACTGGAACATGCAGAGGAGCATAGGCAAGACGAACGTGTTGTCTGCATGCGCAGTGCATGGAGTTAATGACTAAATCTAGAAGGGTCCTTTTAGTGCAATATAGACTCCATGCAAAAGCACCCCCTCAATGGTTACAAAGAGAGAGTTTGGAGGGACCACTGACATTACAATGGGAGAAACACTTGTACACATTGGCACCATACGCCTACCGCTCACGTGAAGACTCTACACATATGAGCACATTTAATAAAGAAACTATTCGTGCCTACTTAATTATACTGCCCTACGCACCAAAACCAGTGGACTTGTGCGCGCCCAGGCAGTGTGTCCCTTCCATAGAGCTCTAGTAAGCAATCAAACAGCCCATGTACTACTCATGCACATAGTCCATTGATTTCTTGTTGTTGTTCTGTGGTTGATATCCAGGGTGAACTGGATGTACAAGTACCAAGGCATGGTGGTGCTGGCTACCAACCAGATCTGGTGGACCTGGGAAGTGGAAGACGTCTTCAATAAGGTGGTCAAGCTAGGAGATAAGACAGCGATGAAGAAATACGCCAAGAAGATGCACCAACAGATTAATGATCTTGTTGTACAGGTACGGTGTTAAGGTCTATGTCGTAGCTTTGCCTTGATAGATGTTGTGAACAAAGGAATGCAGCTGTCTTGTAGCTTTTATTATTTTATTATTCTGTAGTAAGTAGTTATACTTTGGGCAGTCTTAAACTCTAATAACTTACTCTGGTGGAATTTGAACCAGTGACCACTTGCTTGCAAGAGCAGGTGTCTCAGCCACATGAATACATGGTTTGCTGGGATAACCTGGGCTTTGAATATGATATTGTTACATCGTCTAGAATTAACCTGTTAGCACATGTAATACATCATATTTACACTGTTCTTCTTGATGAATGCTGGGGCTGTTTAGGGCAGTACTTGGAATAATAAGTTAATGATATTTGATAGATTTTTGGCATTTTAATAAGGTTTTGCCCTTAACAGGTTTTTTTTTTTTGGAATGTGGTGTAGTGGTTAGGGTTTGTTACTCATGATCAGAGAGTCAGGGGTTCGAATCCAGTTGCTGGTCATATGTTGTGTCCGTGGGCAAGCCACTTCACCCCCACTTGCCTCTCCCCACCCAGGAGTACAAATGGGTACCGGCATTAGCTGGGGAGTAACCTGCGATGGACTAGCATCCCATCCAGGGCAAATAGAAATATTCTCAGTCGTTTCATGCCACTGAAACCGGAGACAAACCCCGGCCTGATGGGCCACATTGGCTCGTGACAGACTTTACCTACCTACCTTAACAGATTAAGTGTAAATAAACTCTGTATGCTCAGTTCTTTCTAAGAGCTCGTTTAAAAAAAATGAAATGAAAATTGCAGGAGTTAACTTGGGTTGGACCTGAACCGACGACCTGTTTACGGTTGCTGGCTGACTCAAATCTAATATTATACTGTATTCATTCATGAATTTATTCCAATGAAATTATTTCTCTTTCATGCTGCGTGTGATACGTCTGTTTTTTTTTACTCTCTCCTTTCTCCAGGTACGATCACCCTTGTCCAGTAACGATCGTAAGAAGTACAACTCTGTGCTCATCATTGATGTGCATGCCAGAGATATCATTGATGGCTTTGTCCGAGACAGGTAGGTTTATTCCCAACAGATTGAAATTATAGACATTATTGGAATAACTGCAAAGAAAAGTTCTACAATATGAAAAAAGCTAGGGGCTAATTTTGTGAAGGTGTTTAAATAGTGGGGTTTTACTGTGTACTTGGTGTTGTCCAAGGGCTTGCAAAAACAAATTCACAAGCTTACTCGGGTGGGACTCGAACCCACAACCTCATGTTTACTAGTGCAGACGTCTTACCACTCAACCACTGAGCTTACAAGGGTTCAGATTTGATATAGGAGTGGGTACGACAACCTTCATTTCATGAAGGCACTGGCGTAAAGATTCATTGAAATTTTTTAAATGTCCTTTCATGAAAATATTAACGATTGATTAAAAATAATTTCTTTTTTGCTTACCCCAAATTATTACTGAAAGTGAAATGAAATGAAGGCAGAAATAAAGCACCAGTCTATTTTGTATTGTTGACAGCATCTTGGATGCCAAGGAGTTTGAATGGGAGAGCCAGCTGCGTTTCTATTGGGACAAGGAACCAGACGAGCTCAATGTGCGACAGTGTACAGGAACGTTTGGCTATGGATATGAGTACATGGGACTCAACGGACGATTGGTCATCACACCACTGACTGACAGAATCTACCTGACACTAACACAGGTATGCGATGAAATTGAAGAACAAAAGTGATAATTCATGGCTAAAAATCTAATGAACAAAAAAAAATACTTAGTTCAATTTTTAACATTACGTACAAAGAAATTGAATGGAGTGGGATTTGAACCTGTGACCTCTAGATTGCCGTTCCGGTGCTCTACCAACTGAGCTATCCAGCCCTATGTTGGCGGTTCCCCAATTTGTCAATGTCTTTGTTCATGGGGCGCTTGTCCGAAGTCATAAACCTGTTTTTACTATGCAGCCAGCGATCACACTTAAAGTTGCAATGCTAGCAACATTGCTGCAAACCTAGGAAATAGTAAACAGGTACCATTCAGAGCATGGATAGGATACAACTTTTTATTACAAATTATCAAATAAACCACTCAACAAAAACTTATTAGTTAAAAAGTCAAAAGTTCAACATCAGCCTTCTTAAATTAAATTTGTCTGAACCGACAGTGTGCAAACTTTAAATGCGGAATCCTTTTTGAGTGTAGAATATTGAGAGCCAAATTTCTTCGTATTGTAATGGCTAAATCTTGTCCATTGTGTACATCAGGTGCATGAAAAGACTTTCAGTGAATATCCATTTTGAACCAATTGAATAGAATCGTGTGCACTCTGGGACCAGCTTTACTTGGCTTACCTTGCCTTGTTACATGTGGCTAGGAGAGAGGCAACACACTGGCTCCAGAGAGCTTTAAATTTTCGAGTCACCGGAAGAAGGCCTCGTGGGAGACCCAGAAAAACCTGGAGGGAAACTGTAGAAGAAGATGCCAAAACATCTGGTATCGCTCACATGGACCCCACAGACAGGAAAGCTTGGAGAGCAGCCATTAAGGAAATGAAATGTCCAACCCCACAAAGTGGGACAAATGGACTCTAAACGCTGATGATGATGTTACCACTGAGTGTTTAGTTATAATAATGAAATGTATTGTTTGTTTGATGGACAGGCATTGTCAATGCAGCTGGGAGGAGCACCAGCTGGCCCGGCAGGTACTGGCAAGACAGAAACCACTAAAGATCTAGCTAAGGCCCTGGGTCTACTGTGTGTGGTCACCAACTGTGGTGAAGGCATGGACTACAAGGTAAGTGTGGGCTATGGGCTGTGTGCATGAACAGTAGAGGGCGCTATGCGGTACAGGCAAGACAGAAACCACTAAAGATCTGGCTAAGGCCCTGGGTCTACTGTGTGTGGTCACCAACTGTGGTGAAGGCATGGACTACAAGGTAAGTGTGGGCTATGGGCTGTGTGCATGAACAGTAGAGGGCGCTATGCGGCTTGCCATCAGATCCATATGAGGCCACAGCATGCTTAAATGTAATGGACACCATTTACCCCCCAAAATAGTTTTTTTTGCCGATTCAAGGAACAAGAATACAATAAATCTGAAGTAGTTTATTAAAAAACTAACCTGTCGAAATTTCAGTTCAGTAGATATACTTTTGAGGGATCTATGAAAACGCATCTTGATTTGTCTTGTGGCAAAGCAAGTTTTCCGTTAAAAGCCCTCCCTTCCAAAATGTTCATTAACATATTTTGACCTGCCTCCTCTTGTGATATGATCCCAGTTTGACACTCAGGAAAATGATTTTCAGTTCCTGTAATATTTGGAATGTTGTCATTTATGTGAACATTACACGTTTTTAAATGAATCCACAACATGAAATGAAACCAAAGATGTAATAAAAGGTAGAGGGTTGGAAACAACCTGTGATTGTTTTGCTTATTTATTAATAAAATAATATTACTAAATTTTCCTTACAGAACAAAAACATTTACCGTCAACATTATGATTTTCAAATCCGAGCATTGCATGCACTGAATGTGTCAGGTTAAAATTGTTACATTTCTACGTTAATAACCATCCATCCTAATGCAGTATCTTTTCCCCTTCAGGCTGTTGGTAAGATCTTCTCCGGTCTAGCTCAGTGTGGTGCTTGGGGATGCTTTGATGAGTTCAACCGTATCGACGTCTCGGTACTGTCTGTCATCTCATCACAGATTCAAACCATCAGAAACGCTCTCATTCACAACCTCAAGAAATTCCAGGTAAAGAACAAAGTTGTTTCAGTTATAATTTTATTCTTCATATGCGTAGTATGGACCCTTCCTGCCTATCAATGAAATGGTGTGCATTAACCAATTACATCGCAGCGTTTGGTCAGGTGATCTAGCTCAGTCAAACTTGCTCACAAGTATTATGGGAAATGTACCCGGACCTAAGATGGGCAGGGGTGAGGCATAATCCGGAAGAGTTCATTGTAACTGTATACTTGGTACTTTCCAAGAGCTTGTCAAAAAAACCTTGACTGGCTTACTCGGGTGGGAGTCGAATCCAAGCCCTTTCGTTTGCTAGTACAGATATCTCGCCACTAATTCTTCAAACTTGCTGATATCCACTGGCCAGTTCGAATCCAAGATATCCAATATACCAGTTTTATTTCATCAAGAAATCTGCATCTTAATTGCTTAATAGACTGATCCAATGCCCCACCCCCCCCGTGTTTTGGTAATTGGCAGCCATGATAAATATCCGGCATGCGTGCAAAAAGTCGGACATGTGTACACTTTCTTATGATATGCACGGCTGAAACATGCAGTTTGGCATTGGTATGGCGCTTATTTTGTTGCCACTTGTGCAATGGATGACGCTTAAATGATTGGTCTATTGGTTAGGTGTAAATTTGAATTGTTTCTTAACAATTATTTATCATCTGTTGGTTTCATATTGTTTATATTTCAGTTTGAAGGCAATGAGATCACTATGGATAATCGTATGGGTATCTTCATCACCATGAATCCTGGCTATGCTGGCCGTACTGAGCTACCAGAGAGTGTCAAAGCTCTCTTCAGACCAGTGGTGGTCATCGTTCCTGATCTGGGGCAGATCTGTGAGATTATGCTGTTCTCTGAAGGATTCATCTTGGCCAAGGTAAAAAATACTCAAGCCACTGCAATTAAAAGACTTTAATACTATACCTCATACATATTCATGATCGAGAGCCGAACGTTCACTGGTCAATTCACCATCACGTGCCAGATGTTATTTTTGCTGTTTACCAAACGCGCGCGCGAGGATTCACGCACATTGTAAATACGCATGCGTAGTAGACTGTCGCATGGGTTACCCGTGCGACAGTCTACTACGCATGCGCTTTACAGAGCAATCGAGGAACTGTCGCACGGGTGCAGTACGCACGCGCGAACATCGCCCAGGAGTGATGCATGGTTGCATGGTTCGCGTAAATGTTATTTTCCAGAGCTCAATGATGCCGTACTGGAGAAAATTTATAGACCGTGTAAAGATGTCTCCTGTACAAAAGAAAGTTGTACACATTGCAAACATTTGTATTTACAACTGTAGTAACTGTATTATATTGCAAACAAACCGAACTAGTAATTGAAGTTGAATTTTTTGGTGAGCTGTACAAGTTCCCCGAATTTTGTTTTAGGTGCATAATAATAAAACAAAATTTGGCAACTGAATATGTATGAGGTATAGTAAAACAAATATAACATGATTTATTTCGGGTGGACAGTCGATATTAGCTCCCCTCGGTATTGGAAGTTGACAAACTAGTTCCCTCGGCTTCGCCTCGGGAACTAGTTTGTCAACTTCCAATACCTCGGGGAGCGAATATCTACTGTCCACCCTCTAACCATGTTATATTTGTATATTGTGGTATGCCAGGCTCTGATGCAGGTGATTCACATGCACTGAATGGTCCCGTACCCAATAGTGTTTGGAAAACCTGACAATAGCCTTGATTTAACCCAAGCTTTCAGCACCTTTGACAGTAATTAAAATATTTCCAGATGTAACAGTTTTGAATTAAAAATTTAATCCCTTTTTGGAAATATAGACCACTCCAAGTTGCCCACTTTTGGCTTTCCATCATTACTGAGATGCTGCAAAGCTCCCTTTGGTATTTCTCACAGAGCGCATTTTCAATGGCTGCTAAAGCATGGAAGCAGCCTGGTAATGGAAAAAATACAACCATAATTTCATAATCAAATTGGGTTATAGTAGTTAAGAAATCATTTTGATTTTTATATTCATGAATCAGGAGGCTTTGACGATTTGATATAAAAATGGTTAAGTTTAAAAAAAAAAACACTTTGCTTTGATCCGTAGAAGTTCCAGCAAGATATTTTGTGCTAAGCCGCACCATGAGATTTGAACCAGATTTATTTGCCTGCATTAAACAAGCCAAGTGAAGTTTTTTTAGTTGATTTTTTTTACTGAAGGTGATGAAGAAAAACTCTTGATTGGTGATTTTTCTTTCAGGTTCTTGCCAAGAAGATGACCGTCCTGTACAAGTTAGCCAAGGAGCAGCTGTCCAAGCAATACCACTATGACTTTGGCCTACGTGCTCTCAAGTCCGTCTTAGTCATGGCTGGTGAGCTCAAGAGAGGATCACCTGACTTGGCAGAGGTAAACAAATATTATCAATGTTCTTAATCCCTCCTGGTCTTCAGCACTTGACAACCCTTCAAGTTATGTTGAGGTCATCTTCTGTGGAGTATGGATAACACTTCAAATCTCTGCACAATTCGTTTGCATGGTTAGACTCTGGCAGCAGGCTGATTCGGTCACACTTCACTGCTCTCCACAGTGCTATTTTGTGCAGTGACTCTCTACGTGACACAGTTACTTTAACATTTCACTATCTCTTAACCTGAAACTGACCTGCGTGGCTTTTAAAGGTTTTACATTTTGCACTGAATATTGACATAGACACATTTGTGACATTTCAACTTTGATACATTTAAACTGCAGCTGGATTCTTGTGACGTTTCAACTGCCATGAACACTTCTAAGTCTTCTGTTGTACCCCCTCCTTAATTTGCAGGACGTTGTATTGATGAGAGCTCTGCGTGACATGAACCTTCCCAAGTTTGTCTTTGAGGACGTACCCCTCTTCTTAGGTCTGATCTCGGATCTCTTCCCTGGCCTAGACTGCCCTAGAGTCAGATACCCCAACTTCAACGATGCAGTAGAGGCAGCCCTAACAGACCAGAATTATATCCAGCTAGACCACCAGGTAAACAGTACACTATCATCCTGACATAACTGATAATGATGATTGGAGATGAGATATTTATTCTTCACGTTCTCTGTGGGCGAAGCTCACGTGCCAGTCTACCCATAGCCTGAACACAGCTTCAGAATCTCTCATGGGCAGATTTAGAGTCAGAGAACGTCGAGACAGAAGACCTGACCTCATTACACACGTGATATGAGGACAGGCAATGGCCTCGTGCATCTGATATGTGATTGGTTGCTATGCGCCTTGGCTTTGCCTCCGCTGTAGTTTGATTGGCCTAATTCTCCTGCCCACTCATGCTTCTTGCTTAAGGGAGCGCCCTGTTGGTACGTGCGTAGATATTTCAATCAGGTTGACCTACATCATAGGTCAACCTGACAATCCACGCACTGGCCGTATTGGATTTTAATTGGTTGTCCACAATAATCCACCAGTTTGAATCTGTGTTCAGACCAGAGACTGTCCAGCGTGTCATTGGCCGTCAAGTCAATTGAAATACCTACTCATGTACAAATAGGGTGCTGTGTTCCATAAGACATGGGAGCAGGCTAGAAAAGTAAGCCAATAACATTACAAGGAAGGTGTCATTGTCGAGGCACATTGTCGAGGCAACCAATCAGATTTCAGAATCCCCATAGGCATTGCCTGTCAATATATACATGTGTGATATGTGATCATGTCGCCAGTTTACCAAAAATCCATCATTATCATAACCATGTTTTGCAGAGAGACTTTGGAGCACATTGACCATTACATTACTTGCTCGATGTCGATTGGGACAGAAATCATACAATGAATGTGTAATTGCATAACTCCAAAGAGTTGGAGTATGGCAAACTCAGGACACTTCCAAGCAGAGATGTATGAGGAGTTAGGGTTCATACAGCCAAATATTCTTAAGGCCAGTTCATACTTGCCGTGAATGCGAATCAGATTTGATGTCACGAAACATTCACTGCAAAATTTCCCAGAGTTGAGATGTATTCAACTTTTGCAAATTTGTAGCATGAAAACTTGCTGTGACGTCACAAATTTGCATTCACCTTCGCTTTTGCGCTGAGCATAACCAGCTTTTGGAATTGATTTCCATTGTGTGTGCAGCATTCGTTGTTTGCATTATCTTTATCTTTATCGTGGTATATTTTTTAGGTTGACAAAGTTGTCCAGATGTATGAGACAATGCTGACCAGACACACTACCATGGTTGTTGGTCCAACAGGCGGTGGGAAAACTGTTGTCATCAATGCACTGGCCCAGGCACAGACAAAGTAAGTTGTAGTTTGAAAATCATGATTATAATGACAATTACTCAGTCCACCAGTTCAAAACTTAACTTAATCATTGTCTTCGGTGAACTTTAGAACCCATGCAATTTTTCTTCCTTCCCCCCCCCCCCAAAAGTTGGATTTTTACTTAAGTCTTAAACATTCCAAGTCAAAGCATTCTGTAAACCATGCAAGGTTTTTGGTAACGCCATCAAAGGGTTTTCCGTGTGAGTGTTGAGAAGATTATTCTTAGAAATGCTCGATAAACACGAAACTCCCCCTCCACTTCAAAGCAGAAATCTGTCTACGGTGCTTTTGCTAATCTTCTACAGTTTACGTCTCCTTCAAGCAAATTTGCAAGCTTTTATAAAAGCACTTTAAGTGTCCGAATCCTTTGTGTCCCGAGTTGTTCCTATCCCGCAGATGAAATTAAAGTTCCAAAACTGGGTCTGTGAGGCAGAATTGCTGTTTGTAGATCCTTCAAAACTGTGCCTGATGTAATTCTTCTCAACTACAATTCTCTCATCAACAGACTCGGCATCCACACCAAGCTCTACATCATGAACCCAAAAGCCATGAGCGTCATTGAACTCTACGGCATCCTGGATCCAACCACTCGAGACTGGACTGACGGACTGCTGTCCAACATCTTCAGAGAGATCAACCGACCAACGGACAAGAACGAACGCAAGTACATTGTCTTTGATGGCGATGTGGACGCGCTGTGGGTGGAGAACATGAACTCTGTCATGGACGACAACCGACTGCTGACGCTGGCTAACGGAGAGAGAATCAGACTGCAGAAACACTGTGCACTGCTCTTTGAGGTAGGGCTAAAGAAGTTGAGATTTGCTGTGGATCTGTGGATTATTTATTGCAATGCAAAGCTTGGATTGCTTTCCTTGACCCAGGCTAATGAATAAAGAATAAATGATGGGCGTCAGATGCTAAGCCTTAATTGGGCAGTTTATAGAGGTCACGCCACGTTTGTAAACATCCATGCACTTAAGCGCTATGCGCGCCAAATTCAGCTGTGAAGTGTGACAATCAAGCATCACTACTGCCAATCAAAATATTACTATTTCCCACTCTGGCAGCGGTTGTTTGGTATTTGATTTTTATTGTTGTCCTACCCTTAAAACAAAAGTGAAAACTTTGATTGCGTCAATTTATACTGTTTTGTCCTTCAGCATTGGGTAAAAAAGTTGCATTCACAATTTAATGACTGAAATATTTTGAATTTCCCATGAATTTTCGATTCTGTTTTCAGCCTGCCTAATATCCCTGGAAAACTTAGCATGACTTTCCATTGTTTACAAACATCTGTTCACAATTCATCCAGTGATGAATTGTGAGGTCACATAAAGAATGGAAATGCCCTGTTTTGTGTACAAGACGCATATCATCAACATATATCTTACATCCTTTTAGTAGTTTTTGCCAGATTCCTTAACATAGTGAAAGGAAGTATGAGATAGAATCTTTGGTTCTTCTTAGAACTCTGGTTCTTTTAAAATTTCAGCCTCAATTTCATATTTTAATAGAAGAAGAAATTTTGTCTAAGATCACTTATGATAATTCTATCGCATTCTAGGTATCAGACCTTCAGTACGCCTCCCCAGCCACCGTCTCTCGCTGTGGTATGGTCTTCGTAGACCCCAAGAACCTGGGCTACATTCCCTTCTGGCAGAAATGGATCAACGCTCGCCAGTCTAAACAGGAACAGGAGGATCTGATGAGACTGTTCAATAAGTACGTCCCGGGAGCCATCGATCTGATCCTTGAGGGTATGGTGGATGGCAAGCCAGGAGATAAACTCAAGATGATCGTACCGCTTACCAACCTCAACATGGTAGGTTTGACATTCAGTGAATTACATGGCCAAGTTGTTACTTGGCTGGAAGAGCCAGCCTCTTGTCCACTGACTAACTGAGTCACTGACTGACTGACTCCCCGACTCCCCGAGTCACTGACTGACTGAGTCACTGACTAACTGACTCCCCGACTCCCCAAGTCACTGACTGACTGAGTCACTGACTGACTGACTCCCCGACTCCCCGAGTCACTGACTGACTGAGTCACTGACTGACTGAGTCACTGACTGATTGAGTCACTGACTGACTGCCTCCCCGAGTCACTGACTGACTGAGTCACTGACTGACTGAGTCACTGACTGACTGCCTCCCTGAGTCACTGACTGATGAGTCACTGACTGATTGAGTCACTGACTGACTGCCTCCCCGAGTCACTGACTGACCGAGTCACTGACTGACTGAGTCACTGACTGATTGAGTCACTGACTGACTGCCTCCCCGAGTCACTGACTGACCGAGTCACTGACTGACAGAGTCACTGAGTATAATTCAGTCCTAAACTGAGACTTTCAGGTCCAGCCCGACTGGGCAAGCCAAGTCTTGTCTGTTTTCTGACAATTTATGTACTGGTTATTGTTTTAAAGTTGGTGCCGATTTGCTTGCCTCCGTCAGTTAATCTTGAACAGCCTGTTAGCAAAACAACCTACTATGATGATTAGTCATTATTTGCTCCTATTTGTGGAATATGCACACTACGTGCTCTAAGAACCTTTGATTTTTTAAGTCCTGCCTTGAAATGCATTTTTTTTTGCGCAACGTTTTACTGAACTTTTTATAAGATGGAATTTGCATTGGGAAGATGTAAATTCTATATTGGGGTTGTGCCCTTCGCAGACATATTATGTAAACACTGTACACTCAGTGTTGTCCGAGGGCTTGCAAGAAAAAAAAATCACAAGCTTACTCATCAGGTGGGACTCGAACCTATGACCTCCAGCTTACGAGTGTAGATGTCTTATTACTCAACCACCGAGCTTGCTAGGGTCGGCTGGCAGTGGGTACGGCAACAGAAGAAATAATCTTTGTCTTGCAAACAGCGAACACAGTGAAATATTGTGGATTTCGTAGCTCAGAGAACATTAATAATCGTGCTTGTCAGTCATGAATAAAATACGTAACCTGTCATTACAATTTGTAAAGGTGAACAAATACATGTTTATTTACTGGGTTTGCAAAGGCCCATGAGAGTTTCCCAGAATTTATCCATTTTATTATGTTAACGTTTCTGTATGAAACCAATTTCAATTGGGGTTGATTGAGTTGCTCTAAATTCATTTTGGTTCACTGGAACTCAAGAATGCTAGTCTGGAACGGTAGTTAGTGCTTGTAAGCCACAGACCCACCTGTTATTCTTTGAAACAAGTTCTTGGTTTCATCATAAGAACTGTTTAAATGTTTTTAATTCCACCAGGTGACCCAGCTGAGTAAGATGCTGGATGCCTTAGTCACCAAGGAGCACGAGTCGGACGTCTTAGAAGCCATCTTCATCCAGGCTCTGTACTGGTCCCTGGGCGGTTCACTCATTGAGGACAGCCAGGTCAAGTTTGATAGTTTCATCAAGGGGACGGCTTCCATGGCCAGTGTCTCTGATGAGGGGACGGACGCTGGGCCTGGCGAGCTACCAGGACAACTGGAGTCCATCTATGAGTACTACTTTGATCAGGAGAAGCAAAAGGTAAGCCACAATTGTTTTAGAAGCCACACGCAAAACTTCAAATTTCCTGAACCCCTTTTTTATGGTGGGGGGGGGGGTGTGGCCTCATTTTCCAGAGGGGGCACTCAATGCGCTTTTAACCAAAAAAGCTAATTTTTACTGCCGCCAAATTCTGAGTTGGGAGGGGTGTGCAGGGGAGGGGAGGGGTACAGGCCTTGAGCCCTCCCCACCCCCCTCCCCTTCATTCTGCCACTGCACATGTCTTAAACTTAAAAGCTCTCCAAAATCCTGTACTAAAAATGGAACGGTGTTCCAGCAAAATGACAATGTAAATCTGCCCCTTTTTTCCAACAATTTTTTTTTAATATCAATTTTTTTATACTTTAGGATTCTAAACTGAAAAGAATAGCACAAGACAGTCTGTTCTGGTTACTGGCATTTCAATATTTTAAATGGATTTTGTCTAATTTACTCCATCTCCCCTTAGTGGATTCCATGGTCTAGACTGGTACCCAAGTACGTCCATGACCCAGAGAGGAAGTTCTATGAGATCCTGGTCCCCACCCGAGACACAGTCCGCAACACCTGGCTCCTAGAGCTCATGGTGCACACTAAGCAGCCTGTACTGTTTGTTGGAGACACAGGGACATCCAAGACAGCAACCATCCAGGATTTCCTGAGGAACATTGACCAGGAGAGCAATGTAAGTTGAACCTACGATAATTTGTGACACTTCCAGAACCAGGCTTACATTGGTAGTACTGGTTGTTGAATATTTTGACCATGTACATGCTTGCAGCTAAGAGCAAGTTGGGGTGTGGTTGATTCGTGACCTTACACCTGCGCACTAATTGCAATGCCCGAACACGTCTAGTCAAACAATGATCAAAATGTCAACACGAAACTTCCTGATCCTGGCTCCCTGCTGTGCTTTATGAAGTGCAAGGTTATTGGTAACCAGTGATGCAATCATGCCCCATGCTCTGGTTCCAAATAGTCGACTAGAGTAGTTCAACCATCCTGCGTTCGAGTGAAGTTAGTCGAACTATGGTTAACTGTACTTCGCGCCCAAGCTTGCTGTAAAGTACAGCTTTGTTTGCTGTAAGCTTTGGCAGTTATGAGCAGTGTGCATTCTTTGTGTATGTTAAACCTTTTTTCCTGGCGATTTCAGGTTTATTTTATGGATTAACTGGAAACAGAAATGTGTTTCTCAGGAAAGGCAGGAAACCAGTCCGTAATGTGATTTAATGCATACTGCTTCAACTTGCTTGTACATGGTTCCAAGCTTATATTTGATAAGCAAGCAGATATGCTGAGCAATATTTTCTGCTTATCAGAAATTTTTAGAATTCACTGAAAGTGTTAGGTTGGAAATTATAATTCTACTGATCTTAAACAAACCCCAAACTAATTCTTTTTAATTTTCCCTTTTTCCAATAATATTGAGGTATAAATTGCAATTTCTTGTTGAAAATCGCCCCGACTAAAATTTTGACTTTTTCTTTATTTTCTCAGTTGATTCTGAACATCAACTTCTCATCCCGTACCACCTCCATGGACGTCCAGCGGAATCTAGAAGCTAACGTTGAGAAGCGTACTAAAGACACGTACGGTCCCCCTCCTGGTAGACGCTTACTAGTCTTCATGGACGATATGAACATGCCACAGGTAGGAACACAGCCCAAACAATGTCAAATGTTACCTAGTAAAGGCCAGTATATAGACCTGTTGCATTATTATTATTATTAATGGTTTATTTAAAGACTTTCGCAGCCATAGGCTGAATTACAGTCAGTTTACAATAAAAATCTGAAAAAATACATTAGCATAAAAAATTACATTTGCATAAAATTCATAAAACTGTCAGACATAAAAAATAAAGTACATAGTAAAAGTAATACAGTATACATGTACATTGTTAAAGATATAAAAGATGGAAAAATACAATTACCACAAGAGTTAAGGAGAATCTACAAGGCCTTACCCATGAACTGTGTATCAAAAAACTTAATAAAAATGAATTAACATAACAAAACACACCTTAGAGATGGAGGCTGAATGCAAACTGTTTATACTTCATACAAATGGGAATGCCAACCAATTTGACATCTCAGAACATTTGCAGTGAAAGTTGCCAGAGCTTAAAAAAGTGTCCAAATATTTCGAATTTCGAACAGATAACTTGCTGTGTTGTCACCAAAAATGACGTTGTGAGAATTGTATTTCCATTAGACTTTCAAGTCAAGTATGACCCAGCCTTAAAGTTGCTCTTCAAGGCTAACAAATGTGTAATTTGAATGTTTATTTCAAATGGCAAAAGCTATTTGTTTTCCTTCTATTTTTGAAGTTTTCAACCCTCTAAAAATACACTTGTATTCGGGTTGCTTTTGTGACCACAACACACAAATGATACCACTGAATTATTGCCGAGCTGCAAATAACTCACAATTTGTAAAGTATATAATCATAAGCAGATCTTTTTGTTCGATGTCTCAATCAAACAGTGTATAATTGTTTTATTTAAGATAAAATAGCAGTTTTCAGCAAAAGCTGTTTTGCAGGGTGAAACTCAAATAACGTAAGGAGAGCAGCTGTAAATCAAATATTTCTAAAATTTCAACTGAATTGTTCAGACTTCGTTATAATGAATGTTTCAGCAAAGACTAATGATAGTCTGTTCCCCTCAGGTTGATGTGTATGGCACCCAGCAGCCCATTGCTTTATTGAAGCTGCTCCTAGAACGAGGCGGGATGTATGACCGAGGCAAGGATCTCATCCTCAAGTACATCCGAGATATTGGCTTCATAGCTTCTATGGGAAAAGTAAGTGCACCATTATCATCAGGTAATGAATGTTGCTGTGTCTAGCATCAAATAAACCACAAAAGGAAACTGACCAGTTGCAATTAAAATAATTACAAAGTTGAACAAGGAAATTGACTGGAGCGGGGTTTGAACCTGTGACCTCCGGATTGCCGCTCCGGTGCTCTACCAACTAAGCTATCAGCTCCATGTCGGCATTCCCCATTTTGTCAATGTCTTGGCTCAAGGGGGCCTAGTCAGAAACCTGTGTATGCCTTGTAGCCAGTTAAGAGTGGTAATGTAAAATGTACCTTTGGCATGCATACAAAGATTCCTGCTTGAATGAGGTGTCACGTTCCCATTGTCTCCTTTGATTCATTTCCCCTATCTATTCATCAGGCCGGCGGAGGTCGTAACGAGGTTGACCCTCGCTTCATCTCCCTCTTCTGCACCTTCAACATCACCTTCCCCTCAGACGCTTCCCTCAAGCACATCTATGCCTCCATCCTCTCCGGTCATACCCAGCCCTTCGACGAAAGCATCCAGAAAATAGCTGACAAGATTACCCAGGGTACCTTGGACCTGTACAAGGTCATCGTCAATGACCTGCCGCCGACGCCATCCAAGTTCCACTACATCTTCAACCTGCGGGACTTGTCCCGCGTGGCGCAGGGTTTGTTACAGACTACACCGGACCGCTTCACCAACGTGTCCCAGTTTGTACGTGTCTGGCGTAATGAATGTCTACGAGTGTTCTTTGACCGACTGACCAACAAGGAAGACAAAACGCTTGTACAGGTATGCCTAGTCAATAAGGATTAACCAAAAACTGATTTTCTAACCATTTTTACCACAGTGCAGTTTTGTAAATCTACTAAGAACACAATATTGCTTAGCTCAGTAAACTCAGTCTTGACCCCCAAACAAGGTCACCAACCAAAATGTTGTGTGTTCATTTTTTTGCTCGGCTTATGAATTTGCTGAGAAAATTGGGCAGATGAATTTTGGACCCAGTTTTTATATAGGATTATTGGTCTACTAGTGGTTGATATATAATGTAGATCGGCCCTGCAAGTACATTTTTCCATGGTTCCTACGTTATTTATTTGAATAGCAGATAGGAACCGGCCTACCCTGGAAAACGTGAATTATATTCTGGCTGCAGTTAGCTCAAAACTTAACATGAAATTTTTCCATAACTAAATTTGAGCCAGTTTTCCTTCGATATCTAATCCAAAAGTAAATAAAGTTTGTATTGCGAGAAAATAGCAATTTTAACACAAAATCTGTTTTTTGGGGTGAAAATAGGAAACAGCACAGACAGTGCATCTGTAAAACATTGCTTGCAGATTGGTACTAATTGCTGCAATTTTTTCCGACAGGGTCACATGAAATCAGTGATTGAGGAACACTTCAGAGATCATGTAGAGAATGCCGTCCGTGAACCGTTGCTCTTTGGTGATTACCGTACGGCATTAGATGAAGGTGAAGCTAGACTGTATGAAGACATACAGGACTATGAGGCTGCTAAGGCTCTGTTCCAAGAGGTAGGAAAAGTCTGAGTTTTTCATTTATCAACAGTAATTTATTATTTGTTGTTAGGATTGGTATAAAGAGTGTGATAGTTGATTTAAATGCCAGCAAGATTGGAAAATGATGACAGGGCTCTACTTTATAGGAGCTACAACTTTTCAACTTGTTTGACATACTAGAAGTCATTTGCTTGTGGGTAAAAACAAAATGTGGGAGACAGTTGCTACACCAGTTGGTGTTGCAAGACTTGAATGTTGTACATAAAAATTGAGAAATCAAGCTAAGTGAATTTACTTTGTTTCTTTCATAAGTCACTTCAATTAAAGTCCTTTTTTAGCCAAACAGTTTGAAACAATGTTTCAATGTCGATGTTTTTTTTTCTCAAAAATATCCATTTTTCTTTTTGTGGTTATCCTGTTTCAATCACAAGAGCAATCCAAAGAATCAATTTTTCATGAATGATTTGTGCCACTTATCTTGTATAAACTTAAAGAAGGTCCAAAGAATTTTGTTGTTCTCAAGCAATTATAACATCAGTGTTGTAAGTCGAATCGATCACAAGTCATCACAAGTCATCACAAGTCCTCCAGTCCCAAGTCAAGTCACAAGCTATTCAAATCAACTGCTACTCATGACTGGACTTGTCTTGGATTTATCTACCACTCTAGCAATCATAAGCACACTCTTCTTTCTGTCTGTGGATTCAAACACCCATTGATCACCATCTATCTTGAATTGTTCTAGATCCTTGAGGAGTACAACGATAACAAGACACCCATGAACCTTGTACTGTTTGAGGACGCCTTGGATCACTTGACCCGGGTTCATAGGGTCATCCGTATGGACAGAGGTCACGCCCTCTTGGTTGGTGTCGGTGAGTCATTTGCATATGCAAATTTTTTAGTTCTTCGCTTAATAGACCAATCCGTTAGGCCCAGGATTGGGCTATTATTATTTTTATGAAGTGGTTAGCAGCTTTACAATAGAAGGAATATCAAGTTAAAAAACATAAAAGTTGGAAACCGAAAACATACATGTAAATCAGTCAATTGTTGGCACTCTTGAGTATTAATAAGATGAGTTTTTTCCCTACAGTGTTTTGTTAAACACAAGGCTAGATGGCCAATTGAGTTGAAAGCACCATCGGAAGTTAAAAGAAGGACCTATAAATGAAAGCGTAGTTTATTTGTTGGCAGAGGATGGAATCACTGTTGAGCTTTGCTGGATTCAAACCCATTTTTTTTTGCTTCGGCCACCAAAAGCTTCAGGCATCAAACCACTGCTATTCCGTCTCACTGTACATCACAACTCTCCACGTCTAACCTATTGAAATACCCCCTCCTTTTGCAGGTGGCAGTGGCAAGCAGAGCCTTACCCGCCTGGCTTCCTTCACCGCCGGCTGTGACGTCTTCGAGATCCAGCTGAGCCGGGGTTACGATGAGACCAACTTCCGTGATGATCTCAAGGTGCTGTACAACAAGCTTGGCATCGAGCAGAAACGGACAGTCTTCCTGTTCACGGATCAGCACGTAGCTCAGGAGAGCTTCCTGGAGCTTATCAATAACATGTTGACGTCTGGGATGGTGCCTGCACTGTTCCCTGATGATGAAAAGGAAGCGATCGTTGGACAGGTATGTGATGTCGGGGTTATTCATATTGATTTTAGGTTCCGATTGTATGACGTCAAAGTACCACGTGACCATCCGGTTTCCCTATGATCAGCCACCATTGCAGTAGGCAAGCGTTTGGTTAGCATTGTGGTGCATTGTAAACTAGACAGTCTGGTTTTTTTTCACATAAAACAACTGCCAATTTTTCATCAAAGGCATAATAGTCACTACCTGTGTTGTGGACAGTTAGTACCCCTTTTCAGTTTTGTGGATAATTGATAAAACTATGACTTTTTCTTTAACCTGAAGGATTGAGGCTTTCTAATTCACTTACTTTGCTCTGTGCTTATATACAATATGAAATAGTATTGAAGAACAAATTAATTTATTTCTTTCTTTGGCCCTTAACAGTTTGTCAGCAAGTTTCGGCACTCCGACCCCATTAATTAATGTCAAACCTGTGCACAATTTTTCCTGTTTTCTTAAAGATTATTTGTCTGAAAAATAGATTCAAAAAATAGTTTGTCTTTATAACAAAAGGTACTCACTTGTGAATAATGAAGTGAAAAAAATCAGCTCAAGTTTAGTTATGGAATAATTATTTTACAAATTTTGAATTATTTGCAGCCCATCAATAATTCAGTTCACACAGGATAGACTGGTTCCTTCCCTACCGCCCATCAGTATTGATAATTATTGAACCAGTCTACTTTCAGCGCAGATCTGTTTTTGCGAAAAAGCAATCCAAACTAAAAGCCTATTTTCAGAGCATTGCAGACATCCAAATAGAAAAAAAGATGTTTTTATGCATAAATGATATGGACAAGTTGAAAAGTTGTCAGGAGAAAAAAAAATCGCATCTGTAGAAGAGCACAGACAATACAACTTTACCTGGTAGTATAAACTTAACACTTTATCCTACCCTAGATGAGGAATGAAGCTACCAAGGCAGGCGTCCCACCGACCCGTGAGAGCATCTGGCAATACTTCATCAACAAGTGTGCCAACAATCTACATATCGTCCTAGCCATGTCGCCTGTGGGTGACACGCTGCGTACACGATGTCGTAACTTCCCTGGATTGGTCAATAACTGCAGTATTGACTGGTTCATGCCGTGGCCGGTACAGGCGTTGACCGCTGTGGCTTCTGTGTTCCTTGGACATGAAGATGTAAGTCAAAAGAAAACAGAAGTGACAGAAAATACTGTAGAACAGTTGGGTATTACACTGTATATTGCACCACCGAGCAGTAACCTTAAAGGCATATAGGATCATTTGCATTTATCCAAAAAGTAGCTAGCCTTGGTCAAGGCGCTAAATGTTATTCATCCCGGCCGTGGCGCGTAAACGATATCCTCGCTAGGGCCATGCATTATGCAGTGCATTAAAAATACAGTGCGAACAGCGACCTCATGCGGCAACCATTTCTATGCAAATTAGTTGGACCCAATATCGCGCCTTGGTTCAATCGTCGGCAAAAGCTTATGTTTTTCTTTATTTTGTGCTGGATTTCTAGCGCACGACCTCGTATGCGAATACAGATAAGTGTAGGCGGGGCTAATATGTGGAGTGTCCAATCACACCTTGGTAAATCTGGACGTCATCAAATTGTTTGCAGCTAGCTATTCGCCTTTTGCGGACGTGACAGGAACCACAGTTTTTGTGCATTGGTGCCTCGTGCAGAGACACATAATGTGTACGTGTACATGTATGGATTATGTACGGTGCCACGTTTTACTAAGCAAGTTTCCCCGCAACGATCGACCAATAAGAAAACGACATTTAAGGTCAGCTAAGGCTATTAACATAATGAGCACCACCCCTAAAACCTCACATGGACGATTGAACCAAGGCGCTATATTGGGTCCAACTGATTTGCATAAAAATAGTGGCCGCGTGAGGTCGCTGTTCGCGCTGTATTTTTAATGCACTGTACTGCATGCATAGCGCATAGACATTATGACTGCATGCATTACCGCGCTACGGCCGGATAAAAAACAACTAGCGCCTTGACCAAGGCTAAAAAGTAGCCTACCAAATTATTATCAAAAACTTACTTTGATTAAAGATCGTACTGGTACTAATTGTTCCATCTGGTGTGCTGTCATTTAGAAGTAATCAAGAAATGTAGGTGATTTCTAACAATCAGTCAATTGACTGATTTTGGAATTAAGACTTCTGGTGACAAAATCGTGTTTCGTAATCAAAAGGTTGTACATGGTTTTTCACTGTTTTCTTGAAGAGTGTAATATCCACTGAGCTGAAACTTGAACAGGTTAGGTTCTGAACATTTTTCTTTGGATTTTGAGTGGTGTTAATATTTGAAACACACAAAATACATGAAAAGCAAAAGATGTGCTTTTCAACTGAACAATCAACTTCCAGAAATGCATGTATCAGCCTTGTTAGACACAATTCTTGGACACAGAAAAATGGGGATGAAAAATTTCAAAAAATATGAATCTACTGAGTCCATATGCAAAATGATGGAATGCTTTGGCAAGTAATCAATGTTGATATTTTCACATGATGCACATTCGATAAATCAAAATTTCCATCTCTGGAGTGCAATTTTCCTGTATTTTGAATCGTTAGAATAATGTTATAACATGTTTTCTTTAATTCAGTGTTCATTAAGCAAACTCAGTGCCCATTGCAAACTTGCTGAATACCCTATGACCCAAATTGACTGCTCTGAAGGAACAGAAATATTCCAAGGTTTTCGACCGATGATAACACTCAAGCGCTTGCTGCTTAACTTACCTAATTGTAAAGCACAGATATTATAAGCCTCCATTCGTTAAAGCTTGCAACATTTTGTAACGATCGGTTACTTTGTTACGCTCACAACAGATCAAGAGTATCCCTGATGATCACCGCGACACAGTGGTCAAGCATGTCGTCTTTGTGCATCAGTCCGTCGGTGAACACAGCATCAGTTTCCAACAGAAGTTACGGCGCAGCAACTACGTGACTCCCAAGAACTACCTGGATTTCATCAACTCCTATCTCAAGCTCTTGGACGTCAAAGATGAATATATTCTCTCTCAGGTAAACCGGTGGCCTTCCTTGAGAAAATACCGCTGTATTCTTAAAATGAGTTTTGTTAAGAAGTGAAAATTGCATGCATTTGAATGGACAGATTTGGCAATTAAGTCGTACTTGTGGCGCAAGGCAGAACACAAATGTCTAGTAGCTGGATTCAAACCCTTTCATGAGTCAAAAACCTTACCCACTAACTCATACCCCAAGACTTTACTCATCAATGTCTCCATTTCAGTGATTTTTTTCAATGATTCAATGATTTCATTTTTTTTAGGCAATATAGTTACCTTCACTTTCCTGGCAATAAAATAATAGTACAAAAAAATTGTAATGTCCAGACAATCGTAAGTTCATTTTACTGCTAGGAGTGGTGAACAGAAAATAAAAACAAAAAGTGCATTGCACAATCACAGTTTAAAGTTAAAAGCAGCAAATTCAAACTAAACGTAACTAAATTCTGTAATAAGTGCATGCAGGTAAATATGATTTTAAGAAGGCCCAAGCCAGCTAGACATTCTCAATAGAGCTTAATAACAAAGTGAATTCCTGAATAGCGCCCTCTATAGTTGGGTAAAGTCATTCCTCCCTGTCAATCAAACAGTGTGCATTGACCAATTAGATCAGGACTTTGGGTCAGGTGACCATGTCAGCTCAGCCAAACTTGGTCACATACACTGTGAGAAATGTACATGCACAAAAAGTGGTTGGGGCATACGGCTCAGTCTGATCTTGGTATTCTATCATGATTTCAGTGCAAGCGCCTGGAAGGCGGTATGGCTAAACTCGCAGAGGCCAGCGTCCAGCTGAACGAACTCAACGAGAAATTGGCCGTCCAGAAAGTGGCTGTGACGGAGAAGACTGAAGCTTGCGAGATCCTACTGGGTGAAATCTCAACACGAACTGCCAAGGCTACAGAGAAAAAACAAGCAGCCGAGGGAAAGAGTAAAGAGATTGAGGAACAGAGCGTTGTCATCTCTGTTGAAAAGGTCAGAAACAAATGTCTGTGTTTGCTGGATGCTAAGGGCCAGCTTATCGTCCTCTGACAGACTGAGTCTCTGACTGAACCCCCCGAGTCACTGACTGACTGACTCCCTCCCCCACTGACTCCCCGAGTCACAGACCGATTGACTGACTCCCGAGTCACTGACTGACTGAGTCACTGACTGACTGACTCCCCCGACTCCCCGACTGAGTCACTGACTGAGTCACTGACTGACTCCCCGAGTCACTGACTGACTCCCTCCCCCACTGACAGACTGAGTCATTGTCTGACTGAGTCACCGACTGACTGAGTCATTGTCTGACTGAGTCACTGACTGACTGAGTCATTGTCTGACTGAGTCACTGACTGACTGAGTCATTGTCTGACTGAGTCACTGACTGACTGAGTCACTGACTGACTGAGTCATTGTCTGACTGAGTCACCGACTGACTGAGTCATTGTCTGACTGAGTCACTGACTGACTGAGTCATTGTCTGACTGAGTCACTGACTGACTGAGTCACTGACTGACTGAGTCACTGACTGACTGAGTCACTGAGTCACTGACTGACTGTGTCACTGACTGACTGAGTCACTGAGTCACTGACTGAGTCATTGTCTGACTGAGTCACTGACTGACTGAGTCATTGTCTGACTGAGTCACTGACTGACTGAGTCACTGACTGACTGAGTCACTGACTGACTGAGTCATTGTCTGACTGAGTCACTGACTGACTGAGTCATTGTCTGACTGAGTCACTGACTGACTGAGTCACTGACTGACTGAGTCACTGACTGAATGAGTCATTGTCTGACTGAGTCACTGACTGACTGAGTCACTGACTGACTGACCCATTGTCTGACTGAGTCACTGACTGACTGAGTCATTGTCTGACTGAGTCACTGACTGACTGAGTCACTGACTGACTGAGTCACTGACTGACTGAGTCATTGTCTGACTTAGTCACTGACTGACTGAGTCATTGTCTGACTGAGTCACTGACTGACTGAGTCACTGACTGACTGAGTCATTGTCTGACTGAGTCACTGACTGACTGAGTCATTGTCTGACTGAGTCACTGACTGACTGAGTCACTGACTGACTGACCCATTGTCTGACTGAGTCACTGACTGACTGCCCGACTGAGTCATTGTCTGACTGAGTCACTGACTGACTCCCGCATTGTCTGACTGAGTCACCGACTGACTGAGTCATTGTCTGACTGAGTCACTGACTGACTGAGTCATTGTCTGACTGAGTCACTGACTGACTGAGTCACTGACTGACTGAGTCACTGACTGACTGAGTCACTGACTGACTGAGTCATTGTCTGACTGAGTCACTGACTGACTGAGTCATTGTCTGACTGAGTCATTGTCTGACTGAGTCACCGACTGACTGAGTCATTGTCTGACTGAGTCACTGACTGACTGACAGAGTCACTGAGAATAAAGAATGTCTTTAATGGAGACTGTTGGGTCCAGCTCAACTAGGCCAGCCTTCTTTTATTTATTATTGAAGGCAGAGAAATTTCTTCTGTTATTAAGAATATCAAAATGTAGCTTTTGCATGACAAAAAAAAAAGTAACACAAAATCCATACATGGAGTGGCGTTTTCAGTTTATCAATTCAACTGAGTAATTGCATCGATACGTACTTTAAAGAATTCCCTGTGATATTTTGTGCAGCATTAGTAGATTCCATGCCTTGGGCAAAGTTCTGTGCATTTATTATCCTCCATTTTTCTAACTTTCTGTCTTTGTACTTAAGGTGCATTTGCAAGACAGTCTTTTTGCACATTCCATCAAAAATTGGTTGCAAACACTGGGCAACGTTTACAGAAAAGGCTTGTCATTTTGACGCCCTAAAAGTGGTTCCCACATACCATTAGTGTTAAGGAAATTAAAGCAACAATATAACAAACTCGTGTATCTTACATATCAGGCTTTTCACAAACCACCGTATCTTTTTTTATTATCCAAAGATAAAGATAAAGATAGCGCACGCAAAGTTAGAGATATTTTGGTTCTCATGATCATGCCTGCATCTAATAAGATGTCTTTTTGTACTTGTGATATATTACCCTACTTTTGAAATTGAAATTGTTGTGCGACCAATATCCTGCATGACTCCTTTTGTCAACTTGAAATCGTATAAGAAGCTGTGTTCTAATAACTGGGTTCCTAGCCACTCTGAAAATCAGGGAAAACCTTGAAAATGAGTTTCCATTTTTTGAAGTCGGAAAAACCCAGAAACAAAATAAGTGAAAACTCAGTGGATAATTCCACAGAAAATGAAAACAAATCACTCTGTTGCACATAGCAAGGAAAGGATGGCTATAAGGAGAGAAGGGAGGCCCTCGCTTGTCAACTAGTTGCCTGTGTATTATCAGTATCTTAGTTGCTTTGCTGCAACCACCTTTTGACTTCCAAGCAACCTTATTAAAGTGAAAATATTTCTCATGGAATTTTGGAAAATATCAGGAAAAACTTGGGGAATTTTGTTTTCATAAAGTGCTCGGAAGCCTGTACTAAGTTACTCAGGATAGGTTGATAGCTAACTGATGATTGTGTGGGTGATCTTGTTCTTGGGGCACAGAAAGATGCAGAGGAATCCTTGGCTGAAGCCTTACCGGCCCTGGAGGCAGCCCGCTTTGCCTTGCAGGATCTGGATAAATCCGACGTCACTGAGATCAGGTTAGTCAACAGGACCAGAAACCGTCCAATCCATTAAGTCCAGCTCACTGGGCACGTTGACAACAAAGGGTGTGCTTCTCCAATGCCATGCTGCATGTTCCATCACGGCTGTGATTGGTCAACATGTCATTGGAGCGGGGCTTAATGGATCGGTCTATGTATAAAGCTGCTAACTAAACAACGAGTGCAAGTGCACTGGGGACAGACAGACAGACAGACAGATGGACGGACCGAATACCAAGTGACATGTAGACGTTCCTGCCAGAGCCTAACAAGTATGAGTGCACAATAAGCTCTGGCCCGGTTTGGGAATGTCTCCCTTTATATATGCAAAATAGACGATCAATCGAAACAAAGCCGGTTTTCCGTAAACTTTCGGCAAGAGTGCATTTATATGACCACGGCATGGTATTTGGTCAAATTTTGGTCAAATATTTTGGGTCAATTTTCAGGGACAGATAGACAGACCGATCGACCGACCACCAAGTGACACGTGCCTCCTGCCAGAGCTTAACATTCTTGCTTAACTAATTTATGTGCTCAGCAAAACTCAGCAGAGAACCAGTTACAAGCAATATACTTTGAATGGTATATTTTGGCTGGTAACCTATGTTTGCCAAGCAAATATTTGAGCTTAGCAGCTTGGTAAGATTGTCTGCTTGGCCTAGTGTGATGGATCACTGCCTCCATGTTGATAGAGAGTTAGGGGAAAGGCAAGCACATTGTGGTACTGCAAACTCGTGTTTGAGGTCTTGTCATTTCAGTGTTAAAACAGAGACAGATTTGGAAACAAATATGCACCACTTTTCAGAGATATTGCTGGTTTCTTATACTGCCATCTTTGGGTTTTATTCTATATATTTTTTTTTTTACTTTTGATGTAGGTGTTTTCACTACCATCAGTTGAATAATGTGTTGAAATGCTTGCGATTAAACTATATTTTTGTTGTAATGCTTGTATCCTTGTTAACCTTTTTAACCTCAGTGACATTTCATGGTTTTTCAACTACCACAAATCGCAACTTTCCAACTGATAACTCTTTCAAGGTAAATTTTTCAACACCACTGAAAATGTTAAACTTTACCATTTACTATGATATCAAAACTCACTTCTGTTTACAGGATTCTTATGAGTTTTTTTCTCATTCTGGGTCATTAAATATAAACCAGCATTAAATGGGTTGATTATTTGTAATATTTTTTTTGTCTATCAGGGCGTTTGCCAAGCCCCCTAAGCTTGTCCAGATGGTCTGTGAATGCATCGTGGTATTGCGGGGTATCAGAGAAGTGTCCTGGAAGTCAGCCAAGGCAATGATGGCTGAGGCTAACTTCCTGAAATCACTGACAGAGATGGACGTTGACGGCATCGGACAGACCCAGGTCAGTACGACTGAACGACTGGAATGTCTAGACTTTTAGAGTTTTGTTGGGGCTTGCAAGTGTCAAGATAAATACTTGAGAAGTGTTGGTACTTGGCCCAAACACCAATTCTGACTGGTTTTCCAGAGTTGTGCTGAGCCAAACTGTTCTAAAGATTTGAATTAAATACATGAAAAGTTCAGTGTTTAAAGCAGAGTTGAAAAACTGATTTTGAAGTCAATGGAAAATATATACGTTTATTTGCCGGCGTGAAAATCGAAATTTGAATGGAATATTTATGTGTACCTGACTTGGCAGCATTCTGAATTAGGTTTCATGCTCCTAAATCCTAAAAAAACTCACTAAGTGGTTTGATTTCATGTCCAAATTCTATCATTTCTCTCATTTCGTTTATCAAAGAGCTGTCTAAAAAAAACAATTTGGAAGTTGGGAGATTTTCCTAAGTATTTTGGAGTGTTTTTAAACAGTCCAAAGCTATGCTGTTCTACAAATTAATGTTAATTGCATTCATGTTTCTGTCAACACATGTATTATTGCTGCAGTTTTAACTAAATGACGTTGTCGTTGAAGAGAGAGTGTATAATACCAATGACCCATTTGATTTTCCTCTTTACCAAATTAATTTGTCTAAGCACTGTGTGCTCAGAGCATGAAAAAAAAATTGTATAATCCAATGTCAAAATATTCACAACTCCCTAATGCAAAATGTCATCAAACAATTACATAATCGTTCCGCAGGTCAAGACAGTGAGAGGTTTCTTGAAGGACATGGACACCACACCAGAAGAAATGAAGACAGTCTCCCGCGCTGGGGCCGGTCTCTTCAAGTTTGTGGTAGCTGTCATGGGCTACTGCTCTGTGGCTAGAGAGATCAAACCCAAACGAGAGAAGGTAGGACATTAGAGAAATGGGTCATATTAGACGCAAACACTGCTTGGACTAAATAAACTGATACAATCATTTTTGGGCTATCACATGCAGAGTGCCAATCCTTTCAATAACTTAGAATGCACATACGCTGAAAGAAATTGGACTGAGCACATACTTGAAAATTGAATGCTCTGAAATTGTATGCTCTGATGTTGATCCTTGATGAAACCCTTCAGAGTCAAGGACCCTTACTAGTGTTGAAGTCCAGTCCATCACAATTCCATCACAAGTCCTCCAGTTTCAATTCAACTCACAAGCTACTTAAATGAATTGTAGCAAAGGCATTCCTTTGTTATTGTTCACCCCCTATTACTTGTGACTGGACTTGTGAAAGGACGTGTGATTTACTAATGAAAGGACTTGTCATGGACTTGTGATGGACTCGACTACAACACCGACCCTTACAGCCCAGTTTGGCTTTTGCAGTTTTTCAACAAATGAAATGATCAAATTATCAGCCAAAAATACTCCCTAAGATTAGAGGAAAAAACAGTGTCAAACATTAGGTAAACTATGTAAATCTAAAAAATTGAATTTTCAGATAAAGGGATTGATGTGTCAAGCATTTCAACTTAAAGAGATCAGTCGGAGACCAATTTCTATTCCCTTTGGCCCACTACACATTAGCTCCAAGATATTACCAGCTGATAGGATGCAAGTTGGGTAAAGTGGCTTGCCTAGGGACACCACAAGTAGCCAACACCTGGGTTCAAATCCTGACCGCCTGATTGCAAGTTATATCACTAACCCCTAAAACCATAGCCCACGCCTATACTACTAAATTGTCTATTTCACTGACCAAAAATGTATCTTTCCTTCACTGTATTAAACCCCCTCCCTCTCAAGATTGGCTCAACTAAAGCGCATCTTCTACAAGTTCGATTATCTTAAGTTATTGTCTTCACCGTGTTGACCTTTAACACCCCCCTCCCTAGGTTGCCCGTCTTGAGCGTACTTTCTACCAATCCAAGCGAGACCTGGACCGCATCATCAATGAAGTCAAATCCCTGGACGACGAGCTGTCCAATCTCGGCCAGCGCTACGAGGCGGCCATAACGGAGAAACAACAGCTGCAAGAAGAAGCCGAGATCATGGAACGTCGCCTGATAGCTGCCGACAAGCTCATCTCTGGTCTGGGCTCTGAGAACGTCAGGTTAGATCATCCACTATTCTGATTTTCTTGAGAGAGAGTTTTGACCTCTTCTATGAGTTGTCCTAGGGTTCACAATGAGGAAAAACCTTTAATTCTCCTAGTCTGCTACACTTCTAACTCTTCAAGTTTTGCCAAACCACATTTGACCATAGATAGTGTTAGCACCCACACTTCAAATTCCTTTGAGGCAATCTTCTGTAGAGTATGAATAACACTTCAAATCCCTGCACAATTTTTTTGTCTGGTAAGCTCAGGGCAAGCAGGCAGATTCGGTCACGCTTCACTGCTCTCCACAGTGGTTTTTTGTGCACAGTGACTCTCTGTGTGACACATTTTTACTCAAACACTTCATAAGACGTCACATGAAACTGACCTGCAGGGTTTTACGTAATGCTCTGAATACTGACTTCCCACGAGGAAGGTGAATCTAATCATTATCGTCTCTTCCTCTCAGATGGACTAAGGACTTGGAGGAGTTACGTCAGCGTCGAATCCGTCTCCTAGGCGACTGTCTCATCTCCTCAGCCTTCTTGAGCTACGTCGGAGCCTTCACCTGGGATTTCCGGAACCAGATGATTTACAAGGATTGGCAAGATGACATACTGGAGCGAGGAATCCCTCTAAGCCAACCCTTCAAACTGGAGAACCTCCTGACAGACGAAGTAGAGATCAGCAAGTAAGTCTGTCTTTATTGATTCCCCAGGTTTTTTGTTTAGTTCCGTAACCCCTATCAGCCCTTACAAAGTTAGTTTTAAAAAAAGGTTGCTCTGAAAATTCAGCCACTTGAGTGCGGTTTTATATAATAAAGGAGAAATGACAGCAAGGAATCTTGGTTATGCAAATGAAGATTTTATTTCCAAAACGTGATATATGGCGTTTTGTTACCCTTTAGAATCCCGCTCTCTCCTGGCTGCCCAAAGTCATTTTCCACAGATATAGTTAAACACAAGTTTTAATTTTGCCCTAGACCCTGTGAAAATTATAGACGCCCTTTATGCAAGTCCCCAGATATGCAACATTGGCAAGAAAATTTTCACAGCATTCAAAAGTATAATTGTAAAAATGAAGTCCCTTTCCTCTCCAGATCTGACCAAAGCATGTTACGGTTACATGTTTTTTCCCCAACATTCTGTAACCTGTCTTCTTTTTTCACCAGGTGGGGATCTGAAGGCTTGCCACCAGATGAGCTGTCTGTCCAGAATGGTATCCTGACTACCAGAGCCAGTCGCTTCCCACTGTGCATTGATCCACAGCAGCAGGCCTTGAATTGGATCAAGAGAAAGGAAGAACAGAACAACCTCAAGGTACCTGACTATTCATGGGTCACGGTCACAGCTTGGAACCTTAAGTTTCTACTTGGTTCTGTTTTCACTTCCACCTCCAAAACGAAGTTATGCATCTCATTATCTTTTTCTTTTACTGTTGCTTTTTACAGACTTTCAGGTTACAGTGTGTTGTACACTTATGAGGAATCCTTGGTTTCATTACCAGAATGAAACGAATGTTCTGTTGATTTCTAGTTGCTTAATAATTCCTTGTTGATTGTTTTGTTTATCCTTAGGTTTGCACCTTCAACGATCCTGATTTCTTGAAGCAGTTGGAGCTTGCCATAAAGTACGGCTTCCCTTTCCTCTTCAAAGATGTGGACGAGTACATCGATCCTGTCATCGATAACGTCCTGGAGAAAAACATCAAAGGTACGAATATGAAAATATATGAAATATGAAGGTCCTCATTTTGTTGGACTATCTCACCAGGCATTTCAATCGGCATGGGTTGTCCATCTGTTTGCATAAATATGTAAAGACTTGGGGGAAAAACAGCATTCATCGAGGGGTTAAAGAGCTGTTGGGCGCAGAGTATGCTAATTGAAGGAAATGCTAGCCACAGAAAAAGTTTGCAGAGCAATAACAGGATAATGGCCAAAAATCTGTCTTGGTATAACTTCCTACGCAGAAAATGTCATTTTAACATTTCTGTGGTAACAACAATGTTGTGAAGGCCAGTTTGTACTTGGTGCGAAAGCAAAACGAATTTGGTAATTTTAACAGTGGAAGTTTCATTGTGATGTTCGCCGTTACCGTTCACACCAGTATTCACGTGATGTAAAATCATCTCTTGTAAAAACGTTATCATCAGGACACAAGGCATGGGTGGCGCAGTGTGTAAAGCTCTTGCCTGTCACCGCTGTGGCCCGGGTGTGATTCCAGGCTCAGGTCACATGCGAGTAAATTGGTTCGCTGATTCTCTCCTGTGCTATGTGGGCTTTTTCTCCAGGCCCTCCGGTTTTCCTCCCTCCACAAAAAATCAAACACTTTTGATCTGGCTGTGCTCCTTGGTCAGACTGGTTCATATGGTGGCAGCCTAAAGGCGGCTTGACATACTTTTAGCTGCACCACATTGTAGCTGTGTACTTCACAATTCGGCTTCTGATGCAAGTAAGAACATTTTGCCACCCAAATTTATTTATTTTTTAATGTTTGACATTTCTAGGTGTAGCAGGTCGTGAGTTCATCATTCTGGGTGATAAGGAAGTAGACTATGATCCTAACTTCCGTCTGTACCTCAACACCAAGCTGGCTAATCCTAAGTACACACCGGCGGTGTTTGGCAAGGCTATGGTCATCAACTACACCGTCACACTCAAGGTAAGACCTGGAAAACAATTCCAGAATGCGTGTCTTTGAAATAAAGGGATTCACAGTACACTGCACTACTAAGCCCTTGCCTCAAAGAGAACAATTTTCACATCTTACATCAATTTTCACACCATTTTCACATTTACCCGTATTGACCCGGTAGCATGCAATTATGGACATTTATTCAGTCTTCCTCTCCCTGCCTGTTCGTGTCTTGTGTTTTTTTTCAGTTTTCATGTCTTACTATGTGTGGGATAACATGCTTCCGAGCAACAGTAATTTAGTTTACTTTTGTTGTCCCTGACCTTCATAGTAATGTTTTTGTGTGTGTGTGTGTTTTTACTTGAGTTTGTTTGGTATCCTTCCACTGATTGACTTCTCATACTTGCATGCTCTCCTCACACACTCAGCAATCATGTTTTTACCTAATCATAATTTCTGAAGTTCACTGTGCTCGTCTAGTTGCCCTGCTGTCATCGTCTTTATTGTATATATATCTTTTTGGTCTGTATTTGTCTTGTCATTTTTGTATTTCTAGTTTTTGGATTTGTCCAGTACATGTTTATATATTTTTTTGTTCCTGTTCTTGTTTTTGTGCTGTTGAGGTCGAATAAATAATAACAATAATAATAATTCAATTTGTAAATACAAACCATGCACATTAAAATAAAATGTATTCATTGGCATTAGTTGAGAGTTACCTCACCCCTGGTTCTATTAAGAACCACCACTTCTAAAAAGATCCTCACATCCAGGAGCTTTGCTAGAGGGAGGGGTGTGGGAGAAGTCACCTCCTTCCCCTGTTATTCATTATTCATGTGTCTGTCGGCATATAAACAGCAACGGAAAGTGCCACCTATTGTCCAATAGTGTCTAGTCTTGTCCAGAAGCACCTCCATTAGTCAGACGGTGTCCAGCTGGCGACGCCCATGGGTACATAGTTTCCCGCAAAGCTTAAAATATGCTTACTAAAATCCTTACCCCAGGGTCTTGAAGACCAGCTTCTCAGCGTCATCGTCGGTTTTGAGCGCAAGGAGCTGGAGGAACAACGAGAACGTCTGATCCAAGAAACTAGCGAGAATAAACGACTACTGAAGGACTTAGAGGACTCCCTGCTCCGTGAGCTGGCTACATCAACCGGTAACATGCTGGACAATGTGGAGCTGGTGCAGACTCTGGAGGAAACCAAGTCCAAAGCCACAGAGGTGAGATGGATACCAGACCTGTCTCTTGAGTTTAGGAAGACCAAAAAAAAAAGGAAACAGACTCCAAAAATAAATTTTGTCTGTAGTTCTTCACACTAATACTTGAAAAAGGTTTAAATCAGATTTTGACGAAATGAGAAAAAAATAAACATTTTTTTATCTGAAATTAACTTTTTGTTCCTTTTTCAGTTTAAGCCAATGAAAAGAAAAATCTAGGTTTTTTGTCATTGTTAAATGCTGAGTTTTAACAACGTCTCAGAACATTCATTTATATCACATGGGTCAGCTACCATCCAACCAAAATTGGGATGCCATACTTTACTGTATCTTGTCTGAGATGGCCCTACTCAACGCTAAGTTTGGATTTAGAGGAAGAAGTACCCCACTCAACGGATGCAAAGGGAAAGTTGGGGGATACCACTGGGAGGGACATTTGAAGGCATTGCCACCGTATGCCTAGCACTCATGCGAAGAGTAAAAGAAGCCATGCATACAGACCAGTACAAGTCAGCGGTGTGTCTCTCTAACGGGGGTCACAAAAGACCACCTACTATTCATGCACGAAGTCCATAGGTCTATCCAGTCATTCCTTGACTAAACCTCATCTTGATTACATCCTGCCAAGGTCGCAGACAAACTCAAACTAGCCGCCAAGACAGCCGTCGACATTGACAAGCTTCGAGATGGCTACCGTCCGGCAGCGAAGCGTGGCGCTATTCTCTTCTTCGTTCTCTCCGAGATGGCCCTCATCAATACAATGTACCAGTACTCCTTAGCATCATTCCTGGGTGTCTTCCAGCTCTCGCTCAAGAAGAGTCTGCCGGACTCCATCCTGGTCAAGCGACTCAGGAACATCATGGATACACTGACGCATAACATCTACAACTACGCCTGCACAGGTAACCTGAAACTCAAGTGTACTGAAGGCACAGAAATTTGCTAAAAGTAAAGTATGGAAGTCTGTCATGAGGCAGTTTGGCCCAACAGGCTGGCATTTCCGGTTTTAGTAGCATGAAACAACTAAGAGTATTTCTATTCCCCCTGGATGGGATGTCAGTCCATCGCAGGTTGCTCCCCAGCTAATGCCGGTACCCATTTATACTCCTGGGTGGAGAGAGGCAAGTGGGGATAAAGTGCCTTGCCCAAGGACACAACATATGACCAGCAGCTGGATCCGAAACCCTGACCCTCTGATCATGAGTCATGAACCGTAACCAATAGGCCACACCCCTCAAGGAAATTTACTAAGCATAGAAAATATTGGCTTACCAAAAACCAGGTTAGCATCTGAAAGGTCACAGGGCTAGTTTAGAAGTACAAGCTGCTGTTCTACTGGTTCACTGACAGTGCTGTTCTCTTTCCACAGGGTTGTTTGAGAAGCACAAGCTGCTGTTCTCCTTCCAGATGACCATCAAGCTTGAGCAGAGCGAGGACCAACTACCCCAGGAGGAGTTAGACTTCTTCATCAAGGGCAACCTGTCCTTAGAGAAGAGTCGACGGACTAGACCTCACATGTGGATCCCAGAGCAAGGCTGGGAGGATATCATCAAGTGTGCACAGATCGCTGACGTCTTCACTTCGCTACCTGATGACGTGGATAAGAACGGAACTACGTGGAAAGCGGTGAGACACAAATCCTTTGGGATTCAAAATAATAATGATAAACTTTTGTTTAGAAATGTATCTCAAAGTGCGTCAAAATTGTTACCCCTGTTCAGCAGGCCATGAAGACAGGTTTGCTTCAGCAGGTCGAGATCAGCGCAAACTGGTACCACACAGGTACCCATTCATTCTCTTGGTTGATGAGAGGCAATTGCGGTAAATTGTCTTGCCTAAGAACACAAACACCTGGACGCCTGTCAGATTGGGCAATGATGCTCAACGTGTACTTTTTGTTCATTATCCACATCATTATATGTCCACATCAGCGCTGTACCTTCATTAGCAATTCCAAGAGTTTGAGACCATTTATAAGTAAGCTTCTGCGGGTGTGACTCGGATTTCCACTTGACCATTAGAGATTACCTTAAATTTGTGATAAATGTCTTTTGTGATGGAATTTTTGTCGTAGTTCTTTACATTTTAAACCTGACCCTAATAGGTGCAGTTTTAATTACACGTAATCTTGTTGGTTTGAGCGTGGAAAATATTAAGGTCTGGTTTTGTCCTTAATTAAAACAGTCTCAGTTTCTAACAGTCTCAGTTTCTAAAGGCATTGAGCCTACAGATCCTAGAAATTTATGTCAGTGTGCAGCAAAACCCAACATTGATATTTTGATCATCTCAACAAATATTTCTCCATTAAATCATACATGAGATTAATATTGAGCCTGAATCCTTTTGGGTAAAGATCAAATTTAAATTTTTTGTTATACCTTTTAACCTGTGTGTAGTGGTATGATTTGGACACTCCGGAGCAGAGCCCCCTTCCAGGCAAATACTCGGACTCCCTCTCTGAGTTCCAGAGACTCCTCCTCCTTCGTTGTTTCCGCATCGATCGTGTCTACCGGGCCGTCACTGACTACGTCACTTCCCGTATGGGTGAGAAGTACGTCACTCCTCCTGTCATCAGCTTTGAGTCCATCTTTGAACAGAGTACGCCGTTCTCACCGATCGTCTTCATCCTGAGTCCCGGCTCGGACCCGGCAAGTGACCTGACGAAGCTTGCGGAGAGGTCAGGATTCGGAGGCAACAAGTTGAAGTTTCTTTCTATGGGACAGGGTCAAGAAAAGGTAAAAATATACGAACAAGATTACTGATGTTAACCAGTTTGCGCCAGGATTATTTGTGTCGAAAATTTCAATTTTCGAAAAAGGCGGACAATAGCAGCCAACTTCTGATACACAGCCAAATGCCGCAAATACTGGTTCGCAAGAGTCATTTCAACAGTTTTTGTACGATATTTCTTGCCGAAACCTCATATGTTTCAACACTCCGGGGTTAAGTCATTGTAAAAGGGTATTGAATTCTAGCATTACGATGAACCCACAAGTGTTATTGGACAGTTTTTTTCTGAATGTGCCAGAAACCTCTATCTCTGTGCATCCAAGCCATAGCTGTTACTGAAGGACATTTGCCATTGTAGAGATTTGCCCAGCCTTGGGTGCATTTCTCCCACAATGTGGACGTGTGCACATATATTCATTAAAAAAAAATTGGCACATTTTTCATTTTATGTTCATCCTAACCTTAAAAATGACCAATAGTATAATGCACTTACTGTACTGACTAAAAAAAAAAAAAAAAAAAGAAAGACATCACACCTATCCATGAAATCCATTCAATTATCTAGCTGCAATGTTGTGATAAAAATATCTGCCTTGTCCAGTCTGTAAGTGGTCAATATTCGCATCTTTGGGAAAGGTCTGTTATGGCATCAGCCCCCAATGCTAACATTTGGCCATTTATTACCATTTTTGTAATTTAACTCATATCGTTTCCAACCTAAGGTTGCCTTGCAACTCCTAGAGACAGCCATCGCCCGAGGCCAGTGGCTCATGCTGCAAAACTGTCACCTGTTGGCTAAGTGGCTACGTGACTTGGAGAAAGCATTGGAGAAGATCATTAAGCCACATCCAGACTTCAGGCTGTGGCTAACTACTGACCCCACACCTGCATTCCCCATCGGTATCCTGCAAAGATCACTCAAGGTAAAACTGGCTACGGCTACAGAGGTTTGCTCAGTGCTGGCATTTCCTAAACAGTGTTTTCTGGCTCCAGCAAAAGACAGTGATCCCTGTTGGAAAACAATGTTTTGAGACTGTTCAGTGGGTAGCATGCTGAAACTTTAGTCCAGCGGTCTATGGTTCATGTCTTGCCTCATTCAACATTGCACCCTATGTTTTCTTCTGTGAAACCATCAGTGCGATGTTTTTCTGCATTTTTTGTTTCAAAAGTTATTGGTTCAATTCTCTCTTAATCACTGATCACGCTATAAAAAAGTATTCAAAATTTGAGGTACCTCCAAATAAGTAAAGAAAGGAGAATAAAATATTTCACAAGCCAATATGGCTCATCTGGCTGGCGTTTATCTCTGGTTTTCTTGGCCCATAACAGATCAGAATATTTCTGTTCTTTCTGAATGGAATGGCATGCCAGTCCATCGCCAGTTACTCCACAGCTAATGTCAGTTACTTCATATTCTTGATTGGAAAGAGGCAAGTTGGGTAAACTGGCTTGCCTAAGAACACAACAATGGCCAGCAGCAGGATTCGAACCCCTGACCTTCCAATCTTGAGTCCACTCTCCCCTGCATCTTTTTTCTTTCCCCACCTCCACTTCTCAAATTCCTCAGGTTGTGACAGAACCACCCAACGGCCTGAAGCTAAACCTCCGCAGCAGCTACCACAAGATCTCCGCCCAGGTGCTAGAAGACTGCCCCCACACTGCCTTCAAGCCTCTAGTCTTTGTCTTGGCGTTCTTCCACGCCGTGGTTCAAGAACGTCGCAAGTACGGCAAGATTGGCTGGAACGTACCCTACGATTTCAACGAGTCGGACTTCCGCGTCTGCATGGATATCCTACAGACGTACTTGACGAAGACCTTTGAGCAGGGAGACCCTAAGATTCCCTGGAGAAGTCTCAAGTATCTGATTGGAGAGGTAAAAAGTTTTCTTTTTCTGTAAAGCCTGGTTCCTGACTTGCTTTAGAGGATACCAGTCTTGTGTCTAGATAGTAAAGTTGGTAGAGAGTACTATCAGCACTGTTGTCTAGTGTTCAGGCCCATATTGAACTGTTTAGTTTTTTATTATAACACCTCACCCACAGATTCTGTATCTTTTTTTATCCGTCATGTATACGTTGCGTATGGGTTTAATTTTTCTAGACAGGAGAAATTGATCTCGTTATGTAGCACACATTTCTTTTCATATGTATGCATACATTGCATGTCCGTTTCAATCGTCCGTCAAAATCACTCCATGGAGCGATTTCATCGTGCACATAACACATACGCAGCATATACGTAACGGACCGAAAAAACACACATATGGAAAGGCGGCCTCAGCATAATGTTTGCAGGTAATTATCACACAAGTAAATCCGCAGTTTTCTCATCCTCTCAAAATCTTCATTACTTGGTAATTTTATCCCCCAACAAAAGAAGAAATATCTTTTGTTTAACCCTGTAAATGTATGTAGGAATGTTACATTTTGGATATTTGAATTGCATAACCCTGTCACAATGGCGTTATTGGAAATCAAATCAATTAAAATCTTACCTAACATTGGAATGTTCCTACTAGCACTGGCTGTTTGTTTAAGTTGTGTGCAATTCTAGCATTATGTATGGAAATGTAATGTCCGTGACAGAGTCAATTATAAACCACGATACATGTATATGATTCAGAGAAATGATCCAAAACTCCTGGTCGGTAATCTCCTTGACCATCACTAAATGATGGATGTAGAAGATTTGAAAAAAATACATCTTCAGGTTTATTCACTGAACTCTTAAAACCTATGTCACAGACATTTCACAATGCTTGGATGTAGTTTGAGTTGTTGTTATAAACAAGAAAGTCTGTAATATGTGACCAAAATGACGTAATACCTGATCTCCTTACCCCAGGTGATGTACGGAGGCCGAGCCATTGATAACTTTGACCGTCGCGTCTTGAATACCTACATGGATGAGTACATGGGGGACTTCATATTTGATACGTTCCAACCGTTCCATTTCTACTGCAACAAGGAGGTGGATTATTGCATCCCGGAGATTGGGCCCAAGGATAACTACGTCCGTAAGTACAATGGGCTTTATATATTTCTCTTTCAGTCTTGATTTGTTATATTAACCCTCCTAGTCTTCTGCACTTCACAACCTTTCAAGTTTTTGCAAAACCACTTTTGCCCATAGAGTTTGCGCCCACATTTCCAATTCCTTTGAGGTCATCTTCTGTGGAGTATGAATAACACTTCAAATCCCTGCACAATTCTTTTACATTGTTAAGCTTAGGGCAAGCAGGCAGATTCGGTCACACTTCACTGCTTATGCTCTCTCCACAGTACTAGTGCTGGTTTTTGTGAAGAGACTCTCACAGTTACTTTAATACTTCATAAAGGCCTATCCCTTCACCTGAAACTGACCTGCAGGTTTTTTAAAAGTTGTTTTACATATTGCTCTGAATATTGACTTCCCACTTGCAGGGTTAATAATATATTAGGATTTTGTTTTTAATTGATGTAGTTTTATAGGTTCTGTATGCTCAATATTCATTCATAAGCTTAACTTGGATGGGACTCGAACCCACGAGCTGTTGCTTACTAGTGCAGATGTCTTACCACTCGATCTGATTGATTTGTATTTCACTTTGATGGCAATTATTGATATTTCCTGTAGGGCTGCATATTTTTATTTTGTGTAACTCAGATCTTAATTAACAACACAGTATTTGAAACTACTTACAGAAGCAAACAGATTTACCGAAGTAAACTCCCACAAAGTACCTTACTTTAATTCAAATATTGCATAACTGTGGGGCTGTTGACTGCACAGTATGTAGCCTCAGTCTGGATCTTGCCAACTCATTGCGACGGTGCTTGTAATCATAGACAAAATATTTGATCAATAAATATCACTCATGTCACTTAAGCATGACACATTCCTTCAATTTATGTTTTGTGTAAACTTCAGTCATCACAGGCTGCTACACATATTGATTGTGCAAAGAGCCCTCAACAACATCTTTCAGTTTAGGAAAAAAAACTGACCTGAAATACATCACATTACAATGTCCCCCACTGTGTGTGTGTGCAATCAATTCCCACGGATACGTGTCAAAACTGAATTGCACAGCAGATTTAATTGAATGTAAACCTCATAGATTGTGGGCGCTGGCCGTTCACTTTCCTCCTGACTCTTGGCTTGCACTTACCGTGAGGCAACGTCCTTGTCCCTCCGGCCTTTTGCTTGATTGAAATTCTCTCAGCCGGAAAAGTTATGTGTCTTCCTTAATGCTGGTTTTTTTCCTTTTGGCGTTTGTTAATTCTGCTTTGTGGGTGAATTGTTTCTTTTTATTTTATTTTATTTTTTTATTTTTTTTATTTTCACCAGCCAAAGCGGATAACCGCCAATTACAGGCTGAGTAAAAACACTTTAAAATAAATATATTACAATAAAAATTTATTATAAAATTTGCATAAGAAATGTTATATGTATACAAAATATATTTACATTACAAAAAACATCAAGAAGTATTAAACAAAAACAAAAAACAAAAAAAACCAACATTCAATAGAATCTGAATTTGCTTGTTTTTCTGGTCAAACAAGATATGATACATATGAGATATATGGGTCATTCTATAAACTTGGGGTCGACTGTTTGCCCTGTCCCTGTTACATCTGACATCTAGGATTCATCTGACATCTAGTATTTTATAGAAAAACATACTTAGCGACAAGCAAGTTATAAGAACAAATGAAAAATATACAGAGAAAAAAAAGGGTCTTATGTAAAAAGCGTAAACACAATTAACAGTTAAGTCTGCAATGCTTTTTGGCAAAAAAAAAATTCAAACCTGATTTAAAAACATCAATCAAATTCATTTTTTAAAGATTTATAGTGAGTTGGACAGCCTAGGTAATAGATATTGCAGCCTACTTGTATCTTTCGATTGTCTAGTTTCTTAAGAGGAATTAGGTTTTGCAAATTAGTTCCATCAGATACTAAGGTGCTTGACCAATTATACATTTATAAACTAGTGACACATTTTGTTCTAAAAATTTAGGTCAGTTTTCTATTATTTGGTTTGATTTCTTCATATTCCAAATTCCAGAGCTAATTGAAGAGCTACCGTTAGCCAACACCCCAGAGGTATTTGGTCTTCATCCTAACGCTGAGATCAACTACTACACCCAAGCAGCCAGGGATATGTGGGCACAGCTGGTGGAACTCCAGCCCCAGACAGGTAACGAGTCATTCATTCCCAATCCTCAAATAAAAGAAAGAGAGTTGTCCTGTAAAGATGATACCATATTAGCCAGCACTGGGAACAGTTGGTTTAGCTATTTTACAAATTCTCCAGAGGATTCCAATTGTAACTGCTTTGGTAGATTTGGCCATTCGGGTAATGATTACTGCCACACCAAGTTCACCAATACTCAAAGTGTTGTCCAAAAACCCAAAATAGAAATGTACATCTGCCTGACGCAAATTCCATCTTACAAAAACGACATCAAAAACTTAAACTGGTCTTTGGTTATGAATGCCACAACTCCCAAGGTTTGTTAGGTCAAAATGTCACCTCCTGCTTAAAAGGAAAGAAATAAACTTTCAGTAATGACGTGTTAAATCGTTGAAAATATTTGTCAGTCTTGTGGATTTAAAAAAAAAAAATCAATTTCGAAATGTTGTGGTTTCTTTTTAAAAAAATGTGATTTCTTAAAAATTGAATTGAGTGTGATCAGTATGTCCGATCATTTAAAACCACATTTTTGAAGTTCCTGCACATTTTAATCTATAATAATTTGCTCTTTTATTCTTTCCCAAGGCGAGTCTGGAGCAGGCATCAGTCGCGAGGACTTTATCGCTAACATCGCCTCGGACATCCAAGCTAAACTACCCCAGCAGTTTGAACTGGACAAGATTCGTAAGAAGTACGGTCTGGAGGTCACTCCGACCACCGTGGTTCTCTTACAGGAGCTGGAACGATTCAATCGACTCATTGCACGCATGGCTAAGTCACTCGCTGAACTGCAGAGGGTAAGTCCAGCGTGAATTTACTTGATTTTTTTTATGAAATGTGTTTACTGCAAGACCACAGGCCATTCTTAAGTGGTGGCTACGAGGAAACTCAATTTAAGGGAAGAAAGGGAATCTGTCAAGATTTTGCTTTAAGTAAGATGAATTATGTGAAGGAGGAGACAGGAATATGATGAGGAGTTCCTCAGTGAAGCAGAAGAGTGCCTCATGTCCAGGAATATTCCTATTGCGGTTTCACTCAAAAGCTATGTTTCAGGGGAAGATTTGTCAGGATTTTTGCCGTTTCAGGATTTTTGTCGGACTTGTTTTCATGATTTCAATGTTTTTCAAGAATTTCTTTTGAACTCTGGAATTCCTGAGTTGTTTTTAGCTATAAAAGTTCATAAAGAACAAAAGAAATTGGTATTTTAAGGGATGCCTTTAGGCGTTTGCTACATGGTGCTTCTGTAAACTTAAACATATGTCAGAAACCCTACGTTGCTCCTGGAGCCCCAGTGACCCTCACACCCTCAGCCGATTAGTTCATAGATTTGTTTTTTTCCTGAATCTCATCCCTGTTGAAAGTCCTTGTTGTTTAGAATAGACTACCTGCATAAGTACCCTCTCAACTGTTCCAAACGCAGCTAAGATATTTACCATAACAGAATGTTTGAACTTAAAGTACAGTGCAATCTCGATAAGTCAAAACCTGTGAATTGAAAAACCCTTCTAACTTGAAGTAAAAATTTATTCCCGTCGGTTGTTGTTGAATAGAAAATCCATTGGATAACTCCAAACTCTGCTTAACTCTAAATTTGAGCCAATTCCTCTGAGATTTGACTTATCAAGATTCCACTGTATATGTTCTTCACTTAGAAGAAAATTATTTTAAATACTTTTTCATTGAGCATTGTACACAAAAACAAGGGAGGAAAGGGAAGCCGAGGGGGGGGGGGGGGGGTTCTGTCATTGTCTTTGTTATTTCTTCTCTTACCTCACCAGGATCGTTTACAAATTCAAATTTGTTTTATGTTTTCAAAAACGATTCCACGTGCAATTTTTGTTTTTATAGCTCCCTGGCTATTGAACTTTCTTGTTCTGTCTGGGATGTTTGAATTGTTCTCTCGTAAATGTAAGCAAGATTGGAATTAATCCGTCAACAGCTTGTGAATTCAGAATCCTCGTCAAGCTGCAGGCTATTGTCATGAGTTTATTGAGGACAAAACCATCTTAAGCTGACTCTTATTCAGCATGAAACCAAGTTGGAAAACAACTTTATCAATTTTCTTGATGAATTTTGATTGTCTGAAAGTGCACACAGTGCATGGTATTTGTAAACCTTTCCTAGTTACAAAACGAAGGTTCTTAGATGAATAAACCAATGGAGCTAGAGGATGTAATTTGAAAAACCCTGGGAAACCTTGCAAAAACCCTATGAAAAAACATCCCAGCACATCCTCAGTTGAATGCGATTTGGAAAATCAAGTGTGCTCGAGGCAATGTTGGGGCTGGGGTGTTGGGCAGTTAAGAGACTTGGATCAAGATATTAGGCATTTCTTTTCCTGGCTATTCCACTGTTCATTTCAACTAATAGCACAAAGTTATGCAACAATTAGATGACAACAAACTAACATCTGGACTGAAGGTTTTATTCAGTTTGCAACCTGATAAAATATTCATGAAAATCATGTACATATGTACATTGTGTAAATGAAAACATTTAATGGTCAAATACTTTTAAAAAAAATATATAAAATATTATTACTATTTTTTTTGGGTTGGGGGGAGGGGATAAAAGCAACAATTAATAGATTAAGTGTTAATTTATTGAAATGTGAAATAGAAATTAACATTTTCGTAACCGCTATCTCAAAGACATTTTGCCTTTGAGAGAGATGTTACTGCCTTGGTCAAAACGTTAGGCCCTCGAGCTGTTTTATTTAAATTAGTCATTGATTTATTTTAACAAAATTGCATGAATAAGATTTTCACCAATAGAATTGTGTCTGTAACACAATATTTGCAACACATTCCATGCAACACTTTCACCTCATTTGAGAACATTTCCCAAATTGGAGTGTATATCTTTGTTTTTGTTTTTTTAGAGTTGTGTTTTGTTTTTGTTTTTTCCCGCAAGCCTTAATGGGTTGTTTCTAGTTTGTAGTGGGCGGCTTTTGAAGCTTTGTCATGCAATCAAGTAATCTTTTAAGCTTATAAGCTAAGCTACTCATATCTGATGGCTTGTCATGCTCCAGTGAATTGCGGGGACAGTGAGAATGCAACGACAAATGTGATTGAGGATAAGGACAATTAAAGCAAAAGCTAAACTCCTATACCCCTGGCCTTCACTCAACTGAACTCCTTTTGGTAGATAACCATCAGAGACTATGTTTCCTCTTTCATCTTGTACTTCAGTTGATAATTTCCATTACTAGTAACCCTGGGGATGCCATCACACGGAACAGATCAAGAAATGACAACTAGGAAAAAAAGGGAAACTAGTAAAGAAATGGCAGTGTTTTAGATCCTCAAAGCGTACAAATATATATGCAGCATTGTATTTTATTTGTCACAGTACCCAAGGCAAGCTAAAGTGAAAATATTTTTTAAAAACCTCTAAAAAAATTTTTGGCGAAAAATATTAATAAACGATTGTTTGGAGCTTGTTTATCCAGAGACTGCATATATATTGAAAAATTAGCCTGGGATGTTGAATGACTTACTCCAGAACCTTACATGTAAATGCGACTTTTTTCAGCTTAATCTACAAAAGTGTTTGGTTTGAATTTTGTTTTAAACATGACACACAACTTTCCAATTTGTTTTCCATGTTTTGTAGCCACACACACATGAAGATGTATTTTGTCAATGGTGCAGTTTAAAAAATAGATTTTGGCCCAACAAACGTGAATTAAATCAACCGCCACATTCCAGCAATTTACTTACTGTTATTATTAGTATTCATTATTTCTGGTAATGAAACCAAGGATTCCTCAAAGGCACCCTAGGCACTGTAGCTCGCAAGCCTGAAGAAAGCTGTAGAGAGGAGACAATGAGAAGAAACTACAGTTTTATAGGTGGGAGAAAAATATTCTGGGGAAAACCAACGGAATCAGAAAGGGGCTGAAAACCAAATCCACATGTGGTTAGGGCAGGAATCAAACCACTACGCCAACTTGACGCCCCATGAATGCATGCCGAAAAAGTCAAATTTACTCACTGGTATTTGCAAAACACTACACTTAACGTATTGACGTATTCCTATAGTAAACACAAGCAATAGAATTTTTAGCAGATACAGTGCAGTCGAGTCTCGTTAATGCAAACTCTGTTAATACAAAATTCTGGTTATAACAAACATAAAGCCTTAGTCTCGACTGTGCATGCATGTGCACAATGAATGGGACTGATGTTCCTCTTAATACAAAATTCTGATATAACAAACAAACTGGCAAGGTCCGAACGAGTTTGTATTAACGAGACTCGACTGTACATGACTCATAAGAGCCACTCATGAAAATTGAATATTGATTTCTATATGAAACAGCGTAATTATTCCAGCCCTTCAGAAGAAACTATGTTTCTCACAATTTCCATGTGGCCTTCTCCATAGAGATTACGTCTTAATTTTCAAAGGCCGGCCATAATAATAATGACAATAATAATGGGTATTTATAAAGCGCATGTATCCACCAGGACTGGTGCTACATGTACATCAGGGCACTACATCATTATTACCCCTGCTCATTGGGCCCATGAAACATTCCAAATACCATCTCAGCTTCCTGGGGAGTATACAGCTTGATGCAGCCTGTTAGGCGCAAAGCAGCTACCGTAATTCAATCACAATAACCATCTCTGCCCTCACAGGTACCCATTTATTACTCCTGGGTGGAGAGAAGCAATGAGTGACAAAGTGCCTTGCCCAAGGGCACACGCACCATGACCCCAGGCAGGACTCGAACCCACAACCTGTAGCTTTCCAATGCCCTTAAACACGAGGCCACAGCACTCCACATGGCCATGTAAATATAAAATTTACATGGAAAGCCTCACTGAATGTTCTTTGTTTTTTTTAAGTCAGTACAATGTGTGCATACTAATTATACAGATAATGTCTTTCCAATTTCCCATTTTAAAATGCTGAAATGCTTTTTTTTTATTTCAAGGTTTTTTGGGTTTCTGTTTAGGTTTTTTGTTAAAGAATCTGAGGACAAACCAACTGAGGGAAAATATGATGCTATTCAGTTGATTTATTCTGTGGTCATGACCAAGGCTTTTCGAATACATTTAATCTTCAAATAAACCACAAAGGGAGAAAACATTTAATATTTTTTATATTTTTTTTAATTCTAATTTCTTTGTAATTTTTCTTATTTCCGTAAGTATTTAGTGCCCCTTTCATGGAAAGTTTTGAGGGACACTCAGTCGGCTTCACCACAGTGCCTGTTTTATCTGCTTTTTTTGTTAATTATCATTATTATATTTTTGTGTGCATTTTGAATTCATCTCAATTTGACCTAATGGTCCAGCAATTTGGCTCTTACAGGAAAATTGTCCCTCAAGGTATGGTCTATGAGATTGGAAAAAAATGAACATTTAATATTAATGAATGAATTTGGTTAAAAATTATCCTTAAATTGCTTTAATTTAATAGCCAGTGACTTCACCATGACGTCTCAGTTGTACCCACAACTGGGGATCAGGTTAATGTGTGTTCTGAGTGAAAAGTTAATGAATATTTCCAAATAAGAATAACCGTGCAACTAATGATGAACAGATAATAGACACGCAAAGAGAAAATGTACTATTGATCGATTTCCTAATCCACTAGCCAGGCACTTTCATGCTCCCTTAAAATTAAAGTTTGTAACTTTGTTTGTTATTTGTAATGTTCAAGATTATGTTTTGAGTTTCATATTTTTAGAAATCCAAAACTTTAAACTGTTGCCTGAGAACTAATGTCCAAGGTACATTTTTTGGGATCCAAATTGTCTTAACCATTACTTGACTAAGACTCTGATTTGGCTAACAACTTGAACGGAGTACATGTTTGTGTAATTGAATTGTTGACGTGTATCAAACAGGAGTCTGTTTTAATGCTCTATATTGTAGCTTAAAATGTAGGTCCTGGTTATTGTCAGGATCCTGATTTTGTTGATTTGTGAATTACAGGCTTCTGCAAAAGCGCAATTGAAGCCCCGTTTCCTTCTCTTCCAATATTTGTCGGTGCCAATTTGTCACAACACATACATGTACATTATCTTGTACCTTAATGATAAGGATAAGTAGGGAAAAGCGGAAAGTACATATCAAGTAGTCGTGGTGAAAAAAAAACACAAGACATGGGAACATCTAATTAAAAGCACAATTTAAGGTCTGGCCATCTTGGATTTTACAGAGAAGGGTGAAGTAGGAATAAGTAGTGAACTAGACGACGTGGCTAGGGCTCTGTTGATGATAGTCTGGTCTCTGTATTTGTCCCACAGGCCTTGAAGGGTGAAGTAGGAATAAGTAGTGAACTAGACGATGTGGCTAGGGCTCTGTTGATGATAGTCTGGTCTCTGTATTTGTCCCACAGGCCTTGAAGGGTGAAGTAGGAATGAGTAGTGAACTAGACGACGTGGCTAGGGCTCTGTTGATGATAGTCTGGTCTCTGTATTTGTCCCACAGGCCTTGAAGGGTGAAGTAGGAATGAGTAGTGAACTAGACGACGTGGCTAGGGCTCTGTTGATGATAGTCTGGTCTCTGTATTTGTCCCACAGGCCTTGAGGGGTGAAGTAGGAATGAGTAGTGAACTAGACGACGTGGCTAGGGCTCTGTTGATGATAGTCTGGTCTCTGTATTTGTCCCACAGGCCTTGAAGGGTGAAGTAGGAAGGAGTAGTGAACTAGACGATGTGGCTAGGGCTCTGTTAATGATAGTCTGGTCTCTGTATTTGTCCCACAGGCCTTGAAGGGTGAAGTAGGAATGAGTAGTGAACTAGACGACGTGGCTAGGGCTCTGTTGATGATAGTCTGGTCTCTGTATTTGTCCCACAGGCCTTGAAGGGTGAAGTAGGAATGAGTAGTGAACTAGACGACGTGGCTAGGGCTCTGTTGATGATAGTCTGGTCTCTGTATTTGTTCCACAGGCCTTGAAGGGTGAAGTAGGAATGAGTAGTGAACTAGACGACGTGGCTAGGGCTCTGTTGATGATAGTCTGGTCTCTGTATTTGTTCCACAGGCCTTGAAGGGTGAAGTAGGAATGAGTAGTGAACTAGACGACGTGGCTAGGGCTCTGTTGATGATAGTCTGGTCTCTGTATTTGTCCCACAGGCCTTGAAGGGTGAAGTAGGAATAAGTAGTGAACTAGACGACGTGGCTAGGGCTCTGTTGATGATAGTCTGGTCTCTGTATTTGTCCCACAGGCCTTGAAGGGTGAAGTAGGAATGAGTAGTGAACTAGACGACGTGGCTAGGGCTCTGTTGATGATAGTCTGGTCTCTGTATTTGTCCCACAGGCCTTGAAGGGTGAAGTAGGAATGAGTAGTGAACTAGACGACGTGGCTAGGGCTCTGGTGATGATAGTCTGGTCTCTGTATTTGTCCCACAGGCCTTGAAGGGTGAAGTAGGAATGAGTAGTGAACTAGACGACGTGGCTAGGGCTCTGTTGATGATAGTCTGGTCTCTGTATTTGTCCCACAGGCCTTGAAGGGTGAAGTAGGAATGAGTAGTGAACTAGACGACGTGACTAGGGCTCTGTTGATGATAGTCTGGTCTCTGTATTTGTCCCACAGGCCTTGAAGGGTGAAGTAGGAATGAGTAGTGAACTAGACGACGTGGCTAGGGCTCTGTTGATGATAGTCTGGTCTCTGTATTTGTCCCACAGGCCTTGAAGGATGAAGTAGGAATGAGTAGTGAACTAGACGACGTGGCTAGGGCTCTGTTGATGATAGTCTGGTCTCTGTATTTGTCCCACAGGCCTTGAAGGGTGAAGTAGGAATGAGTAGTGAACTAGACGACATGGCTAGGGCTCTGTTGATGATAGTCTGGTCTCTGTATTTGTTCCACAGGCCTTGAAGGGTGAAGTAGGAATGAGTAGTGAACTAGACGACGTGGCTAGGGCTTTATTCAACGGTCAGATACCTGGCATCTGGCGTCGTCTGGCTCCTGACACCCTTAAATCACTAGGCAACTGGATGATACACTTCCAGAGACGCTTCACACAGTATACCACATGGGTGAGTTGATGTTTTCATCACCCCTACCTCTAGATCCCCCTCCCACACCACCTTTCCCCGTGAAAACCCCCTTCCCACCCCTTAACCCAACCGTCCTCTCCCTACCGCCCTCTCCATACCAACTCTCCCTGGCACCACGTTGCTCCCTGCCAACTCCACCACTTTTCCCATCCCACCCCAACCTTACCCCTATCCCTACATCCTACCCCACCCAACAAGTTCCCTTAATCCCGCCCCAATTGTCCCCTTCCCTGATCCCACACTACCAATCCCATCTCCCCTTACCATTATTTATCCCCCCCCCCATTCCCCAACATTCTGCCACTCCCCTTTTCCTTATTTACAAAACTTAAATCACTTGAAGAAGTCAGTTATTCCTTAAGTGAGATTTTTTTTCTGTGTTACTAACCATTCAGTTTCCTTGAATGTGCAGAATTAAAAAGAAGACACATTTTCTTTTCCTCAGTTATTCCTTAAGTCAAAAAAATGATAGAAATACAATTTGAAATCAGATTTGAAGCATTGCTGTCAGAATATAAAACGTCTCAAAAAACAGGTTGAGAAATGTTTTTCCTTAAATGAGATTGTAAATTAATGCTAGAAATGGTTTTAATTCATGAATGGTTTTAAAATGTTACAAAGTAATAGTAACAGTAATCTACCCTCAGAATGTGATTAAGAAATCTATTAAAGTGAGATGAAAAGTGAAGTTGTCATTTTTGCCCTTAGGTCAACGAGAGTGAACCACCTGTGATTTGGCTGAGTGGCCTCCACATCCCAGAATCCTACCTGACGGCCTTAGTGCAAGCCACCTGTCGCAAGAACGGCTGGCCGCTAGACAAATCCACCCTCTACACAGCCGTCACTCAGTACATGACCCCAGATGAGGTCAGCGAGCGCGCTCACTCCGGTAAGTCACCCAAATGTCACTGGATAGTCAGTAAATTTCAATATATACCAAAGATACACAGTCTTACTTCCAGTAATTAGGAAAAGTACTCACAACTCTACTGTGTTCAAGACACACATTACTGAACACAAATAATCCCTAAACTTTTCCAAACCGCCCTGCCTGTTAATTACTCCCTTTAATGTCCGCAATGGCCCGAGTGCTGCATGGTTTTCCTCAGGAAATAAATACAATGTAATGGTAATGGGTTAAACTCAAACTTAATTTACCAGCTTTCAGTGTCTGCTCAATTTTTATCAGATTAATAAATTACTTATGATATTTCCCTCCAAAGATGCTCACTCCTAAAATATAATATAAAGTCCAATGGCTTTTAAACAATTATCCGTTCAATTTAAACAGAGTAGACTGTTAGTTCTGGTTCAAATTTGAGTAGGTTGATTGACCAAATGGACAGCCTTGATGACATCCTGTTTATTCTGCGACCTATACACGATTTCCTTACTCAGGCGTATGTACTCTTGTCAAAATCTATGGTCATTCATTCATCCATCCACGGCTAAACGTCAGTAGAAGTTGAGGATTTAATGAAATTTGTGCTTGAGCTACCCTACTGATTGTCGCTCAGAATATGGGTCGGTGTGAAGTCGCCTGCGTACATGGTATTGCCTGGCAGTTTAATCAACCACATGCCATTGCGATTGCTGGACAGGTTTTGTTGGATTTGTGCAAAATTGTGTTGTTACTAAGAAAAGTTGATCCTGGGCAAAAGTAATCCGAAACCTCTGCTGTGTAAATTCCCAGGTCTCTCCCCCAAGCATCCCCCTACAACAACAACAAGAAAACTCAATTTTGCACCAAGAAAATATAAGTGGTCTACAAAAGAAAGGGAAACAGCTACATATCTGGGGAATAAAGTGAGACAAGTAACTAGAAAAAAAATGTGGCATTCTCAGTAGGCGTCTCTATGTTCTCAACTTACCGCTGGCATTTCAGAACCAATTTTTTAATTCCTAGTGGATGTTTGATTTTTCACAGCTTGCATTTTCTGAAGCAATTTATTTTCTAGGATGACCGAAATAGAGTGAAAAACTGATTAAAAACATGGAAATATCAAATATCCGTCTAGCATGGCCTTGTGGCTTTTTGTATGCAGTTTGTTAGAAAGCCTTTATTGACACACTTCAATGTACAAAATCTTTTGTTGCTGGCAAGATGTAATCTCTTTTGATTTCAAAAAGTGTCAATCAATGCTTACAACGGGCCGTAAATTACAAAGGAAATGAAATTGTATGATTCAAGGCAAAACTTGAAATGATACGAGCAGGTCAGGCAAGACTGCTCATGTGGGAAAACTATGATTGCATTTTCTTGGAGTACACTCTGTTATTAAAACGTCTCACATCTTGGAGGTTTAGTGATTAAGGGTGAAAACCTTTCTGAGGCTAACGAAACCCTTCAGCAAACCTCGCGGTCCAAAGAAAAATGTGAACCAACAATGCCCTGGCACACAGAAATTCCTTGGAATTAACTGGCACCAAAATTTATGAAACAGTTGATCAAATACTATGACTGCAGCTGTATGCATAAACACAGTCGTAGTGTTTTTCCGTTTTGCATAAAACTTCTTTTTCTTCACCGGAAATTGTTATCCTCAAAAATAGATTTTCAGCACTTTTGTTGCTTCAAACGAACATAATGCACAAATGACAAATGATGGACTGTACCTTTAAGATTGAAACCACCAAAAAAAACCACCTCATTAATTACTGTCAGCAAATAATCCGCGTGCATATGGGAATAAACAAGATTGCTTTCATTGGATGTATTCAAAATGCAAATTTCCGCCCTCTTCATATAAATCCAATTGAGCTTGCTGAAAACAAATTCCTCTAAAAGATAATCCCTGCCATTTGTCTGTTTTGTAACAACAGGCTTGTTTTTAAGCACTCGTGAAATGAAGTGAGGCTGTTAAAGAACTCTTTTATGACGTCCATCGGTCTATCCTCGGGATGGGCTTTTTAAGTGTTTTCAATTTTTGGAATTAAAAGACTGAACTGTTTATTTGACATTGCTATTTGCTATGGAGATTGGTAGAAGATTAAATTCAAGTTTTGAGGCTCAGGAATATTCGTCCAATTTGTTTTAATAATCTCAACAGGCTTGAGGAATGTGGTCTACAGTTGTTTTACATATTTCTTTAAAATCTGCCTGTAATTCATTTCAAACAGTTTTTGTGCCACCATTTTATCAATTTCCAACAGTGGTCGGCCGACCATCGTTGGAAAAAAACTGCCCTTTTTTCAAAAAGTGCCCCCAATTTACCAAATTTATTTTAGTCCATATTTTGTTTGCAATCGGTTACACATGCGTGAGGAGGTGCAAGCCAGCTAGTCTGGTTCCCTGACCTGACAATTCTCTGACGTCTGTAAATTGCGCTCCATTTTGTCTGAAGTAGGGTCAGGGAACCAAACAACAAGGACTTTTTTTCTTGGTTTTTCCAGCATCTATGAACACAAAGCTTTAAACACGTCCGTGCAACATCATTTGCTATAAAAAACTAACACCAAAATCCATCAATTTCTGAAAATTACAGCAAAAGCAAATGTCTTTATATTAGCTTTAATTCTGTTGTTCCGATGTCTAAGGACAGCACTGGGACTTAAAAACAGTCTTAAAAGCAGCCCCTCCGTATAGCATTTTTCATTAGTTTTATCTACCCAGATGAGAGACCATCTGGCCGTTTCCTTCTGTCTTTGTAATTGATATTTTGTGTGCCGAGTTGAAATTGGCAATTTCCATCAACAAAGCAACCTTGAATTTACATTTAAATGAGAAAAAGGGAAGTATCGAGCATTATGCTTCCTTAGATGTACGTAGTTCTACAGGGACATTGTTCAATGCTGACTGAACTCCTAAAAATAACATTAAATATTTATTTTACCTGTAAAAGCATATTTTTTGTTAAGGAAAGTATTCAGGGAGAGTACGTGACGAAAAGCAAGTTTCTATTTTGAACCCGCTAGATTATATACATTTTATGCCTTGTATCCAAAGAAAGAATCTTTTTTTCAAAGACATTGTACACAAATGCATCTATAGGTTTTCATTGGAGATCCATTCATCAGATGCACTGAGGAAAATATACAATTTTACTTTTACAAAAACAGTGTTTTTTATGTTGTTGGCCCTATTTGTTTGCATGTTGGAGGGGTTTTCAAGAGTTCTACAACTTTAAAAGTACAGTGCCAAATAAAAAGTTTAACAAAAATCAGAAAATTCAATTTCAATAAATATATTCTTTCCTCCCAACCCCATATTTTTTTTTCAGGGAATGAGACAAGACATTTTTCACTGAAATATTGTTTTGATTTTTAAAAAGGGGATTTTTGTTGTGGATAATTTATTTTATATTTTAAAATTTTTTTTTTTTTTTTTTGGTGTTTTTGTTTTCATGTTTCATAGTTTGAAAAATAAGATTTTGACATTCTTGCACCTTGTGTCTCTGGTTTTGTCAGGGTGTTTTGTGACTGGCTTATACCTGGAGGGTGCATCCTGGTCTCGGGAGGATACATGCCTCGCTCGTCCTAAACCCAAGGTGCTGATTGAGGAGCTGCCCATCCTCAAAGTCATCCCTATAGAAGCCCATCGTCTCAAATTACAGGTAAGCTTAAACTCTAGCATCATCAAGGACAAATCCATTAAGCCTTGGGGATCAACTGTACGGTAGTTGGCAAAGAATTCTATTTTTTTAGAAGACTCGGTAGTAGATCAAAGTTTTTCAAAAAGTGGTTGGCAGTGGTGTTGACTACTGTAGTCAACATGTACCGGGACTGAATGACCTCAGTTGAGATGTACTAAGATTTGCAATATTGTGTGACGTTTCAGGAAACTTTATTAGCCCTAGGAGTGTGCATCTACGGGTAGTACAGGAAGCGGGTACCCAATTGAAAAAAAAACATGAGTACCCTAGTACCCGTGAAAGAAACCCAACCCCATAATGCGGAAGTTGCTGTTCAGATTGTTCATTAAGGTCCGCACGATAATACTACTACATCGGTGCGTCAATAGAGCAAGATACAAGTGTGTACAGTGAGTTTTATAGCTTTCTGGTGAAAACTGCAACTTCTGTGAGCATCATAAACATGGCTTTCATTTTAAAAATTCCCCACAAATGACATTCAAATTCTTTCTTTTTCATTGTCGAAGAAGTTGCTAAGTATTTTGTGAAGTTGTTTACGGGTACCCGATTCCATAACCTGGAACCGGTTCCTGACATCAGCAGTCGGGTACTCAGGTACCTGGTTCTGATGCACAGCCCTAATTAGCCCTCACAGCACCCACAACCACCCTGCCTGTTACTCCTAACCCCCCCCCCCCCTCCCCCCAAACTGCCCCAGCATTCTATGGGTTTATTGATTTTTGGAGGAGGAAATACAATGTAATACAATTTCATACTAGGGCTAAAGGGTTAAAGAATGGTGGGATTTTTCCTTGTAATATGTAAATGATTAACGCCCCCCCCCCCCCACCCCTCTCTAATCCCCTGAATTCCCTCTTGAGCCTTTCCTAATTCACGGAACTGTCCAACACAAAAATAAGCTAATACTATTTTCTTAGCAGACATCAAGTTACCGGTGTCAGGGTCTCACTTTACCGGCGTGCTAGCTTCTCTGGGGATTCAGCGGGTAATTGAGCACGTTACAGTGCACGTTACATGCTGATATATCCACTGTGCATCATCGTGAGATCGCACAGCCCTTTGATCCTTTGGGATAGACCTACAGGGTAGTGGCCTTCAGAGAGAGATAAAATTAAATGTCCCCTCTTCATAAGTTTTCAGAAGCAAGTCTCTCTGTCAGTATCATGTCTGCCGCCGACAACTTAAAAGCAATCAACAGCGTTACACCTCTAGCTTTATATGTAAAGGCAAACACAAGTTAACCACGCTCGCACGGCGAAAATTCTAAATTCGACTGGTACCCTGTGACGTGTATATATAAATATATGCTCTTTTACTTAGACCAGTACTAATCCTGAAAACTCAGAACAAAAATAAAGATGGCGAAAATGTACACTACTGCGCAATTTCACGCATGTGTGTTGAAGCGAAATTTCCCTCTAGGAGAAGCTAGCACGCCTGAGAAATGAGACCGTGACACCGGCAAGAATGTAAAGTATCTTAACTGTGACTGGTTCTTGGTTAGCACCCCCAAAAATATGCTTAGCAATATTGTTTTGCTTAGCGATCAATGAAATCAGGCCAATTAAGTTGTGCTTACAGATTACTGTGGAGGAAGAGTAGAGATCAAAGTGGCTCACTCAAGAAAACCCAAGTAGGGGGAGTCGTCGTGACTCAAATGAGAGGGGGTGCATTCTAACTTGTTATAATTGCTCTCTTTGTGTCTATCCTTCACAGAATACCTTCCGCACACCAGTGTACACCACGTCGCAGCGTCGTAATGCCATGAGTGTTGGCTTGGTGTTTGAGGCAGACTTGGGCACCACTGAGCATATTTCTCATTGGGTCCTGCAAGGTGTCTGCTTGGTACTCAACACAGACTAAATCGGGATTTTAATTTCGGGAAAATTCACCGACCACAAATTGACAGACTAAAAATTGTCTTGACTAGCAATATACAAAAGACCATATTGTTTTCTTATGAGCTTAGGGTGTTTTTCAAACGGCGCCTTTGCATCCAGCTTTGAATTTAATCAATATCATGTCCTGACTTGAAGGACTCTGGCTCGGTATTAATCCATGTTGCTCCCAGAACAGCACATCTTCATATTTAGGGCCAAAGACAATGAAAGAATAGACTTTCTGTTTTAATTGGTATAAAAAAAAAGAATTTAATAATTCTGGTGCCAGATATGAAACTAAAGTTGGAACGAAGCCAGGTTTTGGAAAATGGTCTATTTGTGACTATTAGGAAATGGGACTGCAGTTCATTCAGAACTTCATCCGTTCTCTGCATTTATGACTAGATTAGACTTGTTTCCAGACACTGTTTGTTATTGATACACACTAGCCACAAGTGGGCATTGTTGCTAGGATCAACTTTATGATGAATTGCGTGTAGTGAAATTTTGTTTGTATTGCAGCAGTAAAAAATAATGTGTATTAAAATATACCAAGTGACACCTTGAAGTTACGAATCAGATCCTAAACTAGGTTGAAGAAAAGACTAGAGAGTATTGATGATTGACCAACTTCATTCTCTCCAAAAAACATGAACTCAGACAGAAAATTGAAATGCATTTCCATTAAATGGAGCGATGGCTTTTTGCCTAATGAAATAAATACCATTTGTATGTGTTGCCAAGGGTTTGGCTAGTTGCTGGATTGGGAAAGGAACACGGAGAATATAAATTTGCCTTGGGTAAGGTGTATGAAATGAACATGGATATATTCTGAATACCTCGAAAGTGATTACTTTTCAGTGTAAAGCAAATGTTTAATAAGAAAACTGGGGCGTTTAAGAAGAAAGAAAGAAAGTAATTCTCATCCAAAAATAGACAATTCTAGTTCAATTGACACAGAAAGAAGTGCTGAAATGAAATCACTCCATCTTTCCTGTTTATTGAATTGACTTATTTCATTGACAGCAGTCGTTTCGAGTTAACAGTACTGTATTATCAAAGACTTTTTGGTGAATTTTTTTTTTCCATGTGTTTTTTTTTCGACACTGCTGCATGATGCGTCAAACTTAAACCTCGTTTCAATCCGTCCTTAAAATTTCCAATCAATTGTAAACTTATTCCAATTTCTAATGAATAATCAAAGTACAATACCATTGTTTATTTTTTGTATAATATTGAGGTGCCATTTTGCTGTTATGCGAGCATTTATTCCAGTTGTGACTCCGTCCTTTTGAAAGAATTGTTTTGTATAAAGATGTGTGCCTTCTAACTGAGATCCGTCCGTTTTATTATTGCACCCTCTATTGATTCACTTCAGAAAGTGGCAGGCAGTGTTTTTTTTCACTTACAGAATTTATAAAGTTTTATCTTTTTCCCAAGGGAAGAAAGAGTATTTTAACATGTTCACATCGTTTGCTCTGTCTATTGAAGCATGTGGCAACATTAAAAAAAAACTAAGCGCTTTAAATTGCCAAGAAAAAATACCAGATATCTGTAATTGGATATCGGAAGCGATGCTGCCTGTTTTTTATGATTCAGTCAACAGAGGGTGCATTTCATTTATAGAATTGCTATTTGAACAGTTAGAATGGTTGCTGTTACTGTCATAAATATTAAGATTGATATTCCAAGTATTTATCTGATTTTCAAATTGACTAAAAGTCAAGTTTTCCGATCTAAAAAGGTTTATATGGTTTTTAAGAATTTAAAGTATAAGTATGTATATATTTCGATATCTTGTGGAAAGGAAAGTAAAAGTTATAAAAAGATTATGAATTTAATGAACGTGTTCCCGCTTCTTTGTTTTTTGGTGGTTAGCTCTTATTGAGCAGAAGCACTCGGGACAATTTCATGGCGTTGCAAAGCGCATGTTAATTACTGAGCAAATAGCGGATCTATCTGATGGATGAATATTTGTATTGTCATGAATATTCTGATCAGTACCCAAAGACTGTTCCTTTCTATAATGATTCCCGCTCCTTTGTTTTGTTTTGTTTTGTTTTGGGTGTTTTTTTGGGGTGGTTAGCTCTAATTGAGCAGTATACAAAACACTCGCGGCAATTTCATGGCGTTGCTAAGCGCATGTTAATTACTGAGCAAATAGCGGATCTGATGGATGTATATTTGTATTGCCATGAATGTTCTGATCATTACCCAAAGACTCTTCCTTTCTTTAATGGTTCTCATATTTGTGTTGCCTCTGAAGAAGGGTGGAACGGTCGATAAATAATTGAATTCTGGAGAAAAACAATTGCAGTTGCAACCGGATAATGAATTTGATTGATGTTTGATTTTTTTTTTGCAATGAGTTTATCATGAGTTGATACCACAGAAGAAAATAGTAAAACCATATTTAGCAAGACGTAGTTGACTCGCATTGTATCTGCGCCAAGCAGCTCACTAACGTCAGTGTACTGTTTTAGCTGTAGTGGTAGCCATGCCATACCAGTAAAGTTATACTACAGACACCTAATATGATGAGCGGCAACATCCTCTCATCTTCTGGGATTTCACTGGTTGCTGTACGCCGTACTTTGCGTAAAAACATCTGGTATTCAGTTTCAATAGCTTTTCAAATAACAGGCTGATTGACTGAATTTCGTATTCATTATGTATTTTCCTTTGCTTTTGGGGGGCAATGGTGTTCCAGACAGGGTCGGCGGTAATAACAAGGGTGTTTTTTTCTTGAGTCGGGAACCCAAATGAGATCGGTTGGAAATGAGAAACAACAATAATATGGGACATCCTAAAACTAGCGATCGCTTTGAGCATGCGTGACGATTGCGCTTTCAAAGTAAATATGCTGTAATGGACGCAGATTTTTCAGACTTTGGACTGAAATCTGGCCTTTTGAAGCTGAGTGAAAGAAATTATCAATATGTCTATAGAAAGAAATGCATATTTGAAACTGTTTTGGTTTAGGCTACATTTAAAAATTGACAATCTCATCCCTACGTGCGTGACTGCGTGTTCTCTTCTAATTCTGCGCTAGTATAAAATGAAACCTGTCACTGCAATTGACAATGTCGTCCGTGACCCCATTGTAAGCATTTTGTTTTGATAACCCAGAATTTAAGTTGAAGCATCTGACAAATTGACATCGCGCTCGCCCCGCGGAGTGGGCCTGGCTTTGTAGATTTCAGCCTATGGCCACGCAATGAAAGCGTTCATTCCATGAACCATTGTATTCCTTTTCAAAAGCCTGAAGTTTAAACAAACAAAAAACGCCGAAGGGCCACTTCTGTCGCTAAGACATAGTATGGTGTTGTCCAGCTCAAGAAATATCAAACCACTTCATCCGATAAGATACCTCCGTGTGACAAGGTGAAACCATCAGTTTCCATGACAACACCCACTCTATCGTTGCATACTGATAATCTAGGTCCACTACGCGGTAGAGAGTGGTCGTATATAACTGGCGGAGGAAACCGTTCAATTCACTTGGAAGAGTCGGGCGAGCAGTGTGATCGGTGTGTGTGTGGGTCTTGTTGATAGATATCGAGCGCTAACTCGAGATCTCTCAGATTAGAGGGAATTCGTCTTTTTATTATTTCGCCAGGGTCAGTTCTACAGATTAGAATTCTTCACTATTGAAGGTAAGTTTTTTTTCTTTAAGAAACATTTTATTGAGAGACTTTTTGTAGTTGCAGGAAATTCGGAACTTTACGCTTAACTCGCCAGGTAGAACATAGACAGAATGCTTTAAATCGTTCATTTATTCAGCTTAAGTATGGAATAAAATACATTGTTGAAATCGTACCCGCCCCATCCGCCCCGCCCGCCCGCCAGCCCCATCTGCCTCGCCCGCTCGCCCCGTCTCGCCCAAATTGTGGAAAGAATGTTGCTATCTGACGCCACTTTTTCTTCATGTATCATCTCAATGAAGGTCAGTCATTACAAAAATAATGATAAGACCTGAACCCGGGATTGAGAAACATTCCCAATTTTGTTAGGAAATACAAAATTTAGTTGACTCTCTATAGACTGTGTACACATCCACTGAAGTGCAGGCATCTGGATGCTACATTCTTTCAAAAATGGTTTTTAGAATTATCTATAGAATGTGTTTTGGAGTTTAAAAAAAAAGGTTAAATGAGAGGACCTTTCGGAACAAGTTGGCAATGTTTTGTTATTTTATTTTCTTCAACTTGTTGGTGTTTTCACTAGAGGGAAGATGGCATGTTGCGAAAGCGAATCAGCTTGGACGAGAACCAGGGAATTCTGGTTAATTATCCTGTGTGCAAATGCGACAAACCCTAGCCGCCCCCCCCCCCTGCAACACCACACAAAATCGTCGCACTTGGCCTTTGTTTATACACTACACGGCGAACTTTTCAATTTAATGGCTCAATAAATATACAATGTGAAGCTAATGTTACATTTGTTTGGTCGTATTACGAGTTCAGTGCTCCAAACACTCCAAATTGAATGAAAGTCATAGAAATGCTTCGTTGTGTAATTTTTTTTCACTGGCATAATATTTCCCCCGAACCTCAGTATGTTCTACTGAGCGAATGTCTACGTAACGGCCGTGCCTATACGATTAATTGTTTTCATGAGTAGTTAAACATGAACGATGCTTATCTCAGAGCTCTAACCTTGTCGTTTCTTGAATAAAAAAGCATGAAAGTCACGTAATGCGGACAATGCCATGACAGACAATCCTGACTGAAACAGACGCTTATTCTTTCTTTATTCTTTTCTCTTTGCATAATTGAGTTGAATTAAATTGAAGGTTTTTTTATTGTTCGTACCATTCTCGCAGTCCGAAGACTGAATTGCGATGGTTTACAATTTACAATTAACAGAAATCATTGGAAAAAAATATTTATACATAATGTTCGACATTAAAGTATTCTAAAAAAAAACACATTATTTTTTTATGCAAAATGTTAAAACATAGAAATATTCTAAAAAGACTCTTATACAAACATGTGGATTAAAAAATGTTAAAATGCTACCCAGACTAGATAAAAGTTTAAGAGATTAGGTGTTTTTATTCATTTATTTGAAATGTTGTTTTTTATTTTTATTTTTAAAGCTTATTATGTCCTTGAAGCGTTGCTGTGTCGACAACAGGGGCGTAAATCGGGGGGGGGGGGGGTATATATCCCTCCCCCCACTTTTCGACCAGGGGGATGGGCTATTGAATCATCCCCCTACTTGTCCATGATGAGAAAAAAATGCTGAATTCGAGGTATTTGTCGAACATCCCAACAACCAAAGTGTATCAAATAGCACTGAACATTGGAGAAACAAAGTAAAAAACTTTTAAAATTTTGATCTAAGCAGTAGTATACATATTGATATATCATGAAGAGCGCCTCCAGTGTAATGAAGTGTTAAGGGCGCCCCCCCCCCCCCCCCCCCCCCCCGCTTTTCGAATTTTCCACGGCCGAGCAATTTCTGGATTTTGACCATTCTCCATCCCCCACCCCACTCGCCGGCACAGATTTACGCTACTGATCGACAAACACAAGCCGACTGAGGCTGAATTTATTCGTGAATTCCTCTGAGTAATGAAATGTTCGCTGAGGTAGAGTGTCCAATCTCTCTCCCCATCCCTTTGTGATAACTCACTCGATGTCCTGCTTACAGGGCGTTGCTGGACTGATATATATATGTTTTTCATTTGTTACGAGGGAACTACAAATTGATCGAGAAATTTAAGTGTAGAGAGCTTGATTTTGTTTGCAAGATTTAGTGGGAAATAGATTTTAGAAATATGCTGTACATCTGCCCTAAATTTGGGGAGAAATCTAGAGATGAACATTGTGTGCACTCCCTACTCCACCAATTCATTTTTTTTTTAAATTAAACTTCACATTTTTCTAGGCTTCATGAGAAAAATACAAACTTTAGAGAAAAGGATTGTACCATAAAGCAGTACATATTAAAATTAACAGCAAAATAAATGAAGCAAATCGAGCTTGGGGCTGTTTAAAATAAGCAGAAGATTGTGAAAACAGCCGGCAGAAACAGCACAAGACAAACAAACAAACAAACAAACACCCCAACACCCCAACACCCCAACAAACAAACAGAGGCATTACAAATGGGTAAGCTGACACGCGACAAGGAACATAATACTGATGACAGGGGCAATAATGATGAAAAGATGACAAAAGGATGCATGAGCGAAAAAATAACAAAAACAAAAATTCGGCTAAAATTTTGTTTCCGGGCGAAATCGGTTAATTACCTTTTGGCGAAGTTTGTTTTTGGTCAAAATCAGACTTTAAATCAATGAAATCATGACAATCAATGTAAGGACAATTTCACCTGAATCGTATTTTAAATTTTCACGAAGAGACAAATTCCAACTTTATCACGTTGTTTTATGGGCCAAAACAAACTATGGCCCCGAACGGACATCGCCAAGAAGTGTGTGACTTGGGCTCTCCGAATTTTCTGTCGGAAATTGACAGAAAGGACACAGGAAATTGTCTTCGAACTGAGGAGTTCGTGAAGACGCTGACGAAATGTATATACATGTAGACGGGCTCTTTTTCAGTGACACTTTATAGCAGCAAGCGTGGGGGACTGTCTGAATCATAAAATTTTACTTGACAATTGTATGTTCAGGTACTTGGGAGAATTCCCCGTCCTCCTTTTCCGACCTACTGTAGCAGTGACTTTGACCGATTCTTCGTTCTTCTCTGTAGACTCGGCCTGAACTAGAAGGATGACCACAGACATTCCTATGACGAACACATGGACAACGAGCGGTCCATTCACCACACATGGTGGGGAAGACGGTGATGGAGCTAGTGATGAAGAGGGACCCCAGGGGTGGGGAGTAGGCGGCATCGAGAACAGCATCCCAGTCCGCATCACATACACCATCATCGCATGCCTTGGCATTGCTGGCAATTTCATCGTCATCTTTGCTCTAATCAGGGTCCCCTCTCTGCGGAACTGTACGAGTTACTTCATCATACACCTGGCAGCTACTGATCTGATCACATCGATCTGGGTCATCCCGTTCCACATGTTATCAGTGACTCCTCACGTAGCCGAGGGGGTCGGGGGAGAGTTGATCTGCCGTCTGTTCATCTCCAAGTACCCGCTCTGGGTCACCATTTTTGCCTCCGTCTACAGCATGGTCTGTGTGACCATGGAGCGTTTCTTCGCCGTGGTTTACCCTCTCAAATACAAGGTTCTCTACACCACGTCTCGGATCATCCCCATGATGGTGTCTTGCTGGTTGGTGGGCGCGGTCTCCAACTGGTTCTTCTTCTACAACTACGACTCCGTGAGCGGGAAAGGTTGCCAGTTCGTACCGTGGCCTAGCCATGCCACCACCGGGGTGATTGGTGTGTACATCTTCGCTGTCGTCTACTTCATTCCGATCACTACCATGTTGTTTGCTCACTGGAAGATGATCAAATCTCTGAAGCATCAAGCGGCAATCCTGGATGGAAAAGGTCAGTAATGGGTTGGTGTCCCAACACTAGCCTTGGTCCGAGACTGTATTTGGTTTTCTATTTCCCTATTTTGCAGCCAGTCCGGTGACAAACGTGCCGCAGTAGTGGATGTCTCTATCAACGAGATGAATCAAATCCAGTCTTGGCAATATTGGCAGCGCTACCCAGGAAATTATGCGCATACCTCATGCGCCTGCATTGGCTTAAATACAGCGCGAGTGAGATGTACTCGGAATTTCCTGGGAAGGGCTGCCACTATGGACCATTATCATGTTGCGACCGTCTTGATTTTTTTCCGATTCTAATCAACGTAACCAAAGCGAGGCTGGAAGGAGAAATAGTCTGGTTCCTTTTTGTATAAGAAACATTATCATTCAGTACCGTCATTGGATACAGGGAACATGAAAAAAATTGGTGGCATTATCATAAAGATTTATTGCCATTACTATTCATCTTGTTGCGATCTCGCTTGTCACGGACCGGCTGTGTTTGGGGAGTAAATTCAAAATCCAATCTTGGACTAAGATTACCTCAAACCAGCTATGTTTAGTTTTGGTTATTTTTGTACTACGGAGAAGCCGTTTATTACCACTTCAAACCGATCCCAGTACAAATTATTATGTGCGCAGAAACCTTTGGCCATGTATGGAAGGACACGATTTTAGAAATTAACTTGCTTGTCTTTCATAAACATGCAGGAACATTTTTTTCCTAAATAGTGGTTTACCGGCCAAATAGTTAATTAGGAATTCAAATCGAGTGGCTCTTACGCTTCTTCTTTTCTTTATAAATTAAAACACTTACTTATTTTCCTTAAATGCCAATACTTATGTTGTGGCAACAGTTTCATCTTAGAATTCGCTTTAGAAATGCAGATCCATCATCCAGTCACGGCAGTGTGTGAAATTTGAATTTAAAAATGGCTGCTGATTTAAAGAATTTACTACGAAAACTTTTTTTGGGGGGCCGGGGGGGGGGGAAGTTTGAGCAATAGGTTATGACGGTAGACTTCTTTTTCTAACGATTTTAACCAAGTTTTTAAATTGAGGTTGACATATTGGTCATCTCTACGCATTATAATATCTATAGACGCTATTATATTGAATGTGATTTTAGTATAAGCTCTGACAGAAACCTAGTTTTATGTGGTTGTTTCTTAAAGAAAAACAAATAAAACAGTAAAACAGACATTATCACTGTCACTGACACTGCCATTTGTCGTGAGGCATATTGCCATATTCACTATATTACTGCCTACACGGACATTATCACGACCAGTGTCATAAGCCCTGCCACTGCCAATGTCAATGTCATGTCAGTGCCACTGCCAATTGTTGATGTCATTTTTACAGTTAGTGTCACTGCCAATGTCCATGTCATTTTCAAAGCCACTTCCCCTTCCAGCCTCCAGGGGCGGTGCCGATAAGAAGCAAGCATGGCAGCTACAAGTCGCCCAAGATCTGAGCCGTATGCTCCTGGTTGTCGTCGTGACCTACGCCGTCTGCTGGCTTCCCAACCAGGTCCTCTTCCTCGCCTTCAACCTCGGCGCTCCGGTCAGCTTCGCCAGCCTCCCGTTCCATCTCTCCGTCATCCTGGCCCTCTGTAATTCCTGCATCAATCCCTTCATCTACACCCTCAAGAACAAGCAGTTCAGGGAAGGAGTCAAGGTGGCCTTACGTCTCAAGTCGATGGGCGCCGTGGGCCCGGCCAGTAGCTCCCGGGATGAGGGGGAGATGAGAACGGCAAATACGCAAAATACCATAGCTTGAATGCTCATGAGATTTATAAGGGAAAACTAAGAAAACGTAGAAAGCTGTGCATGTTTAAGTCAAAACTCCTTTCCGACTTTTTTTTTAACGCCCGATGCTTTAAAACAGCTACGGGTGTGTTGAATTTTTCAGATTTTGTGACCACCAGTTTCCGTGACTTGCACCGTGAAAAAGTAACGTCTGTCTCTGTAAAGCACTAATTATACTTCATGAACATGATATTATTTATTCCCTTAAATTTGCTAATTTCGTATAGAAATAGATATTGTACATTGGCCTGAGCAAACGTGGACATTGAGTCGGACACAAATATATGACAATAGACGTTGCTCCTTAATGTTTTTATTCTTTTGCGTAGTGGTCCTTGTGTTTTGCTCTTTCTGGGGTTATTTTTGGAAGAAAAAACGGTGCTAGGATAGAAACATCAGGCACTCGATCGAACTTTATTAATGCGCTTTTTAAAATGACAATTCTACAGACTTGTTTTATATAGTTATGTTTATTCATCTATATTTATGTGTTGCATAGAGTGATTCCCCTCCCTCTACACTTGCGTAAGGTTACGCCCATTCCTATCATCTGTACCATTATTTCTTAAATGCATGGAAACTTAGCTACCATTTTCACATTGCGTACTTTGTCTGTAGTTGTGTTTATTCTTAACGGCTATTGTGTGTTCACAATGCCTTCGTTCACGTCACAATCGCGCGCGAGTATTGAAAACACCGGGCGTAGTCCCCTTGAGCACGCGGTAACTGCATAGTCGTTGCTACGAACACAAACGTACGTATGACTGTAGATATACAGAAACATTTTGACCTTGTTGTGCACAGTGTTCAGTTGTGTTGTTGCATTATCAGTGGATGCATGCATGGTGTACTTGTTGAACGTGAAGCATTGACACTGCAGGTCGGTTTAACCTTCTGAGAATTTCCACGATGGGAGAGCCCGTGTCAGGGGTTGAGTTAGAGCTTGCAGTTCCAGGAACGAGTCAAGACCATCCAGGGAGTTTTGGAAGTGAAGCTGGTCCGAGCACAGAATGCCTAGTGTCTCAACCTCAAGAGCAGGTCGACTGGAGTTTGTTACCCGATGTAGCCACGACCATGATAGCAGCATATCTCCTACCATGGCAGCGTGGCTACATGGCAATGACTTGCAACAATTGGAACAGAGCCATCATGAAATCACCTCACTTGTGGCGGACCAAGGACTTCCGTATCCACGGCAACTGGAGGGACTCGCATCATCTGTCTTACGTCAAGAGTGTCGGTAGACATCTCAAGAGGGTCTACTGTTCGTTTGGCTTCCGATCTCACCGCTATCCGCGTCGCATGCAGAAGCTCTTCACAGCTCTACTGGCTGAGCTGTACCGCAGCGGACCCGTGCAGCTCTTGGATCTACACGTCACATCACTTCAGTTCAACAGGAACTTTCAAACCCCCGAGTGCGATCGCGCCAGAAAGGGAATCTTGAAGTCCCTGAATCGGTTCCTACGACGCCAGACCATATTGCAGACCCTAGACCTGAGTGAAGACATGCTGCGAGTAGATGAAGGCGTGGCCTTGCTGTCGTCCGTCTCTGAATGTTCCTCCGCAAGTCTCAAAATGCTGTACATTGACGAGACTTTTCAGCAAGGAGCCGGTGTCAACGCAGACAGGAGTTTCGTCCGGATAATGGGCCGTTTTACCAAACTGGTGGAGGTGACTGTGAACTACAGCTGCCTGTCTGCTGAGCTGCTGTCCCGACTCGCTGCTTCCTGCAGTTCAACATTAGAGGTTCTCAGTATCACAACTCACCGCCATGATAACCACGAGCATACCATCAACCGCGACGCATGGGTTGATTTCTGTGAAGCCTCTCCTGGTACCCGTGTTACCCTCTCCATGAGCGGCATCGTGCGTATGGCTGCTGTCTACCGCATCCTAACCCCTGGTATGCCGCTAGTCAGCCTGCGTACCTTCGGCCACAACGACGGTGGGTTTCATCCTGACCGAACTCTGCGACATCTATCCCGCCACTTCCACCATTCCATCCGTAAGATTGTTATGGACGTGGGTCCTGTCTACCACCCCTACGCCCGAGGATTAGACTGCCTCATCCGGAATTGCAGCAAACTTGAAAACCTTCAGATCCACGGGCGGATCTCCTGGCCGGCCCTGCGTGACGTCTTCGACTTCTTGGACGAGGCTTACATCAAGAAGGGTCTCCGGCCGAGTCTGACGTACTTCCGAGTGGTCATCACGACCATTGGTTTTGGCCAGGAGGAGGCGTTGGTCATGGAGGAATTCAGGCCAATGTTTGACCAACATAATCTCAACTATGAGCTCGTCTTCGATCCTATGTACCCACTGCCCCTGGGTCCATTGGTACCCGTGGGTGGTGAGGAACAAGTGGACGATGTTATCGAAGTATGGTAAGCACAAGGACTCCGAAAAACTCAACCTCTCGTGAATTTTAATTTGGTAGCTCCTTATCACAAAGAAAATCATCAATGTTGCACCCGTTTTGTTTGGTGCCGGTGATGTTAATCAGGATATTGACAAGAATTCAGGGATTCCAAGTAAATGACGCCACCAAGCGCTAGCCTCGAGGACGCCATTTTTAACGAGGTTTTGCGATCTTGTCGCCAAGTACATGCATAAGATTATTACAATCAGGCAATGTATACAAACAAATCAACCTTTTTTTAATGTGATGCACCATGAGACAGCAGACACTATGACTTCTTTTCTGAAAGCTGAAATTCATCATTGTTTAAAATGTGTATCGTCACGACCGTTATGGTTGATCAGAGTTTCCAGGAATATGTGACATTAATGCTAAATTACTCATACAACGTGAACAGTTAGTGCTTTTCTGTTATTTTATAATAATTGGTTATTAACGAAATTCTAAGAAGTGAGATTACACCTTATAGTAATAACCAATGGACCCCTTCCATCTGACGTCACACCTGAGGGGCAGACCTTTGTTCCTCTACGATGCGCATAAGTAGACACTTTGTATTGTATCAAAACAACGTCTTGCCCTCAGTGAGAGCGCACAATGGAGTTGGTTGCATTTTCTTGTCAAATTCTAAAAAAAATTGTAACTTTTATTCTGACAAGGAAAGCCCCCGTTGGATTAAGCATTGCGGTCATTATTGGCACAAAGTCTGTGTCTGTGTACGTAACAATATTGAATCAAAATATGTAAATAATATATATAATTGTATACAATTAACGAAAAAAGCAAGTAACTTTGAAAAACAAAATGTTTTCCCCCTGACTTGTCATAAATAGAGAGTGTCACATTGTATCATTTCTGAACAATTAAAATTAGTGTTGGACCAGAAATAGTGCAAGATAATTAAAATCTGACTTTTCTATAATCGCCAAGGCGTCCACTTGTCAAAGTTATTGTCTATGACTCTGGCACGAACGCGAACAGCTGAAGAAATGTTCACTTTATTTCTGCACGATTTGAACCAAGTGGAGTCTCCCAATACTCTCAGAGGCCGAACTACTTTATTGAATCCGTCATTCAGGTGCGGAAGAATTTCGCAAAATAGTTCCGGTTTTGGCGGGAACTGAGTCTGGACGCCTGTCGTCTGCTTCCACTCGAAGTACTTATTGTACATTGCGTCGTTTGTATCCAGCAGCAACAAGAAGTCCACAAGTTCTTTGATCGACTGGAAGTCGGCGATGTGAATGAAGGAATGTGGTGGGGCGACTCGCTCGAAATCCTGCCTCGGTGCACCGCCCACGACCGGCACAATCCCGTATTTAAGAGATGTGTCCCAGAACTTTTCCGTGATGTAGTCTCGGCACTCGGTGTTAGCCAAAGTGAGGTAGAACTTGTACTCTCCCAGGAGCTGTTTGCATTGTTCAGAGCCACGCGGCAGACAGTCTTTTGCCCCACAACGCCCGTAAGTATCCACTCGCACCAGCTCTCGGACTCGCTCCACAAACTCGTTCCTCGGCCAGAATATCTCTTCGCAATTGCTGGCCATCCATGCTATCAGTTTACTCTTTCCCTTCGCGAAGTTTCGCTTTGCGAGAAATTTCCTCTTAGCACCAGATGTCTTGTTGGTTATGGTGTACCCAAACGGACACGGAATATCAGAGTTGGAGTTGTACGTCATCAGCTTGTGGTATCTAAGTTGGGAGAATCTCAAATCTTTGACCCACCTTAGGGCTCTGAATGGGGACTCCGTACTAAAATAGACCCAGGTTTGACCCATCGGCGCGTCAAGGTTCACAAGAATTCCCAAATTCCCCGCCAGCATTTTTGGCATCATGCCAAATACCACTGCATCTTTTGTCCTGAATTCCTCGATCTCAGTCGACACCGTGAGACCCACAACGGTCTGTTGATTTGGGCAGAACACCGTCGCTCGATGTCTGTAAGACCCTGGTATCCCCGTGCTAAACAGACTGAGAATGTCGCTTAACTCCGGAAAATCCTCCATGTTATTGATGCCCCCGTACAGCAGGATCTCCCTGAAAACTGTGGAGCCATTCGCGACAGAATCAAGGCGATATCTTGTCATGAAATCGCGCCTGTCGTGCAAGTAAAAACCATCTTCACCAAGAACGGAATGCAATGATTGAAAGCTTCGTAGTGGATTTCCTAGCTGGTGGTTGGTCAGCGTTAGATAACAGCAGTAGAGGATTAAGACGACCAGGATGGCGGTGAGAATGGGCACTACTACTCGACGGAAGATGGATCTTAGCACCTGTGTGTTGAAAAAATGAACAAACCATTACAAGTCAACACTAAATGTGAGGGAAAGAAATCACGGAATATTGTGGACAAACTGAGTCCTAAATAAACATTTGTTTGGTTTTTGTGGTAGTGCCTTCTGTTCCATACTACTCCCGAAGTGTGCATATCACTTATGATTAGTTTTCTCCATTAATATGTGAACTTTATTTACTCTCGGTACCATTCGGTATTCTCGGTATTAAACAAAATTAATGAGTCACAATTTTTCTAATTTGTACAAAATCTATAATCCATCTTTTTCCTGTGAAAATATTTCTGCAATGCACGGAAACAGTAAATGAATGCATTACATTTCACTGATGTAAATCGTGCCAGATTTCTTTTTTTAAATAAACGTGATGCTTCTCAAAAGATAGTTGTTAGCAATAATTGTATGCATACTCGCTTTAAAGCGAGTATGCATTACATTGCTCACAACCATCTTTAGGGAAGCGTTACCGTTTTGAACAGTTTCCTGTTTCCAAGCTCAAAAAGACTGCTGTATAACACACAGATCAGCCTAGTTTTGCCTGTTATGATATACACATGTTGTTCATAAAAGATAGAAATGGGCGCCCCTTCAGGTCCAGCCCCCTCCCCCACCCCCGGTTTAAAACTGTCGTATATGCATGCATATACGACAGTTTAAAACCTAGTTTTTACCTTGGGCATAGCAGTGAAGTACATGAAAAGAGTTACGAACCTAATTAGTCATGGAGTGTAACAAGTACTCAGTCATGGAGTGGAACTCAGGTACACAAACATTTTTTTCCATGACTTTGCAAAGTTAGACACTTCAGTCATGTCAGTGAAGCGACACAGACGAAATGCAAAATGTACCTCGAAATGAGCCGCTCCTAATTCGGTTTTGTCGCGGCGACTCTAAAACGCCAGTCTGAAATAGTGTTCAATAAAATTATACAGTTTGACCTACCTTGTAGATTTTTCTCTTTGGAAGGTAATACATCGTTGGGATTTAACATAATACCGTAGGGCTACCTCGACATTTCAACCTTGGTCAAGCGATAATCATGCATGTAGATACATGTAATACAATTTTCATGTTTTGGAAGCACTGCCGTTATGTACAGTAATTGTGGCATGCTGTATGCACAGTCTAAAGTCCAAAGGGCAACTCGCACTGAACAATAAGCCTGTTGTTCTGTACGATGTATTTTGAAACCCACACAAGTCCTTGATAATATTATTCAAACAAAATGGATACCACTTGATTAGCGCCCTCTATGCATTTGGCAGCCAATTGTGCATGTATTGTCACTGAATTGAAATAAAATGAAACCCCCAATGATGGCAGCTGAATGCAAACGGTGTATTGATCATTTTGTACACCGTCTAGGCTGTACGTGGAGATGATGCTAAAGATAACACCACTATTATTCGTTTTGTCTGCAAGGCTGTATTTACTTTACCTTTTTTATGTCAAAGTGAAGTTGTCCTATCGTTGCATGTCGTGTTTTTGTATTGGATGACGGGAGCACGATAAAACGACGGCCGGACGGACGGACGGACGGACAAGCGTCGATTCAGGATAAACAAATACAAATCCAGTTTGTCCATGAACCATGCATAGGACATGTGGTATGTGGTAAAGCGCACTTTGCGCTGACTGACTGGCTGCAACCTCAGGCACGTAGGATCATTGCTTTTAGTTTTTATGTTTTTTGATTTCCCAAAACAACATCACTCTATATCTAAAGAAGAAATGTTCTAAACCTAACCTGTTGAAGTTTGAGCGTTAGTGGACATTACACTTTTCGAGACAATAGTGTAAAACCATGCAAGCGCCATCGGAAACTCGATTTCGTCGATAGCACACATTAATAAACAAATCAGTCAAGTGGCGGAATCGCCTACAATTTCTTGATTTCTTTTTAATGATAGCAAGCCGAACGGATCAGTGTTTAGTACCATCACTATATTTAATCTAAGTTAGCTTTTTGATAATAATTCGGTTACTCTTTGAATGAAAGCCAATGATCATTTATGTCGTTAAATATGTTTGCACTTCAAAAACACCTTCGATGTGAAAAAAAATCGTTTAATTTATGAATATGAACTTCACATATGAACTTGTATAGTTCACATTATGACTTAGGCCAGTACAAATTATAGTTTGTAATAGATCTGATACCGATGATAACGAGAGAATCTTTTTGTAGCTGGCTGAGTACTGGCCCCTAGTGTGGTTTCGTACTTGTATAGGTTTTCCCGGCTATTTTAACACTTGTATCACACGAATTCCCTATATCGATAATTAAATTTCGTCCCCGAACATCGCCAAGCTCAATTCTCAATTTGAATTTCAAAAAGCCACCACTAGATTTCATTTAATGTTCAGTATAATTCAAATTGTTAGCATTCTGATTCGTCCAAAATCTTTGAAATTCGTCTCGTGAAGCAATCGGCGTTGAATTGAAAAAGCAAATTCGTTTTTTGTCATTCGTTTTAATGTTCTTGTCGTTACATTTCGTCTCTGGTGACTTAAAACGTTACGATTGAAAATGTGCCCAATCTTTGGACTTGTTTGCGCATTAATTAAATTTTAATTTTTAACAAATATGTCCTTATAAATGAAAGTATTGCTGTAAGTTTTGAGTTTTCTTTGACAATTAACAATAAAATCAGAAATTGAACTTTCACAATATGCTCTTTGCTTAGCATATGGAAATTAAGCATTAAGATCAAACACCTTCGTTATGTTGCTCTTTGATATATGTATATGAATAAAACAACAGAAATAAGGTATGTCTATCAAAGAACAACATTAAGAAGGTCTTTGAACTTAATGCTTAGTGTCCATGTCATAAGTACATATATGAAATGTCAATTCCTGACTCTAATGTTAATTGTAAAACACAGAAATAAAAATTCATACCTTACAGCTAACTAAATATATGTTGAATTATCATTGTTTTAATACGCATAATTCTTCAAATAAGTCTAAAGATTGGGCGCATTTTCTAATCGTATACGATTTAAGTCACCAGGACGAAATGTAACGACAACAACATGAAAACTAATGACAAAAAACAAATTTGCTTTGTCAATTCAACGCCGATTGCTTCACGAGACGAATTTCAAAGATTTTGGACGAATCGGAATGCTAACAATTTGAATTATACTGAACATTAAATGAAATCTAGTGGTGGCTTTTTGAAATTCAAATTGAGAATTGAGCTTGGCGATGTTCGAGGACGAAATTAAAGTATCGATATAGGGAATTCGTGTGATACAAGTGTTAAAATAGCCGGGAAAACCTATATTAAGTCTCACAATGCTTGCATAAACCTGTTTATGCAGTAGGGGGTAAAGAACAATAATTAGTTTTCATATGATTTTAGTGAGGAGAAAGGCTTCCAGATTTCCATATATCTAGTGGTAGATTCCCTTTCCAACATTACAAGTGAAGCAACATAAATGTCGCCCGTAGTTGACAGGTAGAACATTTTTGTGTCACTTTAAAGAAAAATCTTTTTTAATCAAAGACAAATTAATCCACTCACTGCCACTTGAGGGCAGCACATATAAATTGAAGTTTGAAAGGGTTAACTGCATAGACATATAATAAAACCTAGGCTAGACACGATTAACTGAAGTAGACCCCATCCTCTTCCCCCGCGCCTCTACCCCACGCTTACGAACAGCGCCGCCTAGTGTTGGATTTGCAAAAATTGTGAAGCGCTTTGAGGCCTATACTAGCCTGTGATACAGACCTTTCTTTTTGTTCGTAAACACTGACGCCATTTTATTTGGACTGCCGCAAGCGCATCAATTGAAGCCGGGGTTGGCCATTATTTTTCAAGGAAACGTCTTCATAACGCCTTCAATACAAAGTCAAAAGGCATGTGTAGAAATTATGTTGTATGTTTGTTGACAATGTTGTATTTCCAACAATCAAATAATATTTTGGTTATCTGTAATAACTCTTCCTCATTTTTGCAGTGTTGGACCTTCCATAGTTTTGCAACCAGTGGTTGGCAAAATGTGCAGTTTGCCAAACAAGCGTAGAAAGGTCTATGAAGCACCATATAAGCGCCGTATTCGAACTATACTAATTCTAACCATCTAACTGCGAGTTGTTTTTTTTATAACCGCGTTTACTGATTTATTTGTGTCTCTGTAATGGTTTTCTTGAATGACTGATATGATGATGTCTAAATAAAAGTGATATCAAATTTCGTATCCAATTTACAATTTACATCTGATTATGTTAAAGTCTGACTAAGTGAAGGCGCTCTTTATTTAACAGATTTCTCTCTCCACCAACCGCCTTATTCGAGGGATAAGGCCTGAAAAAAAGAACATTCCCCGCAACGCGGTGCCTTCAATGCATATACTCAAGCTATGCCCCTTACACAGCCTTGAGCGGTTGGGCCCGTTCTAGCCGCCGTGCTACAGCTGCGCCTAACTACAATTGCCGCAGCATGACGAGAAACTGATTTCCTACAATCTCGAAAAAGAAGTTTGTTTTGAAACTATATTTTTGGATATTATTTGCAATGCATAAATACCTGAGGCAGTTGACTCATTCCTATTGGTCGAGAGTCCGCCACGTGGGTACGCCACATCGCGCAGTACGCGCCGCGCGCGCACCAATATATAGTTGGAAATTTGTGACTCAATTGTATTCTTTGTCCGAAAAGATATTAATAAAATTCGGTTCGCCGGGCCATTATTCGCAAATAAATACCTAATCGGGTTTAACCCCAAAAGGGCCGGGCTATTTTGACCTGTTCTCAGCTGGGGTAGGGGGCGGAATCCGCCCCCTCAGATCTCAGCCATCGAGCGACGAAAACTTATGAAACTCGGTACATGCATAGAACCACTTATCATGAAGATACCAAAGAAATTTCATGACTATAGGTCAAAGGGTTTTGGAATTATTGCCAATTAATTATTCATATGCACGAATGGTAATTTTGCTCTGTGTTCACTACATTTCTGGGGAAATTAAGTTTTCACGGCGCGTAGCGCCGGATAAATTTTCACTGCGCGGCAACCCGTCGTCCGATTTTTTTTTGTTTTTGGTATCAAAAGATGCGCAAGGCTCGAGGCTAAAATGTCATAACAGCTCGGGTCGCGAACACTTTTTTCAAGGCTATTGCGGAAAAAGTCGAGGGGGGGAGGGAGGATTCCACCCCGGCCCCTTTAGGATTAAAGCGGTCCTAAACAGCCATGCACATAATAATGTATTCCCTTATATCAACAAAAAAACAGGTTACCAGCCGCCAAAACTCCACGTGATTTTCGCGCGAAGCAAACAACAGCTGAAAAATTACGAGCAATATATTTATCACGTGAAGTTTTTGTCTGATTACCTGCTTTTTTTATAAGCCAGATTTTTTGTACTAAGCAAATTGTTGTGCTTAGCAGCGCCGTGAAATTGGCCCCAGATCTGATTTGTTTATACATGGTGGTCAAATATTTAAATTAAATCGTATAATTAACGTTCAGATGCACACTCGATTACTGAAATACACTCTTCTTCTCGGAAATGATTTCGAGTCCCTGTGATTATCTTGAAGCTTTGTACAATCTTAGACACTGATATGCACTTGTCTAGTCAGTAAATCATTGTTGAGACAAGGAATAAATCATCAACTAGTAGAGTGATCAAAATAGTGATCATCCTGGATCAGTATAAGTCAGATCGGAAAAATTATAAAGACTGTCACTGGTAGTCTTTTCCCGCAGCTTGTCTACACAGTGTGTCAGATTGAGCCCATTCATTAGCGTTACAGGATAATCCTATGATATATAGCACGGCCCATAATTTTAGTAAAGTTTACCATGATGTTTAGTCTCTCGCGTGCAACTGATGTATATAGGCTTGGGGTTCTATAGAGAGTGACCTACTGGTAGCAAATGGGAAATCGATGTCAACCTGGAGCTCCTATATTCAACGTGTCCATTCTTATTATCGGGAATGAAACTGCGCGAGAACTAGCAATGCAATCTTGCAGGGACCAGTTCTCATAATTAAATTCGTTCGTATGAAAGTGAGGACTTCAATCGATTTTCATTTACCATTGTACTTGATGCATTCACAATGCACAGTCAGAGCTAGCTCTCCAAGATGATTGAAGTTGGTGTCGAGTCTGAACATTTCACCGCTAGACACCTGCCTGGGTAAGATGTGGGAGATGATGTCTAAACGGTTCATCTTTGGCTTGATAAGCCTTCATCTGATGATGGGTGAAACTGCTGGTAAGGAGATGTGTAAGGCCTCCATTGGGCATGGATGGGCGTGTCCTCCTACTTGGTACCAGTGGGGACGCAAATGCTACAAAGCCATCACTGAGCCCCTAACATGGTTTGAGGCAAAAGATGAGTGCACCAAGATGGGAGGTTTCTTGGTCGCGCCACGATCTCATGAGGAAACTGATTTCCTCGTGCAACTACTGCCATCCAAGTTTTGGATCAATTGCAGTGACGTCGAGAAAGAAGGTATGTTGAACCTGACTCGACTTTGGTAAAAAAAAAATTCGATACAAAAATTGTAAATAGAAATTAAGGAATTAAACAAATAAAACAAGAGTTGCTTCTTCTTTTGAAGACGTTCTTTTACCTTATCACTCTCTTTTTCTGTTCATGTTTATTGTATTGTTTCTGATAGGTGTTTGAAAGTGTGAGGATGACGCTGATGAGGTGGAGTTCAAAATTGGGCGGCTAAGCAACCTGATAACTGGGCAGGAAATGAGGGATGCGCTATGGTACGGCCAGCAGATGGGAAATGGAATGATTTGACGTGTCATTGGCGGCGCCCTTCAATTTGCAAAGCTGCAACCAGCCTGAGTCACGGCTGCAATTTCTGAAACCCCTATGGACCGCCAAGTGGAAATTTTGTCAATTGTGATGAGGATTCGAACCTGCAACAACGAGAACACAACACTCTTGACATTGCACGTAGAAAGGAGTGGGATGGAATTAACAGATTGACGGTGCCTATGAAAGGATTCGAACCGGTAACCGTAAGAACTCCCATTTCCATTAGGTTTAAAACATGGACGAACAGACATGGTAGACTGTAATCAAGCAACCTAATAAAAGTATGAAGATCCAAAAAACCTTGGAACTATTTCTGAATGCTAGTCTTAGTATCGACCAATGGAAGCCAGCCAAAAAAGGTTGACATTTATTAATGAACAAATCTTGAAGGAGGGGTCGTACAAATTGTTACTGCACACCATATATGGAAAGGAACATCGATCATTAATATTCGTGAAGCTTGAAAATATTGACAAATATTGCAAACACTATCTGTTACGGATTTGAAAAATTGACGTACCCAAGCCTATTTTCCCAATTTTAATGACAATACTAAGCAAATCAAAACGATTTTAAGCACATAGTTGGATCATTTTAAGAGAAATAAACTCCGAAAGTGAAATGAAGATACGGTTTTCAAAACGGGAGAAATTGATGTTCAAAGATTTTGCCTACGAAACATCAAAATGTCAGTGTGATCAACGGCACTTTGAACTCGCTTTAGTCGAGGTACAGTACACGTAAGTGGCTGAATCGGCCGTAAGACTGAGTATACCGTATTATATGATAGCAAAATAATTATTGCTTACTCATTCTAAAATCTGTACTGATGATTCTGTCTTTACAGAATTAGATTAACCTTAGAAAGGCCCATTAACCAATACTAAGGTGCATTGAAGCTGCATAATTGAATTTAATAGAATGTTGGAACTCTAACATGTAAATGGGAATAACTGTCTACATTCAGAAACAGTGCAGCAAAATGTTTCGCCTTTGTCAATATAAGGGAAGGGGCAAGCCAGGGGTGGATTATAACAGTTGGATCCGGGTCCGGGGATGGGGAGAAATGGTGATATATAGCAGTTGTGTTTAGTTATCTACGGAGCCCCTAAAGGGACATCCAAAATGATTTTTTTTTATCTCGTGCGCACGACATATATCTCGTGCGCACGACATAATTATCTCGTGCGCACGAGATAATTATAAGTATTAACGGAACTTGCTGCACGTGCAGCGGACGAGTTTGTGTGTAACGAAAGCAGCGTGTCAGGCACTTTACGCTATACATTTGAAGTCATATCAGTTAAAGGACGGGGATGTGTTTTCTTTTAGGGGGCCGCCACCAGTGATTAATTTTGTCAAATTTTGCCTTTTTCTGAGAGAGAGCGTTTTATGCAAAAAGGAACCGGTACATGCTGGCAAAAATCAGAGAATTGGTGGACAATAACAAGAAAATTGCCAACGTGAATTAACATTGATTTAAAGGGGAAGGAAATGAGGATTTGCTATCAGCATCAGCAGTTTGAATGGATGCGAGTCAGACGGTCTTACTCTCCCTCCCATTTTAAACGATCGAAGTCTCATTATGAAGAATGAGTGGGAAGTAGCGAAGGATGGTCGACCTTTAAGGTTTCTAAGGGTGGGAGTAAAGTTAAAGCCCCTGCCCAGAGCAATCAGTTCAATGATTGACAGCTAATAGCCTGCAGCAGTGATTTACTTTGCCTCATTTTTACGCTTTTTTGCAAATTACGGGACTGGTCAGATCTTTCTCCGGCTGCTTTTGGTTGGCTTTTGTTGATTCTCCTCGCCATGCCCAAGCAGACTCCGATGGGCGTGTTTATAGTGGAGCTGCTTAGGTCCATTTTTTGGCCCAATTCGTGCACTTTGTTTTAAAAGCATGGAATTTGGCATGTGGGGTCAAAATGGGCTAGAAATCATTTTAAGGGTGCATGTCACAAACCGGGCTCAACTATACGAAGTATTTATGTTTCTAGGACACGTCCCTGATAAAAAAAGGAAATCTTCAGAAACAGATTTTGATATTTACAAAAGAAACTAAATATTTATTTACACTACCTACAAAATATACCAGAATTCACTGAAGGGGGGGGGGGTACTGTTTGACTAATCCAATTCCTAGACCCTAATTACTTTCCCAATACTTATAAATCTACAACCTGAGGATAATACCCGAAGGTCAGTTCTCAATCAGTTCACTGTTCGGTGAGCAATCGTCCAGCGGTCCACGAAGGGATCCTTGCACTGGCGAATCGGAGGTGGATGACGCTCCTTTACAGGCGACTTGGCGGGCCAGATGTCCACGACCTCAGTGTCTAGAGCAGGAAGGCTCCACAGTGCAGTGAGACAAATCACAGCGGTCCCAGCCAATGGGCGGTCCGGTCAAACTTGTCGGGTGTGGTTCTAAATCCACAATAAGGAGCCCTGAAAATATTAAATACACTAATAAACACCTACTTCCTAGTATTTTCAGGCTTCACTGAAGTACATCAAATGGACCACAAAACAGTGTGAATATCCTCCCAAAAGGGGCGTGTCTCAAAAAGCAATTTACCATGTTATTAACCCATTCAAATATGCACGATCTACATTACAACAAAATTGACTCATTTACCGATGTTGAAATGAAATAATTACATTAAACCAATAAGAAAAATCATTTAAATACAACTTACAGTATATACTGGCTCCTAAGACCCGGTACACCGTCAAGGGGTGCAAATCTCGCTGGCTAAACAGCTTGTGAGAAACAGCTATACACAGGTAACAAACGCTGAAAACAGCTCAAAACAGCTAACGCTGACACTTTGGCTAACACCAAAACCAGGATTCTCAAATCCGCAAAATGAAATCTAGTAAAAACTAAATTATCAGGAGCTATCGCTCAGTATGTGCTATCGCACCTCCAACCTGTTTGCTTCTCCCCTCAACCACTCCCTAAAATTCTACGGCCCTCAAAGTATGTGAATACTTCAGCAAGTCAGTCTAGAAAATGCAAATTCCAACCTTAGAAATTCACATACCACCCACAGCCCTCTAAATGTTATGTAACTTAAAAATCCACAAATTCTTTCAAACTTTCCAGCTACGGCCTTATTCGGGATACCACTCCCCAAAATCAATCATAATTAACATATTCACTATAGGCGGTATCAACAAAAGGGAGGCGGACCGTGAAGACCTAATGAATATTAAATATAAAGAAACAAAATTGCGCCTTCTTGTGACACCACTCCCTTTCCAAGAAAAAAATTGTTGTTGTTGTTTTTTTTTTTTCAAACCAAGCAATTATTTTCTGTATCTCTGATTAAATAAATTTATACATCATTATTCTTCTAATATATACACAGATAAACCTTTCTTCTTGTGAATCCATAAATTGTCATTCAAGGAAATCTGTCGATTTTCAGTGTATTTACAAAATGCAATATTTGCCATTAAACATAATTCTGTCATGTCTTGGCCATTGTTACGAAAATTGTCTCAAGACCGTTATTTCCAAAGTTTATACCATTTAGTTGGCATCACTCATTATTTATACTATTCACAAATTGTTCACCTAATTCTCTGGACAACGGCTAAGAAAGTCTGCCCCTATATTGTCTGTACCTTTGATGGCCTTCACTACATATCTGTATGGCTGCAACGCCAGTGACCATCGCATTACTCTACTGTTACTACTCTTAGCTTGGGAAATGTAGGTAAGTGGTGTACGATCAGTTTGTAAGATGAACTGTCTTCCATACAAGTACACCTTAAATTTCTCAATAGCCCAGACTAGGGCCAAGCATTCGCGCTCAATTGTAGAGTAAACTCGCTGTCTCGGCAGCAGTTTTTTGCTAGCAAAGCAAACAGGAAACTCTACGTTATCATGAGTCTGCAAGAGGACAGAACCGATCCCTATGTCTGATGCGTCAGTTCGCACAATGAATGTTTTCTCTGGGTCTGGCAAGTGCAGTATAGGAGATGCTGCGACGCGGCTCTTAAGTGTACCAAATGCTCGCTCGTGTGGCTCTTCCCAAACAATGTTCTTAGCGCTTTTGCCTTTAGTCAGGTCTGTTAGCGGACAAGCAATCGCAGCAAAGTTGGGTATAAAACGCCTGTAATATCCTACAAAGCCTAAGAACGAACGAACTTCCTTCTTGGTGGTGGGCCTACTTACTGACATGATACCTTTGACCTTGTCTGGTTGCGGTCTAATGAGACCTTCACCTACAATATGACCTAAGAACTCTAGAGTCTCAAATCCTAAGTAACACTTGGTTGGCCGAGCTGTTAAGCCAGCCATTCTAAGCCTAGTCATGACTTCCCTAAGCACATCTACATGTTCATCCCACTTACCTGAAAAGATGAGGATATCATCGATGTAATTGATGACATTATGCAGACCAGACAACAACTTGCGCATCATCCTGCTGAAAGCAGCGGGGGCATTGATCATACCAAACGGTAAGACGGAGAACTGGTAAAGACCATCTGATGTTACGAATGCTGTTTTCTCTTTGTCTTGTTGGGCGATGGGGATTTGCCAATATCCCTTCGATAAGTCTATTTTAGAGAAATACTTCCCTTGTCCTAATTTGGCCATCAAGTCGTCGGTGTTGGGTATGGGCTCTGGGTCGAACACTGTTACTTTGTTTAACTTGCGGAAGTCGATGCAGAACCTGTTGGAGCCATCTTTCTTGTGAACTAAGACTATGGGAGCGGCATACGGTGAAGTGCTGGATTCAATGACACCAAGTCTCATCATCGTCTCAACTTCTTTGCGGATGGTATCTTGGACAGCATGTGGAACTGGGTACGGTTTGGATCTGATTGGGGCATCTGTGGTAAGTTTG